GACTTATTGTAGTAGACAGAACTGTATTTGCTTTGTGAAGTGTTTGAAAATCAGGTGGACTGCTGTTTAAGAATACCTTCTCAAAAATATCATACTCTGTAGGAGTATGTGGCCGTTCTACTACAACGTCTGTAGTAGGAAGCGTAGCTGCTCGAATGACTGTTTGCGGCTGGAATGGCTGTAGCCCACTCCCTCTCCAAGCAGAATTGATATTTGAAGTTGAAAAAGCAGCTGCTCTTGCAGTAATATATGCATCCATCCATTCTGACTTCTGTATACGTAGGAGTTGCGCCTCATTTAGGTGTGAGAGAGCAGTTGTAAGATGTTGCTTTAAGGGCCCAAAAATCGAAATATCAAGTGGCTGTAGAACATGAGATGTATGAGGAGGTATTATAAGGAGCGATATTCGATTTTGAATGCAGTGTGATATAAAGCTTCCACTTATATGGCTATCGTGGCCGTCGCAAATAAGGAGCCTTTGTTGTAGTTTTCCATTTTGTGTTGCTTTTGCTCTTGTAGAGGGCTCAAAAACGCGTTTTAGCCACTCTAATCCATGAAGATTGCTTGTCCATCCTTTTGTATTTGCAGAGAAGTGCCATTTTTGTATAACCTCCTTCGGAATCCAGCTTTGTAGGATATTCTGTCCTTTAAAGATAATAAGGGGGTCGATAGCTGTTCCGTCCATACAGATACATTCAACAGCAGACACCCATTCCTGTCGGCCAGGATGTGCTTGAAATCGCGTACGGAGCGTAGAGTCGACTATAATTCGTGTAGATTGCATAGTTCCAATTGAAAATCCAGTCTCGTCCATGTTATAAGTATTGTGTGTTTCGATTTTTAGCTCTGTTATAAGGCTCTTATACGCGTCAAACCACCCCTTTAACACCTGCTTTGTGACCCCATTCATCCTTTGTGCCTCAACTCTACGTCCTAACTTAACACGTAAGTTAGGATGCCTTTGAATGAATCGTGGAACCCACTCTTGCCCAAGAGGTAAGTTAGGAATTTGAGGTTGTAGTTGTTGAGTTTGTGGTTGTTGTTGTAGGTGTTGTTGTTGAGGCTGAAAAACGCGACACTTATTTGACCGGACTTCATCTGCAACCTCTCGTAGGATTCGATGGCTAGGTGCGTAGCCACTATTTGTAAGCTCCTTTATCCATTTTAATAAGGTACGCTCTTGATTTTTAGATAACAGTTGCTGTTTTTGACGCGCTTCTTGCCTTGAAGGCCGTTGTTGGCTAACGCGCTTACTGACAGTATTACGGCTTAACCCTAAGGCCTTAGCAGCCTCATATGACGACTTATACTTCTTATTTTAGATGCCTAGGATAGCTTCAGCTAATAAAGCTTCTAATTCCTTTGATTTTTGAGTTTTTTGACGCACCATAATTGATTCTAGGCAGTTAATAGAGTATAGTACATAACCACTCTCACTTTGGTAGGGTACAGCTCTAGGAAAGCGTCCCGTTACGCCATCCGTCCCGTTACGCCATGACTTACGTTAATATATACTTCTAGCCACTCTGCTTTTTGTATTCGTAGGAGTTGTGCCTCATTTAGGTGTAAGAGAGCAGTTGTAAGGTGTTGCTTTAAGGGCCTAAAAATCGAAATATTAAGTAGCTATAGAACATAAGATGTATAAGGAGGTATTATAAGGAGCGATATTCGATTTTAAATATAGTGTAATATAAAGCTTCTACTTATATGGCTATTGTAGCTATTACAAATTAGGAGCTGTTGCTATAGTTGTCTGTTTTGTGTTGCTTTTGCTCTTATAGAGGGCTTAAAAACGCGTTTTAACTACTCTAATCTATAAAGATTGCTTGTCTACCCTTTTGTGTTTACAGAGAAGTGCCATTTTTGTATAACTTCCTTTAGAATCTAGCTTTGTAGTATATTCTGTCCTTTAAAGATAATAAGAGGTTTAATAGTTGTTCTGTCTATATAGATGCATTCAATAGTAGACACCTATTCCTATTGGCTAGGATAAGCCTGAAAACGTATACAGAGCGTAGAGTCAACTATAATTTGTATAGATTGCATAGTTCTAATTAAAAATCCAGTTTCATCTATATTATAGGTGTTGTAGTTTTCGATTTTTTGCTCTGTTATAAGGCTCTTATACGTGTCAAACCACCCCTTCAACACCTCTTTTGTTACCCTATTCATCCTCTGTGCCTCAACTTTACGTCCTAACTTAACATGTAAGTTAGGATACCTTTAAATAAATCGCGGAACCTAATCCTGCCTAAGAGGTAACTTAGGAGGTATTTGTAGTTGTAGTTGTTAAGTTTGAGGTTGTTGTTATTGGTGTTGTTGTATATGTTGTTGTTAAGGCTAAAAAACGCAACACTTATTTAACTAGACTTCATCTGCAACCTCTTGTAGGATTCGATGGCTAGGTGCATAGCTACTATTTGTAAGCTCCTTTATCCATTTTAATAAGGTACGCTCTTGATTTTTAGACAATAGTTGCTGTTTTTGACGCGCTTCTTGCCTTGAAGGCCGTTGTTGGCTAACGCACTTACTAACAGTATTGCGGCTTAACCCTAAGGCCTTAGCAGCCTCATATAACAACTTATACTTCTTATTTTAGATGCTTAGGATAGCTTCAGCTAATAAAGCTTCTAATTCCTTTGATTTTTGACTTTTTTGACGCACCATAATTGATTTTAGGTGGTTAATAGGGTGTAGTAAATAACTACACTTACTTTGGTGGGGTATAACTCTAGGAAAGCGTCCCGTTACGCCATCCGTCCCGTTACGCCACGACTTACGTTAAGGCGCCGTGTATATGTTAAGTGTATATATATAGTAGGTGGCAATTAAGATGTTTTCCTAAATTAGGCGGTAATTTAGATGTTTTCCTAAAAATTAAAACTATGATCCCTTCTAACAATTAATAGGTAGATAGATAACGTAAGTCATGGCCTAACCGATGGTATGGCCTAACCGACTGTAAGTACCTTTACAGCTAACTTTGTATGCAAGAATACTTAATTTTCAAAATTTCAATTAATTAATAACGCCTTTAATAAAATTACTAGGGTTTATCCTTTTTATAGATAGGAAATATATATCACCATCTATTATATGCGAAAATGCTAGTAGCTCTAGCGTCCTTTTACAAAAGTAATTAAAGGTTTAAAGATTTACCATACAAAATATTTATATAGTAAATGTTAAATTGCTTATAACTCTCTCATAAGTTTAGCTTATAAGCTAGCATTTTTAAGTCTAACGTAAGTCGTGGCTATACCGGCTCAATGGCCATACCGGCTCATTTGCCAACCCCACTAAAAGTTAGTTAGATTTACATTACATGACCTACAATTGAATTCCTAATAACTTTTGTAATAAAAATAGTAGGACTTAACCTTCTTATATTAAGAGTCTTTATATACCTATACCTTATAATTAAAAACACTAGCATATAAGCTAGTGTTATAAGGAAGTTATTAACAGTTTTAGATTTGTTATACTAAATTTTTATATAATAAAAGTTAAAATCTTTAATAGCTTATGCAAAAAGAAGCTAGTGCTATTAGCGTTTTTATATATAGTATATAATAGTTTAAAGTTTCTATATATAAGAGGGACATACTCTAGCATTTTTATTAAAGGAGTTATAATATTCTGATTTTTTGTAAGTGTAAGTATCATTACATACAAACTTGTATGTAAAGGTACTAAAAGCCGGTATGGCCATTGAGCCGGTATGGCCACGACTTACGTTAATGTATATGTATATAAAGAATATTAGAATAAATAGGCTAGACCTTATAAGCTATATTGTAGAAGCTATGAAGAGTTAAAGTCTAGATCACGTGAGTTTCAACTTTGCGTAGTCGACTGGTTTAATGGGGTGGTAAACCCACTATGTCGGTTAGGCCATACCATCGGTTAGGCCATGACTTACGTTAGTATACGAAATATGAGACGATAAATATCACAGTTGTTACTAAATTTTCGAAAATATTTATATTGTCGGTGAACTGTTTCGAGATATCTGAAATGCCTCCTACAACAGAGTCATAAATGTAACGCCTTCAAATCACATATATAAGCACAATTTAATTGCCCGAATTGAGGTACGTTACAAGTTGGCAACTTAGCTGGCATATTAACTAATATTCTCTAACGGCAAAACGATAGATTGTGATGTGAATACAGCGTGCGTCAAGCATAGAAACATGTCATCAAATGAACTCAATGAGCTTTATTAACTAAGTTTTTTAGGCTAATTGATGCCATGAGTGCTGCCAAAAAGCTCGCTACCATCTTCGTTGGAGATTCTCCAATGGTTAGCAGCCACGAGAACAAACACCACAACCATGGCATCGGCACTTGTCGTAGTCCAGATACTTCGGTAGTTCATAAACATCCGAAGATATCCTCCAAATGGCTGGGGCAAGAACCGTAAAACCGTCCCTATAATCCCAGTTTGGCTGTCTTGTCCTCTGTCAAAGATAAACCGAGTGCCCTGTAGTATCGCTTCCACCGTCGCGAACACGTAAAATGCTCTCAGATCTACCACCTCACTACCGTACCTACGTTGGGTTTCGGTGCCAAATTTTGAATTGAAGGCGATGCATATGCCAAATCCCAAGGCAAAAATGGCGTGCACGATGCGCCATATATAAGCGGATGTCTTTACCGCTGGTGGTCCATTGGCGTCGCTCCCCGGAAACCCCATCGGTGGCAGGCCAGGGAAAGATGGCATAGCTCCCGGCTCACCTCCCGCACCTCCCATCATCTGTTGCAGCATAGCCATCATTGGATCATTGGCCGGATCACCGGTGCCATCAGGGTTGCCCATTGCCGCGAACGGGTTCGGTGGTCCACCAAATGGGTTGGATTGGGGCTGAGGACTCCCGTTAGGCGGGGGGAAGCCGAGCATCATGGCTCTAAGAGCCTGGTCGTCCAACTGACTTGGGTCCGATGACAGGCCGGGATATGGACGGTTGGGGTTTGGCGTAGCATTTTGGGAGCGGATATTCAGCGGTGGTTCGTAAAAGTGCTCGCTAATGTCAACTTCGTCCGGGTCCGCGTGAGAGACGGATGCTGCTTGGGGTGCTGCAGCCGCAGGCTTTACATCTGTCGCCACAGTTAGAAATAGAACGCTGCGCTGAATACTGCCAGTATGATTGCGAACGAACCTCGTTGTAAGCCACCACCCAGCCCTGTGATTTTGTTTAACCTCGACGTCCCTCCAGCTTTTATTTTAGCCTCACGACGTTCTCGGCGAATGCGAGCTTGTTCGGAAGCGCTGGAGGGAGGGGTTCCCCCTGGGGATGATGTCGTTGGTGGTGTGTCTGCCATATTCAAGCGTTGGCCCAGTGTGGTGCGACTGAGGTGTTGTGTGAACTTTCTTAACTCGACTGGTGGAAGGAAGCTAGGGTAGCGATGACGGGTCGTTGGCGAGGCTGAACTGTATTTTTGGACAGGCGGTCACGTGCTATGGGGTCGAAACCCCACAAAATGATGAACGGTGAAGGGCAAGGTACGAGGTGGAGTAGATAAACCAATCTATTCCACTCTGATCTTAGTCCCAAGCTTGAAACCGTCCTCAATCACATGCAAACTTACTTATAACTCAGTCCCATGACGACCCCACTGCCAACCACCCGCCTACTACCGTTTAACTAAGGAACGAAAGCGTAGTTTACTGTAGACCACCATACAGTTCTCTAGTATAAACATATATTCAGTAGTGCTATCCTCCTCAGTAGTGCCATCACTACTCATGCACATGCCCACCGCCTAACCTTCCAACTGTCTTGTCTGGCTCTACAAAAAAGTAAATGCTCTGCTGTGATATGGGAAGTCCTTTGTGATGGAATAATTGCAAGGTCAACCTACGGCCAGGGCAGGGAATAACTTCTTTTCTTTCCCTCCTTTTGCCACGTATAGCTACAGAACCAGGCACAACTGCTGGCCGTCCTCATTGAGAGCTGCTCGCCAGTATGATTGGTATGCATGCTCCAGCTTCACAAGCAAAGTTAAGAACCCCCAAGCTGACCTCATCGTTTTGACCACGTCCTTGGCCGGCCGTCAGTGCAGTTTCGCAAATTCCATGTGCTTGCAGTCGTTTCTTTCTGGTCTTTCTATCTCGCCAAGTAAGTCCTCGAGCCTCAACCCCCCGTTTCTATTCCTATACTAATACCGTGAAAGAGGAAACAAGCATGGACCTCCGAAACTCCGCAAGATCTCGAGGGCATGCTCTGGCCTTTTCACCCCGTGGCAAACAGTAATGATCACGCTGCTTTACCTGTACATTGCCCGCAATTTCGACTCTCTCCTCGATCTCGAATGCCCCGAGCCGCTTGCAAACCTCTATACTCGCTCTTACTTCCGCGCGACATGGGTGACGACCGCCCTCGATGCTGGGTTCTGGACTGCCATGCGCATCCGCAGGAAATGGCTACGGGACTTGTCAAGCATCATCTTCTCATTATACTACCTGATAGCGGCAGAGAGAGCCGACGAGAAAGTAAGGAAAGTGAGAGGGATGTTGACACTGGATCATCTCAGGGTGAGCTGGAACAAGGGCAATACACCATATCTCAAATTTGTCTCGGCATTGTTACGCCCACGACTTATGAAGTACCCACCGCGTGCGATACGCATACCACGACCCGGAGGGGAACCAGTGCAGGCATGGCTATATTTCGATGGGCCTCTGAGTGCACTCAAGAACCAAACCAAGATTGTCCTTGACGTTCCTGGTGGCGGGTTTGTCGCAATGGATCCACGAGCCCATGATGATAAACTAATTGCATGGGCTGGCAAAACCGGCTTGCCAGTACTCAGTTTGGATTATAAAAAGGCACCGGAGTATCCGTATCCTTATGCGCTTAACGAATGTTTCGATGTCTATCGCGCGATCATAGCTAGCCGTGGTAGACTTGTCGGCTTGTCTGGAGATGTGATGCCAAAAATCGTTATTTGCGGCGACAGCGCTGGAGGGAACCTTGCGACAGGAACAGTACTCAAAATTATCGAGCACTCTTTATCGACTTCCTCAGATAGTGAAGTTCCGCTGCCAATGCCCGAGGGCCTCGTTCTGATATATCCGGGTTTGGATTTCAATATTGTCAATTGGATGAGCGAGGAACATATGTCTCTCTTCAAAGACCGTCGAATGCGAAAGACAAATCGGGACATGCTGCGACTGAAGAGCATGCAATATAATCATCTTGCCGGAACTCCCCATCACTCTGAGGGCGAAGATTTTACAGCTCTATCTCCTAAAGTGCGTCCTAGATCGACTCCAGGCCCTGCTTCACTCTCCGAACATCCCAATTCCACCAATGAACCTGCAGTGCCGCCAACAGCCACACCGACACCAGGCACCAGTCTCGCGATTACGTCTATGATATCCTATATCAATGACCGTATCCTCGACCCCGCGACAATGAGATCCATGATATTGCTTTACGTTGGCCCGCACAACAGGCCGTCGTTCGCCGATGACTATTACCTTTCTCCCATCCTTGCTCCACCAGCGCTACTCGCTCGATTTCCAAAAACATACTTCCTCACCGGCGAGCGGGATCCTTTGGTCGACGACACCGTAATATTCGCAGGCCGGCTGCGGAAAGCCAAGGCCGAAGCCTACGAGAAGGAAAAGGAGAGGGGCGAGCATTTAGCAAAGGAATTCGACGACAGGGACGTGGTAGAGGTGGCCTTGATACCCGGCATTTCACATGGCTTTATGCAATTTGCCGCCGCCTTCCCCGAGGGTTGGAATCACATCTTCCGTTGCGCGCGCTGGATTGATGAGCTCTTTGAGCATTCCGATGCAAACGACAAAATGAAAGCCACCACATCTAGCACACTGGGTTCTGGCATTAAAGCGACGAGCTTGCGCCGTCAGAGCGAAAATTCTAAGTATGGTAAAGGGAATAGCGCGAACTATCACCATAATCGCACCGAATCCTCTGGCGACGAAGCCTTGGAAATGAGGATGCCATTGACTGCGAGATTAAGGGCCGAGCAAGAACTAAAGGAACGCCTTCTTCAGGAGACCTTGGGCGGGGTATCGGATGAGGGCGCAACGAGGGGCAGGAGGACAGGCAGAGACAGGGGAAGATTGACACGCAAGAAGAGTTCAGTCAGCTTGGCAAGCGAAGACGATCTGCTTGGGAGACGAATGCTGGGACTAGTCAGCGGACTGACTAGCATGGGAGAGGGAAATACCAATGGTGATATTTAGAAGCAAGGGAGGAAGGATGTATCATTTCAATGCCAAAGCCAATAAATAGTATTGTACAGCTTATATAGTGATAACTTCAGAGTAGATTCAATTAAAATATTGTAAATATGTTGATAATCTAATAATTCTACAACTTGCTTCACGTTTCCAGTCGAGAAACCGATATAGCAATTTGCAGGATAAAAAAGGCATGTTGGCAATAGTATGAAAGGACCTCTACGCCCATTTTGCCACGAAGGCTGGACGTCGCGGTGAGTAATCTGTGCATTGGTCTTCTTGCACGCAAAAATAGGCCTATACCATAGGTTGAACCGATCCACGAAGGAAAGGAGGTAAGGGCCAGAGTGTTTGGCAAGTGAATTCTACAATGAAGGCGAGACCCAAAGAAATTTCCTACCTGTATTCGAATGGAGCTTCGTCACTGTGGCAGATGAACCAACAGTGAAAATACTGCAAATAGAGCGAGAAGCCTAGTGTGCTGTTAGTGAAACTGATCCATCTAGACACTTTTTGAAACAATGGTTATGTTGTTCATGTTCAGACATCCAAGGAAGAAATGCCCCTCATCTGCTTCGAAATAGGTTCAAATGAAGCTCGAGTAGAAACTGCGAATGTGGTACGGTTTTCATCATGACATGGTAGGGAATATAACAGAATAAAACTTCGTATCACTAACCTTTTGCGTCCATTATGGAATTCGAGAGCAACCGCATCGAGGTACAGGCAACCTCAAGAAGGGTATAGAACCCCGATTGGATATATTCGAAGGAATTTTGTAAAAAATTGCTCTAGGGTCGTAGCAAGTTTGGATTCGCAATAGAAAAAATACTGTACTGTTTCCAAGTTAGTTACCTGGTAAGCCCAAGCAAGATGATATGGTTGAACAATTGCAGATGAATTGTTGATCTGGGTCAGACAGAATGTACTGGCAAGTAGCAGGTCAACCATGTCTGGAAGACCCAATGTTTTAATCATGGTCGATTAATTCTGGGAAAGAAGACAATATAATATTGCTCTCATCATTCCAGATCATAAGGAAAAAGGGAAGGGCGAGGTATAAAAAGATCACATACCCGTAGCTCAGACGACGATTGGATAGCCTCACATGCTTGACACCAGTTCCAGTTATGGTACTGGATGATGCTGAACAGAATTGGTTGTGGTAGTAGAAAGAAAAATTATCTGCGGCAAGGACGATTTATATTTGGTCCCATCAAAACTCGCTTAAAAATCACTAGGACGTGCCTGGAGCCACTTACCACTCCAGCCACATGTCACGTGAGACAATCTATTCGCATCGTCGGATCGCCTTCAGGACATCAAGAGGGTCTCCGTTCACGGGCGCGCAGTGGGAACCACAATGATGACGAGCGTCGCGCAATCGTACTCTCCACATCCGACTGGATTGCCACAGCATCCAGGAGTTGCACAGGGGCATCAGATGGCCGGAGTGCACACCCAGCAAGGCGGTCCACCGGGTCCTGGAATGCCTCAACAAGCCTTCCATATGGGTGTTTCTGGGCCAGGAGTTCCACAAGTCAGTCAACCAGGGACAATGATGTCTGGTATGTCTCCGGGGGTCAATGGTCCTGGTGGACCGAATGCGCACGCTTTACAGCATTTAACACCAAGCCAAGCCATGTATCAACAGCAACAACAACAGCCGCAGATGGCCTGTACGTCTACCCTTTGATTTCCAGACACCGCGACTCCCTTACAAGTCACCGCAGAGAAAGACTGTCAAGCTAATGTGCGTCACAGTTGCCACCCCGCAAATGCAGCAAATGGCACAACAACACCTTCTCCAGCAGCAGAACCAAGCGCGCCAGGCGCAAGCCGCCCGAAACGCGATGATGGCCCAGCAGTATAATAGCGGCATGCCAATGAATATGGTGAACGGGATGAGCCCTGGCTTAAATGCTGCGCAATTTGCTGCAATGCGCCAGGCTGTCCCGAGAGGGATGCAACCGGTTCCGCTCCCTCAACACCTTCAGCAACAACAGCAACAGGCGCAAGCCTTGGAACAACAGCAGGCCCAAGTGCAGCAGCACCAACAGCACCAGGCATGTAACCTGTTCTTTTACATACTGCGAAAAAATTAAGCGCAACAGCTAACATGAATTCGTGCTATAGCAGCTCCTAGCCATGCAGCAGTTGCAAAACTCGGGGGCTCACAACGGAGGTCAAGGCCAACCTAGCCAAATGAACCCCCAGCAACTTCAAAGTCTCCAAATAGCCGCAGCTCAGCAGCAGCAACATGCACACCAGCAACAACAACACCAGCAGCAACAGCAGCACCAGCAACAACAACACCAGCAACAACAACACCAGCAGCAGCAGCAGCAACAGCATCAGCAGCAACAACAAGCCGCAGCCGCAGCCGCAGCCGCAGCAGCAGCCCAGCAACCTCAAACCCCAGCCCCGCAGAATCAACAGGGGCCTCAACCTCAGCAACAACAGCAGCAGCAGCAGCCTCCGACACAGCAGCAGCAACCTCCACCTCAGCAGCTGCAGCTGCAGCAGCAGCAACAACAGCAACAGCAGCAACAACAACAGCAGCAGCAACAGGCAGCAGCGGCGGCGGCAATGATGCAAGCTCGACCACGGAATCAAATGCTAAAAGGCCAATGCCTACTGAGACTGATGCAATTCGGCGATCACCTCAGCCAGTTTGTGGTAAGTGGAAACCAACCATATATTGAACTTAATCAACTTATTAAACTGAACGCGCAGGCAACTAAACAACAGAGCGATCTCAGTTACTGGACCAACTTTGTGGAGACTTTTTTCTCTCCTATAGGGGTGTTGCGCCATTCAGTGTGGATTGTCGACGAGCAAACTACGAAGCAGTATGAGATCACTTTTCCAGCGCTGGCGAGGTACTTTTGTACACATTTTGAGAGTGGGGTGAAGAATATGCAGTTGATTATGGAAAAGGGGACCGAAAAGGAGCTCCCAAATCACTGCAATTATATCTCGAGTGAGAAGTCGAGTTTCATTTATTGGTTCGAGAACGGCTCACAAGTAAGTGCAAACAAATCGGGTTGAATTCGGTGTTCCTATGGGTCTAATCAAATCTAGTTGGTTGCCAATGGAAAGCTGAAGGCTCAGTTCGATGCCAACCAGATGATTGAACTATTAGAGTTTGAAACCAACAACCACGAAGAATACCTCCCACGAACCAAGGTAGTCGATGCAGCACGGCCACTCCACGAATGGCAGAAAGACTGGCAAAAAATAAATGCGCCAGCTGATGGTAAACAATCTCCAGAAATTAACAAGAAGGGGAAAGCAAGGCCGTTGAAATCACCACCCAGTCAACCGCCAGACATAGATATCCCGGATTCAAAAGTTAAATTGAATATGGGCATCACACCCAGTGTCTTCCGCTTCCTCGAGGTAAGTCGATGTCATTCGCGTTTACAACCATGTACTAAGAGTAAGCAGTTGGCAGAAGTCATGGGTCAGATGAACCCCCTCTTCTCCTATTCGCATCAACATTCGTCTCTTGCTCCTTACTCTGCCCTTGATCAATACGTTGCGCACGTCTCGCAAGCTGCTTCCCTAAACCCATCTACCCTCCCTCCGGGATCAAGGACCCCATCTTTAAACGCATTTACACTATCGAGCCCAGCGGCGGCTCAGATTTCGCTACCGGATGGTACAAACCCAATGCAAAATATGAACATGGGGTCCGGGAATATGCAGCCTACAGCAATGGCATTACAGCAGTCCCAGCAAGGAAGTAGCAGTGGGGTATCTGCAAATACAAGTCCGAATACCAGCAACAAACGCAGGAGGCCCAGTGAGGAGATGAGTCATATTAATGGCGCTGCGGCAGGAAAACAAGGGGGTGTGGGTCAGGCCGGGGGTCAAACTCAAGGCCAGGTAGCAAATACTGGCAGCAAGGTTAAACCCAGTCCTCGGATTGGTGGAAAGAGACAAAAAGGGGGACCTGCATGATGTGCGGGCGAAGTCAGAGCGCGGATAGCAATAGCTTCATGGGCAGTAGCGGCTCATTGTTAGAGATTGCGGGCGGAGATGTGGCAAATGATTGATATACAGGTGCGGCACAGGCGTTTTATTTGGTCTCTGTTTGTTTGGGTTGGCTCAGACGGATGGCGATGGTGTGGCTACTTGGCGCTTATATTGTTTGTATATCACCGATTAGGGCTGCTATGGGCTTGGGCAAGACAGCTGGCGTTGGCGGAAATGGAAAGGATAATCGGTTGCATCTGGACTTGGGCCAGGTCGAAGAGAGAACACGCGCAGATATCCCATCGCTCTCATCGCAATAATTATGGATTAGTAGCGTGGCAACATCACTGTTAACATGGTTTAGATCTGACCATAAGCGATTGACTCGAGATTAGGCACCTTTATACCATCTGATTGTTTATGAGTTTGACACTCCATCTCGTGATATTTGTTTGCTTTTGATAATTGTCTACTTTGAGCCTGGCAAGAGCAGCTTTTAGTTTGGCTCGCTCTAACGTATTTCAACGAGTTGGTCTGGTATCTCAACCTAAATGAAAACACACATCGATTCAGCTTGTCTTGTAGTAATATTCTTAAAACGCGGATACTTATGTGCAAAGGATATGAGAAGTAATGTTATCGAGGCGGGAAAACCTGATAAATTCAAAAAGAACGCCCGAAGGCTATGATCGATAGCCAGTTTAATATTGTTCAAGTCTCGGTGAAACCAGGTGTTGGCACAGGGTGATAGAGCTTAATTAGGATTAATCCTGGTTAGCGTATGGCGGGTCTCGCCAGCGTCCCATTCGCCTCGGCAACGTCATTGGAGCTTCCCAACGATAAGGAGTGTACCTTTGCGCCTCGCCATAAACAAACAGAAACATACTCACCATGATACAGCAACAATAACCGTATACTTTCGATGATCGTGCTGCTGGGCGTCTATATCAAGTGTCTAAAGGCTGGCATAACGCCATGCTATCCGCCTTTATAGCTCGGCCTATAGTCGAGCTCAAGGCACGAGATAAGTCGAAAATCGAATCCATACTCGCATATGGTTGGGACTACCTGATAACCCCCCCCATATCTATATGTTACTAACATATCGATAGGTGACAGGTTAATAGTTGGACTAAGTACCGGCAGCCTTCGAATATATCGGGTGAACGAGCCTACAGTCGACGTCCAAAACCACAATGGAGAGGGACCCAGTTCGGGGGAGCCTACGGCGCCCTCGACCGCAAAACCGGTAGACCTCCTTCGTGAGCTGGAGAAGTTCTCACCAAGGGCAATTGAGCAGTTGTCAAGAATTAAAGAGGCCAACATACTTATTTCCCTTTCGAACTACGTCGTCTCCATCCACGACCTGAAAACATATGAGCTTCAGGAGCAACTTCCGAAGACTAAGAACGCCACAACCTTCGCGATCACGTCAAATATCGTGAAGGATACCACCACCGGAATACCTGAGATCATATCTAGACTAGGTGTTGCTGTGAAACGGCGACTCCTCGTATGGTCATGGCACGAATCGGAGCTGTCGCCAGACATTGTCGAGATCACTCTTGCTGCCTCTATTCGTACACTGAGTTGGGCATCTGCGACAAAAATAATATGTGGTATGAACACTGGATACGTAATTGTTGATATCCTTAGCCAGGAAATCGAAGACATTGTGGGACCGGGAGCTATCGGTGGCCCCGGAGCCTCTGATGTTGGCCGATTCGGGGGTGTTGGGTCGACCAGTATGGGATACATGGGCCTCGGCGGATACACGCCCAAACCTCTCATCACTCGCCTTAGAGATGGTGAAATATTGTTGGCCAAGGATATCAACTCCTTATTTACAGATACATCCGGAAAGCCACTTGAAAAGAGGCAAATCCCGTGGCAGCAAGCGCCAGAGTCAATAGGATATTCCTATCCGTATTTGCTGTCGCTACAGCCGGCATTAAAGGGGGTCCTTGAAATACGAAACCCCGAGACCCTATCGGTCCTCCAGCAAGTGAGTTTGCAGAGCGCGAGTATATTGCACTTTCCCCCGCCAACAGTAAGCCTTTCACATGCTGGCAAAGGGTTCCATGTGGCCAGTGAACGATGCATCTGGAGAATGGAAGCTACGGATTACGATTCTCAAATCACTGAGTTGGTTGACGGCGGCCAATATGATGAAGCGATTACGATTCTGGACACTCTGGAGGATGCTCTCCTACAAGATAAAGAGGGACGTTTACGAGAGATAAAAATGCAGAAGGCGCAGCTCCTATTTGACCAACGAAAATATCGTGCTGCCCTTGGACTCTTTACAGAAGTATCTGCGCCCCCAGAAAGAGTCATTCGGCTGTATCCCAAAGTCATCGCCGGGAGCCTGTCTACTATCCCTGATCCTGAGGAGCCTGAAGGCGAGGGTGACCACGATGAGGATGGTAAAGGTCAAGACGACCAAGCAGCAGATCTATCAACCGTGGGATCACCCATGAAAGGCTTTGTTAATAGTTTTATGAAACAGCACAAAAAAACTCCCTCCGACACCGCATCAATAACGTCCCTTAAGCCTGGCCAAAAGGGCGACTCTGACAGTAGCGAAACTGCAAGCGTTAAGACCAAGCAAGCAGAAGATGGCCCACTGGAAGGGAAGGATTTGGTATCTGCTGTCCGTGAGCTCAACGCGTTCCTGGTCGATACTCGAACCCGTCTACAACGATTTATTGAACCGGGGGGCGGGGGATTGAAAATCCATCCAGCCAGTGCTCAGAATGGGACTTCTAAGGCGGCATTCGAGTCTCTACTTGTGTCCCCTTCTTCCTCAGAAGACACCGAGATCGAGCAGAAACTGATTGAGACTGCCAAGCTGGTGGATACGACTCTTTTCAGATCATATATGCTCGTCCAGCCTTCTCTCGCTGGGTCACTATTTCGTCTGCCCAACTTTTGTGAACCGGATGTGGTTAATGAGAAATTACTTGAAAATAACCGCTACAACGACCTTGTGGACTTCTTCCACGGAAAAAAACTACACCGAGAGGCTCTAGAACTTCTAAAGAGGTTCGGGGAGGCCGAAACATCAGAAGAACCGGGTCCTACTCTTCAAGGGCCTCAAAGGACTGTTGGATACCTCCAGAATTTGCAGCCCGATGCAATTGATCTCATCCTTGAGTTTGCCGAATGGCCGCTACGAACTGACCCGGATCTCGGAATGGAGGTCTTTCTTGCGGATACCGAGAATGCGGAGACCTTGCCGCGAGATAAAGTCGTGGATTTCCTGGAAGGTATTGATACCAGCCTCGTTGTAAAGTATCTGGAGCATGTGATCAATGAACTCAATGACCTCACACCAAGCTTTCACAACCGGCTCGCCAATGCGTACATACAGGGGTTGTCAAGTCGAAAGGACAGAGATTCCGAGAGCTGGAAGACTCTAATGCAGCAGTGTCTTGCCTTCTTACGTTTGAGTAAACAGTACTCTCCTTTGAAGGCATTTGGATCAATACCCCGCGATGGTACGTAACCACGAGCATAATTCAAACATGGTACTAATTAAAAAGCAGACCCTGACTTCTACGAGGCCCAAGCTGTAGTTCTCAGCAGCATGGAGCAGCACAAGCAAGCTTTGGAGATCTACGTATTTAAAATAAAGGATTTCGAAAAGGCTGAAAAGTATGTGATTGACTCCTTCCCTCCCTTTAATAACTAATCTCATTCGATACGTTTAGTTACTGTAATTCTGTTTACCTCCAGTCTGAATCTTCCGACTCATCTACCAACCGTCTTGAATCGACGTCAAATTCCACCGACTCCTCGCCATCAATATACCATACCCTCCTATCACTGTATCTCACACCTCCACCACCCCAAGAGCCAAACTGGGTGCCAGCGCTTGATCTCCTTTCCAAGCATGGCTCGAGGCTTCCCGCATCAAACACATTAACATTAATCCCCGCCAACCTTCTGGTTAAAGATTTGGAAAGCTACTTCTGTGGTCGGATACGTGCTGCGAATTCGGTTGTAAACGAGGCACGAGTTGTCACTGGCCTGAGGAAATCCGAGGTGGTCAGGGCTCAAGCATGTCTTCTCCTGGGAGAGGATGACGAGAGCGGTGGAAGAGCAGACTCGAGTGGTTCTTTCAATGCAGTCGGAACTGGCAGTGGTAGAAACCGTCATGTTGTTGTTGGTGAAGAACGGGTGTGCGGGGTGTGTCACAAGCGCCTGGGTCGCAGTGTTGTCTCTGTGCTGCCGGACAACACGGTTGTTCATTATGCTTGCTCGAAGCGTGCGGTGCAACGGGGTGTGAACCCTGACGGCGGGCTGGGTTCTTTGAAGAGGAATGGAGGAAGTGCTGCGCGCGGCCTCAATAGAACAGTTTCATGACGCGGTGCGTTATTGTATAGGGTATATAGTGAATCGCCGAGCAAGAGCAGAGATAATGCCATGCCGAATTGAAGACAAGTATGCGTATGCATGAGACGGAGTGAACTGCTTTTAATCCTCCTCCATGACTTCCTCGCCGTAGTTCTCCTCTTCTGCGATCTCGTCAACTACGCCCTTCCTGGCCGATGCAGCCAAGTCAGAGGCTTGCTGAGCCTTATCATTCTCCATTCGGGCCGTCAGCTCTGCATTGATCAGGTCTTGCAGTTTGCTGGTTTCACTTCGGAGGGCAGAGAGGTAACCGGTGCGTTCGGAGGTGGTATTTGAGGTTGAGAACGGTATTTCGGCGGTGTGTGAGAAGGTCGGGTTTGTTGGAGAGTTATAAGTGGCACGAAGGGTCTGGGATGAGTCTGCCATTGCGAGCTGCTTGTCTGTGAAGGTTGTCTGAGAATATTAACAGCTGTATGTATGTATATCGTACATTTATGTTGGTGTCGTCGGAAGCTGTTGTTACAAATGAGGGGTGTATTTACTGCATTTACTGTATTTACTACACAGAGTCGAGTAAAGTGGGCTGGTGGGTAGTGGGGTACTTAACTCTTCGCTGTAGTTGGCCCGATTACTCCGACTCGAACCATGTCCCAGAACCAAGAACTAAGTAAGGACTAAGATCCAAGATCCAAGAACCTCTGTGGTTTGTTTGTACACATCCGTTGGTTGAATTCTCCTTGCGCCACCCTTCCCTTCCCTTGCTTCATATTCTATGTCGCCGACGATAACATCTAAAGAGCTGATTCTTTATACTTTCAGCATCCGCTATACTCGACTATGCTGATGTCAAATACTGTCTCGTAGTGGCCTAGCACTACTACCCCACTATCTCGTCCTTCCAACCCATGCCCATGTCCGTCCGAGACAACGCGCATAATGCAACCGTCAGCCTCATCAAGCACAGGCCAGCGAGTACCTGGAGCTTTCAATCCCATGACAACCTCATCCTCGCTCTCTCTCTCGTCACAGCAAACGCGCCAACAAATCCGTAGAGTAGAATCTACTGATTTGGAGCTCGCCTCGCCAGCAACTGGGCGTTCTACATACAGCGCGGACAATCCTCAGGATGCATCGCCCGAGTGGCCTCCGACCCAGTCTTACGCCTTTCACGACACTTCATTCCAAAGTCCGATTTCAAAGGCGGGCAATCTGAGCTACCCCTACCGGGAATCCAATTTAGTTATACAGCCACCGGTTCCGCCATTTCATTCCGAGTCTTCACCACGACAACCACACATCCCATCAACGGGCGAAGTTCGCGTGCACCAACGGAAACACGCACATACTCAGGGCTTCTTTGAACCCACCATACCAACAATCTCTATTCCCAGCCCCAATCCTGGTGGCAGCTCCGCCATAATGGATCCTGCCCAGTCTCCGCAACAGGCTCTGAGCGCAAGCCAGATCGCCGCCCAAGCTGCTATGCAGCATCAGAACCACCAGCGGAGGCGCAGCCAGACCCTACCGGTAGAGAATGTATACGGCGGACAAAGGCGACCATCACGTGGGCCTGTGAGTCCACCGCTGTTGAGTTTGACGGAGGCATCTGGGGAGCGTCAGAATGGCTTTGGTGCACCTCCGGCCGGGCAAGGAGTTGTCCATGGCGGGCAGGTGTATCGCAATGGCCTTCTTGGTGGCACTGTGAATGCGGCCACGACAGCCGCAAATGTGGTGTTTGCAAGGAGCCCGCAGACAAGCCCGAACCTTGCGACTGTTGAGTCTATGCAACAACAGCAACAGCAACAATTTAAGGAGCCTGAGAAGCCAGCAAAGGCAGAAAAAAGCAAAGTTAAGCTCTTTTCGCGACCGGGGAAGTTAAGTGGACTTGGGAAGGAGAAAGAGAGCAAGGATAAGCAGATGGGCAGTCCGAGCAAGTTGGGTTTCGGCACCCATCAGCCCCAGAGAGGCAACATGAGTACTCACAGCCTGGCGGATTCCAATATGAGTGGCGCGAGTAGTATATACAGTCTTGCAAACTCTAGCAGTGCTACTATTCGCCCTATCGACACCTCTGTGGCCGAGAAGGAGCCAGGAAAGGAAAAGAAGCACCACCACTTTCTGTCACGACAAAAACAGAAGCTAAGTGGGAAGGATGACCACCACCTGCCATTATCATCTGCGAACTCAAATTCGCGGCCTGTAGACCCGAACGCGCCGAGCAGCTTTTACAATTTCAACCTCCCCCCTAGCCCGGGTCCAACAGCGACGAGTTTTAGCAAGTCAATGAGTGGCCTCGACCTCCGCCATGGTGGCCGTGCCCTACGTGAAAAGAAAAGAGAAGAAAAGAGCGCAGCCAACCACAGCTTTCAGGAGTCCGCGTTAAGGGAGAGCGAAGCCACCAGCGACTGGGTTGGCGCGTCGTCTATGAGTTCTACAGCCGCGTTGTTGCCTTATGCAGGGTTGCCACCATCGGCCTACCCGGCCAGCATATATGGGGGAGATATACCAGACTTGGCCAGGTATGGGCTGAATAATATGGGCCCTGATGATGCGTGGCCACTTTTGAAAAGCAAGATATTTGCTGTATTCCAAGGAGAGGACTTGAAACTACCAGTCGAGGATTTCAATCGACTTGTCTCGTAAGTGATCCTTACTACCTTCTGGATCATGTCTAACCTATTCAATGCAGAATACATATTCAACGCTGCATCGTGAAGCGAGCCCCGAATCTTATTATAGATGATATCCGCGATCTGCTCGCCACAGGATTCCTATCTATCGATGCCACACTACGTGCAACTACTGACGATCGATTAATCCCGCGCCTTGTCGAAATGTGGCTCTTCGTTTTCACGTCTGTACTCCCTAACCTACAATCAGTCTTTCTACCCCTTGATCTCGAGTTTGAAGGATGCGGGCCCTTGATGAGCAAAACAGCTGCTAGGGAGTTCTGGGGGGCCTTGCCGATATCAAGTCTATCCCACGGCGGCAGCAACCCGACGCCAGTACCGGCACATTTTCTGCTCTCTATCCGTCGCCTGGTTCTCACCACCTATAGAGACGTAGTGATTCTTCCGCGCTTCGAGATTCTGCAGACACTATTCTCTCGACTGAGCTTGGAGAGTATCAACTTCCCTTCCCAGGCGTCGTATTCGCAGTCACCAATACTCCCATCCTCACTGTCCACCTCTCCGCCAGATGTCCGGCCAGGGACTGCAATGTCTCTTGACCCTGCCTTCTCGTCGTTCGGCTCGCAATCCACAACACTATTGAACGGCAGTGGGGCAGGCAGTGACAGCGTAGGCGCACGAAGCCGCGGTGTCAGCAATGTTAGCTTCGGCAGTGACCAACGAGAAGCCGTATATGCACAGTCCATGAGACCGTTTGCACCCAGCCCTATGCTCTCAGGTAGCGGTTTGGGCTCATCAGGAAGCACGATAGGTGCAACGACAAGTCAGAGAGAAGTTAATGCAGAAGATTCCAAGCACGTTACCGAGACAGTAGGTAGGATGCTGCAATGCATGAGTGTTCTCGCTGCAGTGGGCATCATTGCAGGAGATGGTAGCGAGGTCAAGGTACAGAAACAGGCAACGCCTACAAACACTGGAACTGGCGGAAGAGCAAGAGGATATAGTACGGCTTTGGTAGAGGATGAAGTGGCGCAGGATAAGATGGATCGTCTGTGTAAGGCATTGAAGCTGAACTGGCTCGGACGAGGGCGTACTGGGAGGAACAGACGTGGTTTGGTAGGAGGGAGGATGAAAGTTGCAGTACCTGGCGTTGGTGCATAGGGTGGGATTGTTTTTTACTCTGCGGGGTGTTTGACCTGGACGGGTTATGCAGCGACTATGGCGTACGGTAACTATGGGAAGGGTCATATATGCGTGGTATCTAGGCGAACACATGGAATGGACGGATGGATGGGGGTTTTGTTGTTTGGACGGTTTAGTCAGGGAGCATTCTGTATGATCAGGCGCTGGCAAAGGGCCCTTAAATGTGGGTAGTGGGTGTATGAATATGAAGCAATTGAAGCCCCACAGGATACTGATTCTGCATCAACACTCGTGACTATTGCAATTCGACCTTCATAATGCTGATGATCAAGTTCCTGAGTTCACCGAGAATCGATAATTGCCATATATGTAAGCTATCTGTATAGCATTCCAATCAGATCCGAGATAATCACTCCATACAGCGTAAGTATGTACACATCGCCACGCTATCCCCCATCCATACGCCTTATCCAGTGCCCCCAACTTCATACAAAACGTCGCTCATAAAACTTCATTGACAAACAATTTTTCACATCTAGGCTGGCCCGCTCTCTTTCGGCTTTGGAATCTTCTCGTACGCATTCGGACTGTGTGACCTCCGCGACTTCTTTGTCTTCCCGTTATGGTGACACTCCCCGCTGGGGTCGTGGTCGTGGTTATGCTTGTGTCGAGCGTTGGTGCGCCTCTTGCCGCCGGCAGGGCGGGCGCCTCCGTCGTCGCTGTCTGAGTCGGATGAGGAGGAGTCAGAGCTCTCATCGGAGGAATCGTCGATTGAGGCTTTTGGAGGGTGGTAGATGCAGCAGACTGTATTGTTGTTAGATATTGTTTGTGCACGCGACATCTGGATAATCTGCTATGGGAGAAGAGTGAGGGGGGAGAAGGGATGGCGACATACCTTTGCTGCTTTTCCTTCCCAGCCCTTCATTGTCAATCACATCCTCTGCCCACTGTATCCTCCTGTCGCTCCTCTCTCCAGGACTCCTCATTGCCCCACGAAGCCTCAGAACAGGATGTTGTTGTCGTGTGGATGGTGAGTGAATTGTCGTCGTCTGTGAGCTGCTCGACGCCGCGGCAGTTGCGCCTCTCTGTGCCGTTGACGACCCCCCTGCGCGGGAATGTGGTGGCATTGCCATTCTGATTATCGCAATGAAGTTGAAGCGAATGCTGAAATAACTACTTCACGAATCCTGTCCTGCCGTTGTGTTCACGAGGTTGGATTCTGGGGAAGGTATGAATGAATAAAAGAGACCTGGGGCGCTCTTTATCGATTTTGCCACTCCGCGGCTCCTGCAGAATCTGTTTATCTCGTGTGGTACGTGGCTTTGAATGCGACGTTAAGTGTGCCCAGCGACGGGAATGCAACCTGCACGAATGTGACGAGAAGGATCTACGCAGATTGTTGGTTATGGAGAGTAAACGATGGAGAAACATCTACTTTTGAGGGGCTGCCGATACCCCACGTCACGATGCAGGCCGCCCTAAAATATTTGGTATGGGTTCACTAGCGTCGTTCGCGCTGGTGATTGGGCATTGCTCGACCAAGCTCGACTCTACTCTATCTGCGACATTAATGCACATTCAAATAGTCTTCTATTCACTATGTAAAGGCCTGGAGGCCAGGGGAAATGATACTTTATCATACAGATCTGAAATTTCGTGATGTGGACGCAGCCCAACCCACGCAAATCCTCCCCAACGCCTTGCTCAATGAACGGAAAACCCATCCAGAATCGAAGACATATCATATTACCAAGAACCTGCATCCCGCGTCTAGATGCAGCACTGCCATTTGAACAATATTAAAGTCTTCCCAAAGTGCTCTCTTACAATGCCACCATAGGCCCGTCATATTACTGGCGGTTGGTCCTCTTGTACACCAAGCTCATCTTCGCCCTCCAATGGTATCGGCGGCAGTGGGGGAGCTATATCTGCGTCGGCTTGTGTGATTCCGTTTTGCCGCTCCCAGACTTCCCGTCGTGTCTTCTCATCCTTGGCCTTCCGCGCCCTCTCCACTTCCTCAAAGCCACCGGCCTTCTTCAGTTTCCCTCCCTCTACAAAGTTCCCAAGCTCTTTCTGAAATTCCCCTCCTTTCCGCCCTTCAAGCTCTTTCTGTCGTAATTTTTCTGCACGCTCGATCGCTTCCAACCTACCCTCATGGTTCGGTTGTAGTGCTCGGACTTCTCCCAAGACGCCCTCCTTGGCGACTGTAGGGTCTGCAAGCGTGACATGATTCAAACTCTTTAACGGCACACGACCACCAGGAGCTCCTCCTGGAAGGTCCTTCATCTGTTCCTTTGTTGCTTGCTCCACAAGTGCGAAAGTCTGTGTTGCCTTCTCTAAGTCGTCCTGAAGATCGGCCGCCAGATCTTCTTGCATGGTGAGTTCTTCACGGTCGTTGCACACTGTCTCCAACTCCTTCTCCCAGATCTTGGTCCAGATTGGTCGCTCACGCTTGAGGAATTCTTGCATTTTGCGGAGTTCCTGTGTTGCGATGGAGATATCCTTGGCGACACCCTCGAGTTGGCGTGGGAGGGGTCGGACACCACGGAGGACAACATCCTTGCGTAGGTCTTCGACGATATCTTGCAGATCGTCTACACGGCCAACAAGTTTATCGGAATCGTCGTTGAGTGTCTTCTTTCCAGTATTGACATAGGAACGACCAGAATCGTTCTTCATGTTTGGAACAGCAGCCCTGATTGCTGCATCGCTCACAGAGCTGGCCTTTGTCCGGATGGCAGACATTGAACTCTCCATATTAGCCTGAAAGGACGAAAAGGTTTGTCTAACAACAGCCAGGTTCCTGCGCAGGCTTTGCAGCTCATTGATATCGGCCTTGTTGCCCTCGTTCTTTGGGGAGTGTGGTGGAATGCCCCTGGCGGAAGGTTCTGCGAGTGGCACCGGAGTCTGGGCCACCATGCTAAGGCGGGTTATCTCTTTAGCCGCATCTTGTTGGCGTTCAGATACCCTTTGCATTGTCGCCTTTTGATCATCAATGGCCGTCTTTACCCCCTCCACCATCTTCCTCAGTCCTCCCAAACCCTCATCAATATGGCGTTTAACCTCATCAAGAGCCTCGACATTAAGGACCAGAACTGAGCGGTCCTTGATGTCAGCGAGGTCTTCAAGCTCGTGTCTAACTCCAGACACGGGATCCTGTATATATATTTCTGGCAAGTCCACCCCGTTATTATGCGTATTCCATGCAAATTTCTCGATAAATGCCAATTGAAGTCGCGCTATGGACAGATCATTGTAGCCATCCGCCATGACAAACTTCTTGATCCTTGTCTTGTATTGCAGAAATAGAGTAAGCTCTTTTCCAGGCTGAGGAGACTGCTCAGGCACAAATTCTCTATTTTCGCTCGGCCCCGTATAGGTTGTTGGTGATTGCCTAGCTGCGGTGACAGGGGTGGGAGGCGCACCGGTTTCTTTGGCGTCATATAAACCAGTGGCAAAAACCGGTAAAGCATCAGTTGGCGGCCCTTGTAGAGTGGCACCTGAAATCCGATTTGCTTCTGCGGAACCTTGCCAATCAAGGTCATTACTGGCTTTCCGACCTTTATCTTCAGGTTCCTTGGCTCCAGAGGTTTGCTCATCGGCGTTTGTACCTAAGGCTTCTTGAGATGAGCTTGGTTCCGTAGTTTCTGAAATTCGGCTTGGTACTCGGTTTGAAGCTTCTTCATTAATCATGGGGCTGGTCGAAAGCTGTTTACTGTGAACCGTTGAACCACGCCCGCGGACAGCATTCATTGTCTCGCGGAGATCTCTGCCGCGATTTGGTATAGGGGAGTTTTGAGGTGGGAGCATCGGCATGGGGGCTTGAGCACCCAGGTGCTTGGAGATATGGTAAGCCGAATATCTCCTTGATGCTCTCCGTTCAAGATCGCCCCCCCTTTGCAAAGCAGCCAGCGCATTCTGCTTCGGAGGCGGCGGCGGCGGAGGTGGTGGTGGGAATGCATCCACAGTTAGTTCTCCGGAGCCAGGCCTGGGAGGCAATGCGGCCTCATCCCCTGAGAATGGTGCAAGGACTGGCATATTTTGCATCGTCGTGCTTGACAATGAAGACTGGTCTGAGGACATGGATCCGCGTGATGAAAGTCCCCTTTGGGGTATCCCACGACGCTGCGGGGACGTCGACATTGATGATCCTCGTGGCGGAACCTGATTGACTTCTGGCTTTGTGACTACCTTGCCATCAACAATCATCCTATCGTCCGGCATGTAGTTTGGATCTATCCCTTCATTCAGGAGTGTCGTAATGCCCGTGTTCGCACTCGCAACACTGCTCGTGCTTGTGTTTCTCGGGACGTTGGTGTCGGAATTCTGGGAAGAGACCTCTTTCGACTGCTTCTGCCGTAGCTTCTGTTGCTTGCGTTTCAACCCATGAAGTAGAGTGATGATGATATCTCGAATCTTTGGTAGGTATTGGTCTAGGCCTTCGGGGCTGGCTTCTTGGCTCAGTGTCGACTCCAGAATTTCGCGCAAGAGTTCTGGCACATTTCCAAGGTCGGAAGTATCCACGCCGATGGCAGCAAAGGCTCGACAAGCGATGTTGAACTCATATCCCAGCCTCACATAAACATCGGACACATTTGTATCCGTTGCCTCATGCCGGGACCATCGCGTCAATGTTTCGAGGAGCTGCTTCGTTGCAACGAGGAGGTGGGTGACGCTCTTCTCTATCTGTGACAGTGGGGGACCCGAATTAGTCCCATGTGTGGCGCCCTGCATGATTCACGTTAGATTTGTTCAATTCACCAAAGTTCATCCCAAGAGACGCTGGGCGCATCTTACATTTTGCCTCCGGCTACTACTCCCAGTACCAGTTGTTCGCGCCGAGGTGGTGGAAACCCTGGATTGCGACACTGATGTAGGAGACATAGCCCGAGCCGGTATGCTTGGAGGTGGCCCTGGATCTGCTGCGGGCGACCTCCGTTGTATTGAGCGCTGAGAGGGCTGAGGTGCCTGCATCGTTCAAACCTCCGTGATGTCTGGCGCGCGGACTCGGTGGCACTTCAACAGACCATTATCTCCGGCCGGGTCGTTGTGACGTGTAGGTGATGAAATCAAAACAGGCCAGGTGTACAGTGCAACAAGACGATATACAATGAAGTGTTGGTGGAGATGTCGGGTAGAGTGAAGGGCTGATGAGATGATGTGAGTGAATGCGACACAGTACAATCTGTCTTGACTTCTTCCTTCTGGCTGCTGAATATACCAGGGCGTGAAGGGGGAGACGTCGCTAATGCTTGGCGGCGGCTGAGATTCGCTACGACAGAATCTGGGGTCACTTGCTGGATGGCTGTTCTAAAGATACGGGCCGCAGCACCTCAGCTGTTTAACTTAACGGCATTGAGTTAACGGCAGGTACCTCTGGGAAGGAGGGGACGATCATATCACGAGACCAGACTTTGGGTGTGGGAGGCGGGTGGGTGTTGGCGTACCGTTTTATCAAACAGAAGGGCGTAATAAAACGAAGATAACGATAATCCTTATACTGTCAAACTATAGCCTTTCATCACGCCTGTTACGTAGAATAGAGCCAGCGAGGGAGATTCTATCATCTTAGATAGAGTATACGGAGTCTTGCTAAGTAATAATTCTCAGGTGGAGGTAGGCACGAGACTGTGCTCACAAGGGTACGAGAACAGAGGCAGCTAGAGCAGAGTACTGGCAAGGGGAGGTACCACACAAGTCGCCGTTTTTTATTTGGTCCACCATACGAGGTACGACGTATAATAAACAACGGTAGAACTAGAAACTAGAACATCTAATGCACTTAGGGTGCTCTACGGTAGAATACTAGATAGATAAGAGTCGATTGTTAGTCACATGAGTAGCACCTTGATATTAGAGTAGCACTCTTCTTGCTATTATTCTCATGAGCGTCCTATTGTTACCTGACTCCTAGCTCCCGATGCTCTACCTACTCTAGTGCTCTGCTCTAGCTCCTATACAAGACATTCTACTACACTCCACCCGACCCCTCATCACTCGTACTGTACACACTGTATTGCTGCGTCATTCTAGACGATGCCCTAATGCGAGTATATATATGACTTTCCTAACCCGACGTGGACGTGGACTTGGCCTATTGGATTGGATTTAACGTGCTGCGGTCGTCTATACGTACGTATCATGTATATATACACACATACACACATACACACATACACACAGCCGAGCTGAACTTATGTTATATAGTACGGTGCTGACAATGCTAGTATAGGAGTGTTAGTATTGGAAAACTAGTATAGTATAGACGCGATATACTAGTCTAGTCTGTACTGTAATTGTAGAGGACGGGAAGTGGAATGGAGCCATGTCCCGCATGGACAGGGCAGACAATACACTACTACTGTAACTACTACTGTAACCAGAGTATATTAAATACTTCTAGAGTACCAAATGCTGCGTTTTCCTACTTTGCGCTATATGTCTGTCGCTTTGGTGCAACTTACATACAGTTAATCTAGTTGCTAATAGTTGCTGTACAGACGAGACGATTGACCTTTGACCTCTGCCAGGAGACAGATAGACCACTCCGTACGCGTTGACGAGTGAAATAATAATTTCTAGATTACTATAACAAAAAATCTTAAAATTCCTATTTTTAATCCGTTGATTTACACAAAAATTTACCCCCTTGGGCCTTTGTTTCATGATTTATTTCGGAGGTTTGGACTTGTTACTCTTAGACCATGCACTGTCGTTTCGGGCCAGAGTTCGTTCGCTGGCTACTACTACTACGGCCGCTCGCTCGCTACCGTACCCTTGCACCAAGAGCGAGATGGCACGCCCCGGTTGTCCAATTGACAACGACAATCCCCAAGCGCATCTTCAAACCACTTCATCTGCCCATCCTCACTATTCCGACAGGAACAACCACGAGGGCAGTCAACATCAACGACCTCTTCGAATGCAGAGCCAGATACACTCTGGTACTCTTCAGCTGCTTACATTGGCCTAAGGTGAGCTCCTCCCACCTGTAGCGTGCTCCTTCCCGACTCTTCGTCACCACGGGGAAAAAGCTCAAACCCTTTCGCACTCCTTACCACAAATTCATCCGTGACGATGACGAGCCGCACACATTGAAGTCAAAGTTGCTAACTCTACTTCCCACATCAATAGACAGCCAGTACTCCAGAAAGCCCGGGCTTCTGGTGTCAATTCGGTCCAGAAGGAGCTCCATCCGAATAAATACATTCGAGGCGGACCTGACTCCACAGCCTGAAGGTGCTGTCCGAGGAGAAGGCTGTCGTCCGTTGCAAGAGGTTAGTATTCCCATTCCTGGCACTCAACTCCATCCACGAGCCATTCACGTTCACTTGCGGCAACGAGGAAATTGGCTGACCCTTTCCGCAGAGCAGTGTGGTAATTTACTCAGCTCGCAGCGCGCAAGCTTATGAAACTATCGAAACTCACAACAATACGTCGCCCATAAGGGGTGGGAGCGAATCTCTCTTCACAGCGCAGTAGTGAACTTGGAGAGGCAGTATTAAGCACGCCAGGCTTATCCTTGACCAGGAGATGGTCCCACCGAAACAACACCCTGCTTCAATAAACAACGCCAACGGGTCTACGAGGCCAAACAGGGACCTGCCCAGCATGTCTTTCTCCAAGAAAGATTCTGGGGAATCCAGGCAGCGAAATGGAAATGGTATACTCCACCCACTCCCACAGCCGTCATATTCTCTACTGACCATGGGTGTCTTGCTATAGGTTTCCGCACTGACAGCGCGATCTCGGGCAATCGCCAACAAGGTGAGCGTGTCTTGCAGCCATGGGTACCAGATGAGAACATCCCCGTGAACATGGCTCTTGAGTCCACTGGCAAGCAATCCGGAGGTGGCTGGGATCAGTTTGCAGTGAACGAGCGCTTGTTCGGGTTGAAGACCGATTATGATGAGACCATTTACACCACAGCGATCGACAAGAGTCACCCAGAATATAGCAAGCGATATGCAGCAGCCGATAGAAAGGCCAGAGAGATTGAAAACAGTGTGGCCAACAACAGACACGTTGAGGAGGAGCGGGTCGCAGACAACCTCACAGTAGACGACAGTGGTCTTGATGAAGAGGACAAGTAAGTTCTAGCTGCTGTTTGAATTGTTATGCCCACTAACAACGACTTCCAGATACAGCGGTGTTCAGAGGCAGGATTTTCCTCCACTATCCGTGACTGGCCGGGCTGATAGGTACACACCACCTGCCAGAAGGGCCCCTTCAGGAAAGGCAACTGTCAGTGGTGCACCCGTGGACCCGGCCATTATCTCATCACAGCTCGCACGACCCCCCTCGGAAGCTCCATCTACGAGTACTACCAAGCCAGACCACGCACTGAAGGTTGGTAAACCAGAGGTATCGACCCCTCCTACAACCACCGAGTCTAGTTTTGCAGTGACACCAGAGCCGAAGGCAACTCCCACGAATACATCGACTTCTGCAAGTGGCGCAGCATCGCCTCATCCAAAGGTAATTGCCACGCCAAATGCAACTGCGACAGTCGAGCGTGATGTTGTTACAGCGTTTCGTGGTTTTGCGGCTCAACAAAGAACACAAGCTGATAAGCTGCGCTTGAGCAAGGCAAAGGCAGATAAAGAGGAGAAACTGCAGGAGCTCAAGGCGTTTGCTTCTAGTTTCAAATTGCATTCACCCCTTCCAAATGACTTGGTTGCCATTATCGCGAAGGACCCAGCGAAGCAGCGTGCTATTCAAGAAAATGCTAGACGTCAGGCGGAAGAGGTTCAGCAGGAGAAACAGATGAAGGCTGACGCCATTCAGGCCCCGAGATCGGGGTTAGCAGCCTCGGATCAGAGGACAACTCAACGCTCTGGCGCTGGCACTGGAACCGCATCCACTTCGGCCACCTCAAACCGACAAGCCCCAGGGCGTGGCGGTTATCCTCCTCAAGGGCCCTACCACAACAACCAACCGTTCCGACAGGATCGCTCTGCTCGTTCTCAGGTTTCAGGTTCCCAGCAAGGACACCCAACCCCTCCCTTGTCGACGAGGCTGAGGAATATTGAGCAAAGCAAGAATGGACTGGCTCCACCAGCTCCGGGTGCTGATACCCGACAGCCACCAACAGGGCCAGCCCATGGCCCTGATACTTCGGCTCCGAGGCGAACGAGTGCGACGACTCTACTTGGAAAGCTTAACCCAAACAGCCATGAGTTTCGCCCAAGTCCATTTGCTGCGGCTTTTAACCCCAATGGCAACCCAAGCACTGCATCCAGCCCTCGTTCGGCATCTGCTACAGCCACTCAGGGCATCCCATCCGCATCAGGAACTCTTCTACGCAGAAAGCCAGGCACACACTCGAAAGCTAAGACTGATGGGCCTGTCCTGGATATTATTGAGCGGTTAGCGAAAGAGACGCCTCCTCAAGGTCGCGACTGGTCCTCGAATGGCGGAATTAAGCCAGCCTATGATACCCCCCCAACTTGGAGACAAGTCAAAGACGACGAGCCACAGTCATCGACAATGAACTTGACATATGCCAAATTGTTCGAGAACGCTCGCTTCTCGGGGCAACCGATGTCTCCACAACAACCATCGGCGCATCCTCAGGTTGCACATCAGCATCAGCTGCCATTCCACTTGCAGCAAGGTGCCCATACTCAGAGACCATCACCAAGACAACCACCCCTTCATATGCACAACAACCAGTCGATGCAACAGAATGCTCAGTTCCATTCGAACGATGACCATCGGATGGTGCCATCTCACTCGGCTCAATCATACGCATCTCCACGCCTGGCACAGGTAAACGTGGCGTATCCATCGCCGATGGGCCAGCCCGCACAGTTGTCCTTCCAGCAACCTGGAATGCAATATCCCGTAGGTCCAGGTGGACCTCAGATGGCGCAGTTCAGATCCTATTCCGGTGGCCATCAATTTATGCCACAACAGCCAACCCACATGGGCGGTCCTGTTATGATTCAGGGTCCAGCCGGGTCTTTCATGGGAAACCCGAACCTGATGGCTCCGGGCCCACCCATGTTGTACCCTGTCAACCAGGCACACTTCACACCCCAAGGAAATGGACCCCCACCACCCATGGCGGGATCTAACGGCTACCCTAGCCCCGGTCGCTCTGCGCCCATGATGATGCCAGGTGGCTCTCAACAAGGGCAACAGGCATACGGAATGAGCCCAGGCATGCAGTATGGGCAACCAATTTATGCTCAACAACCTCCGGGACAAAGTAAGTTATTGACACACCTCCGTTTAAACCTTTTCTAACATTAGCTAGTGCCAAACATGCGTGTATACCCGCCGCAGGGACAGCAGTTCGGAACCAGTCCCCAGATGCCGCAGTATAGCCAGCCACAGCGAGGAGGACCGAACGGTAGCTACAACAAAGGCTACCACCAACACAACGGCCCCCATCCCCAAGCGCAGCAGAGCCAAGCTCCAACGGGCCAACAACGTCCGGCCGCAGATGGAGATGAGGCCAGGTGAAAACCGCCTTTGGCACATGGGTACTACGCTCCACGCGGAGTTATTGATCCCCGCAGACATCAAATATGTATCGATATCATCCGGGGGTTGCACCATCGAATTTAAAAAAATCATCATTGCATAGCTAGGTTGCATCAACAGGACATTACGCATGAGGTCTGCGGGGCGGGCTAGCCTTTGGGCGATTCAAGGCGAGAAACCAGAGGGTAAAATGGTTGACTGGATACTTTTGTTACGGTCGATAATATCTGGGCATCACCCACCCGGTTCGACAAAAAAAACCCTGGCCAAAGAGGAACGGAGACGGTCCTTTTTTTGGCCTATAGTACCAGTTAGGAGGAAGGGAGGGACCATGCCTTTGGTGGTGTTATATCTATCGAGGGGGGAAGCAGTAGCGAGAGGGGAGGAAGCGTGAGGGGTGCGGAACATGGTCAGATTGATTCAAATACATTAGCTCTTATAACATATTCTCCTAGCCGGCAAAGGCAGACAATATAAGTGGAGGATCCCCAACACTAGAATCCACATTTGAGTAATGCCAGTTGCCACATAAGCTGAGATTACTGTCTTATGTGATGTGATGATATGTGCCAGCGTTACTGGCTTTCCAGGACGTAGTCATTGCCTTGGCCATCCTGACTGACTGGCTGCATCATTCCGTGATTTCCATACCCCCAGGATACAGTACACACACCCTCCTCAATCCTCCTCCTCACTACTCAACTCCACCCCAGCCTCCACATCCGAAGGCAACTGCCTCGGAAACCACCCAAACTCCCCAAAATCAACCAAGTACTCCCCCAACGCCCCCGTGCTAACAGTCACTCCCTCCGCTCTCAACACTGTCGCCTGATTCGCGGCACCTGATGGATGACCGCTGTTCTCGCATTAGTCCTCCAGAGCTTTGGATAAAATGATATCGAAGGGAGGAGGGGAGAGTGTATGATGGGTTGGGGGGCTTACCGTGGAGAGATCATGCCTTTGGCACTTATAACCCGTTGCCAGGGGACAGTCTGGCTATTAAACCGCTGTGCTGGGTCATCAGGGAGGTGTTTGAGACATACGCCTACTTGGCGGGGTCGTTGGGCTTTTGGGGGGTGTTAGCTGGGTCATGATCTGAGACCATAACGGGGGCTTTGGGGGGTTGTGGAGTGCAGGGAGAGAGGGAGGAGGGGGAGCCTTACGAGTCCCGATCAGTTTTGCAATGTGGGCGTAGCTTGTTACGCGGCCGGGGGGGATCTCTTGGATGGCGGCGTAGACGGCGTGGAAGAAGGATTCGGCTTCGGGGGTGCGGGGCATGGTGGGATGGGTGATGCGGGGTTTGAGGTGGGATGTGGTTATGGGGTCATTGTATTGGGCAGTTAGTATGGGAGGTAGGTGGTGGTGATTATGGTATATGATTGTTGGATTTGAGAATGGGGATGTATGTTATGCTTAACTTGTGGTTTTGTCAGCGGCTTACAAAGTAGCGGCCGCTGTTGGTGGTTGTCGTCGATCTGGGTTGGTTTAGGTGATTGGCTCCTTGACCGGTGGTCTGGAACCTCTTAACTAACATCTCGGTGGGAATTAATTATCCGTGGAGTTATTCCCAGTAGAATATTCAATAGTTGCTAGATTGCCTTTCATCTCATCACTTGCAAACTAAAACATAGGTATTATGAAATATTTATTTGTATTGTATTTGTGATATATATATATCGAAATATGGCCATATGCCTCCGCCCCCTGTATTTATTCTACACGCCCAACCAACCGGTCTAAATCATCTAACCCATAAACAAAAGAAAACTGATGAACGACCCATATACACAACCCCATCAATCATCGACCCCACCCTACAACTTAGCCTGGAGGCCACGGCCCGTCTCATCATTCTTGATCAACACATCGCTCTCCGGGTAAGGGTCCACAGTCAGCCCATTCAGCGGGTTCAGCTGGCTAGCCCTGTAGAACATATCCTCATAAACCTTTCCATCCTTGCGGCCCAGACTGCTGTCCAGCTGCCAATCCGGGAACTGCCACGCGTCAACCAGGCGCAGGGCATGCGGCCTGATGTCGGCGAGGAGCTGCATAACCGACTTTGTGCGGACGAGCTGGATCTGGCGGACTGTGAGGGCGGAGGAGGAGTAGAACTCCGAGGCCTCCTTCTCGAGGGTGCTGAGGGCGAAGAGGCGGAAGAGCTGGTGCATGGTGGTGATGGAGACGGAGTCGAGCTCGTAGGTGAGGGAGGAGGACTGCAGGGCGTCGTAGAAGTTCTTGACGACGAGATACTGCGAGTGTGCGGTGGAGAGGCGCCAGAAGTCGACGAGGAGGGAGTTCCACGACTGCTTCTCGACGTCGCGGTGCTTGAGGGCCTCGAAGGTGAGGTAGGATGTGCGCCAGGCGAAGGCGGCGACGATGTCGCCGTCGTTGGAGAGGATGTCGAAGGCGCAGCCCTTGTCTTGCGCGTCCAAGAAGGTGCGGAAGATCTCGGTGGTGTCGTTGACAGGTGCCTTGCCCTTGAGGACGGCACGTGCAGACTTGAGGAGGTAGCGTGCAACCTGCTGGGTCAACATGTAGTTGTCTCCCTCCCAGGTGGTGGTTGGGAGGTAATCGGCATACCAGCTGCCGATACCAGAGAACTGGGAGTAACCGTGGCCACCGCAAGCTCTTCTGCACACCTCCAGACCCTCAGCAGCAATGGTGCTGCCAAGTGCCTTAAGACCACAAGAAGTGGCGTGGAGATCAGCAAGCATGTCGCTGCCTGACTGGAGCTCCTCTGGGCCGGCACCTCTCCTGGTGTTTGCAACAGCCTTCTTCATCCTATCCTGGTTCTGTGTATACATCTCCATCATGGCCTTGCCAGTGAAGTGGAGAGCGAAGGTGGATGCGAGGAGAGGGAGGAGACGGAATTGCACCATGCTGTAGTTGAGAACTTGGTTCTCGGTGACGTCGTTGGAGACATCATCGCGGTCCTGGAATTGCCTGCGAACAGCACAATACCTGGTGGCAATGGTCACACCTCTTGCCAGGGTCTGGCCGGACTGGAGCACAATGGTGGAGCGAACCCAGGTCATGGTTCCGTAAACCAACGAGGCAGCCGCTGGGCGGACGTACTTGTTGGTCTTGACGTCGACGCTGGAGTACTTTGCCAACATGTTGACGTGGGGGATCTTGACCTTGTTGAAGAGGAGGAAACCGTTATCCATAGTGTTGTAACCCTAATAGCGTCGTTAGCTCTTGTTCTTCCATTTCTGGGTCTCCGTGCAGTTACTTACGAATTTTGGTCCAATATCTCCGACGTAAACACCGTCGAGGGGCTGGTGAGTCTTCAAGTCTCTGACTTGGACAACGAAGGGGTGTGGTCCAAAGGACTTTCCGTTGAGGATAAGCTGCGCCATAACCACGGCGTAGTTGGCAGTGCGGCCCAAAGAGCCAATCCACCATTTCGAGGCAGTGAGATGGGGGGAGTGAATGACGAAGGTCTGGTCGGCGGGGTCCCAGGTGGCGGTAGTCTCAAGACCACGAACGTTGGAGCCGTGTCCCAACTCGGTCTGGGCGTAGCAACCAATGTACTTGTAGTTCTCTGCTGGCTCAAGGAAGAGCTTGTGTTGTTCGGCAGTTCCCTGGTCTCTGAGGGCAGTCTGGATAGATTAGTTAATGCGCTGCCGATACCGGTACCACTGTTGGGGAACATACCAAGAACATAGATGCGTGAAGTCCGTATGGGCCGGGCTCGGAGATCAGGCCATCGGCGACTCTGTAGTCCTCGATGCTCCAGTTGTGCTTGACTTGCAGCTGCCTCAGCTTCTTCGCTCTGGCGAGTGCAACTGGGAACTTCTCGACTCTGCCCATGAAGGCATTTTGCGACTTGTCGAACACCTTCTCCGACTGGAGGATGGCCAGGATCTTGGCGTTATTCTCCAAAGCCTCCTTGCCGAACATGAAGTTGGACAACTTGTCAATGTTGATGTTACTCTTCGCACGCTCCGTTGCGAGGAGCTCACTGCCCTGCGGCCCGGAGGGCGTCAACTTCGCGACCCAGTCTGGAGGAGGAGCAACCATTTTGAGCAAGTTGGTATTAGAAATGGAGATGGGGTATATTGGTGAGAAAGGATTCTTGGAATGGGCACAGCAGTCTATTATAGGAGTTTCAAAGGAGATAATCGGCCCTCGGTCAACTTTATCAATCTGACCAGTTGTTGTCCAGTGTTCCAATCGTGAACCCACTTACATCATCCAAAACCCCAAAAACCCCAAATCTCGGCTGAATATACCGAGGCTCACGGCGTTAGCCCCACTAAAATGAACTCGCTGGGCCATGTCCGTCCCTCGCCGTTTCCCGGAGTATATGGGGAAAAAGGGGGGTATGGGGGGGTATGGGGATGCACAATAGTATAGAGGGGTAAACCAATTTGAGCACGAGAAGACAGAGTTATAATTGAATATATTTGATTTTGCTTCATTTTTTGGAGATTTTGGAGATTTTTGGAGAGGATACATTCACATGTACCGATTAGCGCTTCGTTGATATGCACTGGCTGGGATCTAGAACGGCATCAGATCGTCCGGTGCCGCCGATGGTTTTTGGCGTGGGATTCCCACCTGTAAACACGTGCCGCGTCCTCAAGAAAAAAAATTATAACAATCCACATTGGCATGTGAGAGGAAGGAAGCTCAGAGACATATACACATGTTTCTAGACGTCTGATTGCACCTCCTGTGCCTCTCATTTGTCTCCACTCCACGGAAATCATGTCATTTAGATGAACATTGCTTGTGAAGTTGACATGACAGCCTTGACTTGTCCAGAGGATGAATCCCTTGAATGCCTTGGGCTTTCACGAGATCCAACGCCGTGATAGAAGCCCGATGCGGGTTAATAAGAGAGATCTAGTATGATGATATACAGTACGGCCGTAAATAGTAAGCATGGCCTGCCTGTTCATATAACGGTCTGTCTCTGTCCTCCGTGATCGGTATTTCATACTCCATAGCCACTGTACAGACGCGTGTGGGACTTCATACCAGAACGTCTGGATAGAATTTCGTGCTGAACCCGCTGTGGGCTATCCTGGGGAAAAAAGTCGTGGATGAGAAATCCGGGGAAGACGATACCTGACAATGAAAACTTCGCAATATGTTAGCAAACTTTCCAGGCAGTGTAGGACAGCCGGAGGGGTGTCTTTGACAGACTCGCTTGGCTTGACACCGATGAAGCCAAGAATGATTTGTCTCATCCAAGCAAATTGCTTGCAGACAAATTCATGCAAAATCTCAAATCCCTCCCCAGCGTTTGCATCGCGCTGCCTCTATCTTCTAGAAACCCCGTATTGGCAAGATCACGTTCCTCCAGATCTCGTGACACGTCGCAATACAGACTGTAAAGTAGGCCCGAATGGTACATGAACTGCTCTAGATGCGCATTCCCATGGGAAGGGAAAGTGATGGTCTGAATGCGAGGGATTTTCGATGCTGCGATTGTGTACGGGTGGCACGTCGTCGCGGGTGGCTTGCACTGCGGAAGGGGATCGTTCCAACGTTTGGGGCCAGCTGCATAGCAACCCGATGCCGGTGACGGGAACAGAGTTGATCACCTGCAGGCATGCGACATGGTTGCTCAATTCATGTAAATGCCGATGGGGTCTCGATCGTGTAACGGGATTGCGAATGTGGTGAGACCAGTGTAACGTTCTTCCAAGCCGCATCGGGGTTGCCGGGCCTGGAGTTGTTTGAAGAGAAGGAAGGAACGGATGACAGGCAAGAGGGGGGGGGGAGAGCATTCGACAGGAGCAAGAACTGCTTCATTCGTTGATAGCAGAGAGGTCTTACCATCGCTGCCACCATCGCCATCCTTGTCAGCACCATGTCGGAGATATTGAGATAGATGGAGGGGTCTAGCCCATATAAGCCCGCGTTATGGATATCGGTTCTTGCACTGTAGGTGCTGCACATGCTGTGCTTGTCCTCGTACCTATAAAATCATTAGAGAAGAAGGTGAAGCTGAAGCTGATTCACAGCGGCTGGGAAGATACATCCGGCTTGTCTGTCCTATCTGTCGAATGTGACTGTACCTACGTTGCAGCGCATATAACAGTATCTGTCTGTGAAGAGTAAGAGTACTTGATCTGTATAGTACCTTACAGCATAACATGTATGTACCCGTGCACTGTTGGAGAGCAAGGGACAAATTATTGGGAGACAAGGTTTCACGGTGATGTCCTGTCAGACTTCAGACCCTTGTGGCCAGTCAAAAGAGTTCAAAAGAGTCAAAAGTGAAGCTACAGCGCGGGAATGTGGTTATGCAAGATGGGTATCTGTATTATCTGTATGCGAGATACTACATATCATCTTATTCTGTTACAAACAAACCCCTTTGGTCTCATATTTTGTCCCACCACCACCGTCCATATTCGCTTTTTTTTTATCTGGGCATCCAACAACAGCAGCAGTATGGATGTAGCAAGTGTTCCCATCTACTGTGTTTACCCGGTATTTATTCGATTTATTGCCTGTAGAACATAGGAGGAAAACTGGCGCTGTTGATGCCAGCGCGACAAATCCTATATGCAGCCAAGGTGGGTTTGGGGAATGCAGTTATGCAGGAGTTGGGGCTGAAAACCCCCCAGCCAAAGATGACCGGATAAACAGAAAGAGCTACTCTCTCTGCACTGTACACCTGACGATATCTATAGACATTTTATTCGTTTGTATGTATGCACTCAGCTTACATATTAGTCTCAGTCGCATGCGAATGCGAATGAAGAGGTTGTCATAGTTGATCGCACCTGCTTGCTCTAATACCTCACTCATGTCGTGAATCACTCCCAGGTGGATTTACCGTGTCTTGGTATCGCTTCTCGTGTCTCTCATGTCTCTCATGTCTCATCTGACTTACACCTACACTTCTTGAGATTCCTCTCCTGTCAAACACACGTCCTGTCAAGCTTAAACCCCTCACTCGCGGCTTCCAGCCAACCTCCTTCCTGCAAACGCCCAAACCCAACTACACGTTCTGACTGATTTCGAAATAAACTTTGCATGAATACCTCTTCTAGTTATATCTTTAAAGCCGACTGGTTCCCCTGAACTGGGACATACTTCTCTCTGTGAATATCAATATCCGTTGGTCACTTCCAAGCAGACCAAAGATGCCTGGACGTCGCAGCAATCCCTCGATGGAGCTGAAGAGAGGCGTGGCCCCAGACGCTTTCTCATCTGATTCTGAGCGAGGCTTTGAGCATAACGCGCAGCTGAAGAATACTACTGTCAAGCATTTTATTTGGCAGGATGTCACAGTTACGGTGCAGGACCGGGCCACCAAGCAGCCCAAGGAAATCTTAGAGAATGTGGATGGAGTTGTCTTAGCTGGTATGATACTATTCCCTGCTACACCACGTTGGATTTGTATACTGACATGAGCCCCACCCAGGCGAGATGTGTGCTCTGATGGGCCCAAGCGGCTCTGGAAAGACAACTCTCTTGAACTTCCTCGCCAGACGCGACAACCCTGGAGCTGATGCGACTGGCATCGCCTCCGTCAATGGAGATGCCTTGTCCCTCAACGAGTTCAGGAAGATGAGCACCTACGTTGAACAAGAGGACGCCTTGATTGGATCTTTGACGGTCAGAGAGACTATGAACTTTGCTGCACGTTTGTCAAATCCTGGGTCAGCATCACTCACTTCCAACTCACTCAATATGGCATGCTGACATGGGGTCTTCCTTAGTCTCACGAAGAAGGACCGCATCATGAGAATCAATGGTTTGATTGACTCCTTTGGTCTCCGGAAACAGGAAGATACCATCATTGGAACACCAATTCGCCAGGGCATCAGCGGCGGGCAGAAGCGTCGAGTCAGCGTAGCAAGTCAACTGATTACGGCGCCAAAGATCTTGTTCTTGGACGAGCCAACCAGTGGCCTCGACTCCGCAGCTAGCTTCGAAGTTGTCTCCTTCATCAGGACATTGGCAAAGCAAAACAATGTAAGTCGGGTCGACATGCAGCAGTTGATGGTATCTGACAGACGTGCAGTTGATTGTGATTGCCAGCATCCACCAGCCATCTACGCAAACGTTCTCTCTCTTCGATAAGCTGTTACTCCTCTCAGCGGGCAAGCCACACTATTTCGGGGCTGTGGATGATGTGGTTCCATACTATATGGAGATCGACCACCCGGTTCCATTGCATATGAACCCTGCGGAACATGCATTGGAATTAACTAACAAGGATTTCGGATCCGACCCAGTTGAGGCAGAAGAAGAATTATCCAAGCTTCAGACAGCCTGGTCTTCTAGTCCACGCGCCGAAGCGATTTCCAGCCAGGTCACCTCCCACCTCATAACTGCGGGCGAAGGCAAAACACATAATTCAAAGACTAGCTCCCATGCTAATTTTGTGGCGGTCACAGTTACTCTCGTCCATCGCTCTTTTATCAAGTCCTATCGCGACGTCGTGGCATACGGAATACGCCTGGCAATGTACAGTTGCCTTGCCATCATGAGTGGGACAGTGTGGCTACGCCTCAGCCCGGCCCAGACGTCTATCCAGCCTTTCATCAACGCTATATTCTTCGGAGCTTCATTCTTATCATTCATGGCCGTTGCTTACGTGCCATCGTTTCTCGAAGACAGGCTAACTTTTATCAAAGAGCGCTCAAATGGCCTCTACGGCGCCGCTGCCTTCACACTTGCCAATTTCATCATTGGCCTCCCATACTTATTCGGCATTGCACTTATTTTTACATGTATTTCATACTGGCTGACCGGCTTCCACAATACGGCCCCTGCTTTCTTCACCTTCGTCATGTGGGTGTTCCTCGACATGGTAGCCGCGGAGAGCCTAGTCGTTCTGATGTCCTCCATCTTCCCCAACTTCGTCGTCGCCCTCGCGCTCACAGCCTTTGTGAACGGACTCTGGATGTGCGTCGGCGGTTTCCTGATCCCCACGCCCCTCCTGAACGTGTTCTGGAAATACGTGTTCCACTACATCGACTACCAGGCCTACGTCTTTCAGGGGCTTCTGGTCAACGAGTTTGCCGATCGTACGTACAATTGCGACCAGAATTGCCACTGCATGTATACCACGGAACTGGCCGATCAATGCATGATCTCTGGAAAGGGGGTCCTTGCTACGTTTGGGATGCACACGGGTCAGACTGGCACTTGGGTGGGGATCTTGATTGGGATTGTGGCTTTTTACCGACTTCTCGGGTGGGCTGTGTTGGCGGTCAAGCGCTGATATCTCCAATATCGCTAGTATTACTAATATTGCTAATGTTGCTAATATTGCTGGAATTTGGTGTTTGAAGGGGGAATATATATCTAAAACTCATCGGGATTTGTTGTTTCGGGGGGCGTGTGTAGCTAAAATTTATTGCCTGAATTAAACTTGATGGATTAATTATTTTTAGCCCGGTTTCTTGAGTAACAGCTTTATTAGAATGACGTATTAAATAATTACTGGGATGAGTGATCGAAGGCTTCGCTTCAGAGGATATAGATCTTGAGCTTGTCCTTCGAAGACCGAAGGCGGGTCTGTAGACATGGCCATGGCAAACAACCCAGGTTGACTTCGTGTTACTTGAATAGCTGTGATGACATTTTCTAGGCATTGGGAGACAACCATGCCTTTTGAACGGATCTCTCTCGAACGAGCAGGTCTACTTAATAAATCCTAGCTTATATTTGACCTAGATCGGGTGCGGATTTGAAAAGACTCCTATTTAAATCCTAAGAAAATAAATAAATATACGGTTAATATTGTAACTGAAGCAAAAATATCCGTAAAAAACCCCCCAATACCTCACTCCATAGCCTTTCTAATAAAAGCGCTCAGCTTGCCAATTTCCGGCCCTGCCTCCACCATCGTGAAATGATTCACATTATCCAGCACTGTAATCCTCATATTCTCCTTCCCAACCAACTCACACCACCCACCCCCACTAAAATCAGTCCGATTATTCAACAACCACAACATCTCCCTCGGATCATCAGGGCGAATCTCAGGCCTAGGGTCACTCGGCAATTTGCAAATCCCGTCTCGAGCATACACCATATGCGTCTCCAACTTGCCCTTAAAAGGCTTAACCTTATACTCATCCAGCAATCGAATAAACGCGTCAAAATGCGGCCGAAGCCAGCTTGGGGGTGGCTTCCCGCCTTCCCCAAAGATCCTGAGACTATCAAAGAAATCGTACATTCGCTGGGGAGGGTTCTCTAATCCGACGGGGTTGGGTGAGTCGACAAGGATGAGACGTGTTGTTGATTCGCCGGCATGGGATAATTGCTGCGCTGCTTCGTAGGCGCAGATGCCGCCTGCTGACCAGCCACCGAGGTAGTAAGGACCGTGGGGCTGTCGACGGCGGATTTCGAGGAGGTATTTGGCGGTTAGCTGTTTTAGCGGGACTGTCATGCCTTGTGGTGTCTTCATCCAGGGGCAGTTTAGGCCGTATACGGCGATGTCGGGGGAGATGCGGGTGAGGGAGCTGTATGATGTTGCGGATCCGGAGCCGTCGGGGAAGAGGAAGAGTTTCTTTGTTGCGGTCTTGGAATTTCCTTGGAGGAGGACTGAGGTTGCGTGAGGAGCTGTGTCGATGATGTTGACTTCCTGAATGGTCTGAAGTTTTGTGGCATTGGGGCATATTTTGACATGTGTGCGCTTTATAGTCATGTCTAAAGCCCTTTCTAGGTCATACAATGTGGCGTTTTCGACGAAAAGAGACTGCGGCACCTCGATATCGAGAGCTTCGCTGAGCTTGCCCATGGTTGTCAATGCTAGAAGAGAATCTATGCCGAGTTCTGAGAGCCTGGCGGAAACGGTGAGCTCTTCTATGGGAACGCCCGTCTCTTCTGAGATAGTACTACGGATAATATCAACAATCCTGTCGGTGTCTGGCTCAGAAACCAGCTCCGCCGTCAATACGTCCGTATCCCCCTGACTTGAAGACCCAGAGGACAGGGCCGGACTCCGGTCCACACCGATGAAGCTTTGGAGCTTCTGGACGGTTGGATAGTCTGCAAAAATTGTTGATGGCAGGTCGAGCCCTACCTCGTCCCGTAATCTACCCAGTATTGTTAGAGAGAGAAGAGAGTCAATGCCAAAATCAGCAAATTCCGTCTGGGGCTTGAGCTCTGATGGGTCGATGCGGGCCTCATCCGAGACTATTGCCATGACTTGAGAAATGATATGATTCGATGAGAGTTTGGTAAGATTTGTATTAGGTGCTATTGGAAGCTTTGGTAATTGCCTTGCTGGTGAGATGGCGCTGGTATTGGCCGTTGGCCTTCGAGGCACGGCAGAATTTTTGACTGAGCTGGGCTTGGAAGGCAAAACCTGATCCAGAACTCTTCGTGGAATCCCTAGAAACTATATACTGTCAGAATGTACCGCAACTTCATGGAAAATAGCAAATCATACTTTAACTCCTTCGAAAATGGCTACAATATTGCCTTCTTCAAGAATATATGTGTCTCCTGCATACAACGTACCTTCCACTTGCTGCATCTTATTGTACGTCTGATATGTTTGGCCATGAGCGAAAGTCGTTGCACAGCGCATTGCCTCCCAACCGTGATTGATAAAAACCTGGTCAACATTGTCGTTTCCGTTCATGATAAACCCAGCAATATGCCCGAGACTGTCTACCCAATGAGGACTGAAACAATAACCGTCGCCGCCGACCTGGAATGTAACCTTTGCTGTAGCTTCTAGCTCGCTGCTGTCTAAAATTACTTCTTGCATGCCTTGGTACTGGGCATCGTACTCTACTATTGCTCCAAATAGCTTGTACACGAGTCCGCGCTTTAATTTGTTTGACTCGCCTTCGTCGACACCTTTGTGCAGGGAAGCGATCCGGCCCTTGATCAGATATGCATTTCGTTTCCAATCCTGAAGCCAAGTTTGGTTTGGGGTGAGTTTGACATGGCATGTGGCATGGTCCGCTTTCTTGCCGCCCTGGTCGTTGATGCTGTAGAATGCGAGTGATATGGTTTTTGACGCCCAATTAGCCAACCCAGAAACCCGAAACAGCTGCGGATTACCAGCCGGAAGTGCTATGAGAGGCTTGTCAACTTTCATGTCTCCAACATCTAGGCCTATATCGCCGCCTTGCATATCGATTGCTTTCATCATGTAGTTGGCAATTGTCAGGGCAATATCCGCGTAAAGAGACTGGAAACGATTAGTTGTAGTTAAAAACAAACTTATTGGAGGTGCAACATACTGAGGGGCAGAGGCATGTGCCATTGACCTTATGGCCTTGGAAAACAGGTGATAGCCGCGGGTCTTGAATGTCTGATTCAACGAGGATATTTGAGACGTCTGGAGCGTGATGCTCTTCTAGTACACGTTGAACAGATGGTGACAAATAAACAAAGTCGGGCCTCGTCTCGGCAGGAGGCGCATCAATAACCGCTGTGCTTTCTCCTTTGGTAAGACAGAAGTTATTTCGATACTGGATCCAGTAATTCTTCAAGTCCCAGCTGTATCCTGGGAGCCGGAGAACGGTGTGTGAGCTTTTGAAATCTCGATGCCACTCATTCCACTCTATGTTAACGCGGTTGAGATATAGCGTTTCGAGGCCTCCCGCTAGGACTTTCCAGGTATCAACGCCCTTTCTCAGGGATGGAATTGTTATTGATTGTGTACCAATTGTCCCTTTGATCATTCCAGAGCATACAGGGTGTGATCCAATTTCGATCCAGATAGTTTGGTCATCAATAAGGGAGGATTCTTTTGCTGACTTAAGAGCTCCTTGAAAGTTTACTGCACTTCGACACGCCCGAGCGACGTACGATGCGTTTAATACACACCCATCTGAGATAACCGATTCGAGTAAAGGCGATATATACGGTAATGATGGAACTCGATAACGAATGCTCCCCGTTGCTGATTCGAATCCCTCTAAAATGGGATCCACCTGGGCCGAATGAAAGGCGAATGGGATATCAAGTTTGACGCACTCATAACCCTTCGATAGAAACAAAAGCATTAAACGGTCTACCTCCTCGCTCGGTCCGCTAATCACATTATTTGTAGGCTGGTTCATACAGGCTATTTCACAAGTTGATCCTACCAAGTAGGGTCTAATATCATCTGACGATGCCTTTATAGACAACATGGCGTGGGTTCCTCGGCGACAGTGGCTCGACAATAGTTGGGCTCTGGTACCGACGAGATAGATGACATCGCTGGGTGTTAGAACACCTGCAGTTTGTAAGGCGGCATATTCTCCAAGACTGTGGCCAATTGTTAAATTCGGTCGAACGCCCCATGAGATCCAAAGGCGACAAATCGCCATTTGCACGCAGCTAAGAGCAAGGTGAGCTGCGACAGTCTCAGCACCGTCTACATCTGAAGCCGTACCATCAACTAGAGGTAAAAAGCTCGAAAATCCTTGCTGCTGTGCTATACTATCGAAACGGAGTATATCCGCCTTAAAGCCGGGATAGCACTCAAATAGTTGTCTTCCAATTCCCGAGTAGAGGCTGCCTTGGCCTGAGAAAGCAAATGCTATTTTTAAAACACTGGTCGTGCTTGTAAGTGGCATCGACTCCGAATCTGCTATCTTTTTCTTCAATGCATCCGAGATAGATTTTATGTCTGATCCTGAACATATTGTTCTATACGAATAGTGCATTCGCCTTGCAGTAGTCGTATATGACAGTGCAGGTAGCGGGGTGTCTGGATTCAGCTCAAGGAAGTTAATCAGAGACTTGATATTATCGTTCAACGACTTTGCAGACTTTCCAGTGACAGCAACTAGATGGGTGCTGCGAGGGTCACTGGTAATATCGATTGGATGTGATAATGGAGCATCTTCCAAGAGTACGGCCGTATTACCTCCTGCAGCACTGAAATTGTTCAAGAAAACGGACCGCTTCCCAGAAGCAGTTCGGTGCCAAGGAACGGGCGTGGCGGCGATATTAACATTCCGCTCTTTCAGATCGAGGGGATATTTGTGATTAATCCGTGTTTTTATTCCGCAATGAGGTGGTATTTCATTGTGCTTCATCATCATTAACACCTTGATGAGCGAAGAGACCCCTGATGCTGATTCCGCATGGCCGATATTGGCTTTTGCTGAACCCAGATAGAGAGGATGATCTGGCATTCGTTTGCATTCAGGGACAAATACTGATAACACAGAATTCATTTCTGTCGCATCTCCAGCTTGAGTCCCTGTTCCGTGCATTTCGACGTAACTAATATCGAGTGGGTTCACATTGGCGTGTCGAATGATGCGCTTGAAGACAGATGTTTGGTCGCCTTCATGAGGTCTAGTGATGGAATCTGTTTGGCCACAGTGATTTGTGTATGCCCCTACAATGACACCGAAAATAGGGTCATTGTCGGCTTGAGCATCTTCCAGCCTCTTGAGAATGACAGACCCCACAGCGTCGGCGCGGCAATAACCACTAGCTTTATCGTCAAAAGCATCACAATTGCCTATAAAAAAAGCATGGTTAAATTGGTCCATTTAACCTATTATAATGATGGGTTTAAATACCTGTAGTCGTTAGGAAATGACCTCGATCAAGGCCAGCAAAATTGTCGGGGTTCGTCAGAACATTGGTTCCACCTGCAATGGCAGTGTCGCACTCTCCTCTCCACAGATTACTACAAGCAATTTGAATTGCTGCAAAGCTAGACGAACAGGCAGTGTCTATGCTTAAACTGGGGCCAGAGAACCTGAAAAAATAGCTATCATCTGGAATTAGTCAATATGCACTTCGTATTGCAAAAATATCGTACCTAATTCTCCCCGGAACAAATGCACGGTTTCCACCTGGAATAAAATAGGTATCTACATCTTGGCCACTGTTAACTTCTCTCCAGTCGTCGCTAGTGACACCATAGAAGACGCCGATGCGGTCCTGTTGCGTTGATGGCGTTCTATTGGGCACCATTCCTGCCATTTCAAGTGCCTCATAGGTAGTTGTGATGGCTAATCTTTGAGCTGGATCTGTGTTCTCGGCTTCTCTTGGAGATATGTTGAAAAAGCGAGCATCGAATAGCCCGGGCTCCTTGATGAAGCAACCATATTTGACCCGACTGGTGTTTTTGGTCTTTCCAGTGGGGTCATAATGGGCTTCCCAGTCAAAACGGTCCTTTGGGACAAGACGATGAACATCCTTCCCGGCGCGCAGCAATTCCCAAAATTCCTCATTTGACGCAGCGTCTGGAAAACGACCCGAATATCCGACTACGGCAATCTTGGATTGATCTAAACGTCCACTGTGTCTTCGAGGTTGTGGTACCGATCCAGTTTTTGCAGACAAGTCATTAACGGTGACGACCATTTTTGTGCCCCTTGAGATGGCCGAGGAAAGGAGAGTGGAAGCATTTGATGATAGCGTGTGGATTGCGCATTCGTGAAAATTCCTGTTCGCGAGGAGTTTGGCGGTTGACTCAAGAATATTCCTCCATTGAACTTGTTCGCGTAATGTGTCTGTCACGACTTCATGTAACAGGTTCTTGAAGTTTTCGGCAAGAATGGACTTTCCAGATGCCGCAGACCAAATGGGAATTCGTGGCTTGTACGAACCAAGTAATTTGTCATCAAACCGGCAGATGATTTCATCAATGTCGCGCGAGTGGAAAAGATGAGGCGCATGGTACGGTAATTCGACAGGTATGTGATAAAATTTCAGGGAATATGCTGCAAAGAACTCCTTTAAGCTGCTGGGAGCGCCGCTGATAGTTACATTCGACGGTGTTATGGCGCTCAAATATGGTTTAGAGCTATGGGAGAGACCCTTCATCAACGGTTTCGGTTAGCCCCTATTAAACGACCGTGATTGAGTACCACCCCGTTCTAACTCACCTTTTCCAAAATAAATCGCTCAATCAAGTCAGAAGCTTCGTCCTCCTGGATGTTTGCCACTGCAGACCAAGACCGATGATGTCCATTGTCGGGCTCTTCTATGTCATTTCGAACAGCCAAAGTGCAGAGAGCGGTTCTAAAGGCCGTCAGGACAGCTTCGACTCCTGCCGGGATCAACTCGGCCAAAGTTTGGGATGTGCTGACTGCTGCGGCCGCAAACCCACCTGCACATAACCCCAAACAGTAGCTGTCGGTGGCACTGGGGTACAGCCTTGACCCCTCCCCAAAGTATCTAGCAGTGTTGCGTCAGTATTTTGCCTATGGAAGGCGGGCTTTTCAAGTTTACTTAATGAACTGGCCGATTTCGCAAACTGGAAGAAGGGTAAACCTCAAAACGGGGTTCCCTTCTGTTTCCACCAAATTTGAGATAAGGTCAACAAGTGTAGTGAACCGTGGAAACAGATCTTGCTGGTTGCTGGGAAGATTTCCAAATTCCTGCCGAAGAGCATAGCTAACTTGGTCGAAAAACGAACGAAGGCTTTCATTCCCCCTGATGTGAACCAGCTGGCGAAGCTCGTCTTCGAAACGGATGGCTAAGTCGCCAAAAAGGAGGACCTGGCAAGAAGCCATAATTTCTGTTCGTGGCTGCATTCTCAGAGAAACTGAGTCATTCATTCCTCCACTGGCATGTCTCGAAGTTCACAGAGTTGGGAGCATAATTATATGGGCGCTGGGAAATCATAGCCACAGCAAAATCCTCCATCGTTTCTCACTTCACAGGGATCCAACCTTAATAGATACAAGACCTTGGCCAATTCGACCAAGGTCCCGTATTATTCCATCCAAGGAAATTCAGCCATAATTGGCCACTGATAAATATTAGCTGAAGCCGAAGATGCCTGGGTGCTACCATCCCCATATTCGGAGCCTTGCCTTGCACTAAGTTCGGACACCGTTTCGCAAACCGCTCACCTGCCTCGTCGGTCCTGTCGTAGATATTAGCTGCATTTGATTGGTTGTGCCGCAATCCGCCACTCCCCGGGGTCCGATTCAAGTCGTGGCATTTGTATAATGAGGCTACAGCGGCATGATCACGCAGTTTATAGTATTCCCATGTCCACGGCGCGCGGAGGAGCGGAAAGCAAGGAATAAATGCCGCTGTGGGTATTGCTCTGCAGTATAATATATTGTATTATAATACAACTCGCGCATCTTCTCTGTCACGCGTTGTGGTGTCCATCAACGGGAGCCTCGACGTGAGTCCCCTTAGTTAAAGTCATTGCAAAGAACCTACGCAGTATCCAGTGCAAGAATAAATAAACTGCGTCCAGTATGAATTTTAACCCTTTGCCAGATTACAAGATGGCGCATATCACAAGTACAGCAAAGGCTCATGTGCTCGTCGAGGAAGGATGGACGTCAAACGGTTAAATTATTAATCCGATCCGTGAATATGAGAGGGGCCGAGACGAACCATCACGCCGCTACCGCTTTCACCTTAGCTTCCATGCGTTGTTAGAGTAGCTTTGCTTCCAGATATCATTATCAATCCCACTACCTTCCTGTCTGTCCATCTGTGCATTAGTGGGATTTTAGTGCTCGGGTTATAAAGGATGTCACGGTGGCGGAAAAGGCGTCTGAGATTTGTGTAAACTTTAAACTTTGATTATCAATAATTATCTACATGACCGAATTACAACCCCCAGAGAAGACTTCGCCGCAGTCGCCTTCCACTGCTGCACATGTTAATACATGTGAAGCAGATGAAGGCGGGATTGTTGATTTTGATGGCCCTGCTGATCCAGCGAACCCACTGAACTGGTCGTTTTCAAGAAAAGTGGTTACGAGCGGTCTTTATAGTCTGACAAGCCTCGGATCCGTGTGGGCAAGCACAGCGTTAGAAAACTTGTGAACCCAAAATTTATATCCAAGTTGCTAATCGATCTATCAGATATGCGCCTGCTAATAGCAAGATCGCCGACGAGTTTAATGTGTCACCAGACGTGGCCATCATCGGGACAAGTCTTTTGCTCTTAGGGTCAGTGGAGCCCTTGGTATCGTCATGGCCACTGCTGATTTACCACATAGTTGGGGTTTCGGACCGCTACTTTGGGCACCGCTGTCAGAAGTCTATGGTCGAAAATGGCCTGTCTTGATCCCATTCTTTATCTCTATTGTGATGTCATTTGGGACGGCGACGGCTAAGGACATCCAAACGGTCCTGATTACTCGGTTCTTCACCGGATTCTTTGGAGCTGCTCCTATCACCTGCACAGGAGGAGTCTATGTTGATATCTGGGACGCATCCCAACGAGGAAATGCTATTGTTGGGTATACACTGGCCGTCTGTGGTGGCCCGGTATGTTGAAGTCGACCCCCATCGCCAGATTATCATTAACATAATTGCAAGTCACTGGGACCCGTCGTTGGCGGTGCTATTATTTACAGCGGCATCAATTGGAGATGGACTGAATATGTATGTAGCTGTGATCCAGAGAGCATTGCGCGAAGAACTCATTTAACACAAGCATCAGACTACCGGCATCTTGCAGGCCTCGATACTCATTCCAGGTCTAATATTCATTGAAGAATCCTATGTGCCGATATTGCTGGTTAGAAAGGCACGCAAGCTGAGACAGAACACAGGGAACTGGGGACTACACGCTGAGTGGGAAGAAACCACTGTTTCTATCAAGGAACTGGCCATAAAATTCGGTCTTCGACCTCTACAGATGCTACTAACGCCAATTTGCCTCTCAGTTACCATCTACTCCTCTTTCATCTATGGAACGTTCTATGCCAGTCTGGCATCATTCCCCATCATCTTCCAAGAGGCACGAGGCTGGAATGAAGTCGTTGGATCACTTCCATTCCTTGGTGTGCTTATAGGAATAATTATGGGCGCCGCACTCAGCGCTCTAAATCAAAAATACTATAACATCGCCTACGAAGCCAACGATTTCAAACCGGTACCCGAGGCTCGACTACCACCAATGATGATTGCCTCAGTTATTCTATCCGGCGGACTCTTCATCATAGGATGGACTGCCTCCCCACAACTCCCATGGATAGCAACCGTAATAGGAGTCACCATGATGGGTTTCGGCTACTACACAATCTTCACCAGCGCCCTAAATTACCTCGTCGACACCTTCCAGCGGTGGGGCGCCAGTGCCGTAGCCGCGAACACATTCATGCGCAGCGTGCTCGCTGCTGCATTCCCGCTCATTGTCCCGCCGATGTTTCGAAGTCTGGGGAATGATTGGGCGTTTAGTGTGCTCGCCATCGTCTCGGTGTTGAATATCCCGATCCCGTTCGTCTTTTGGTTTTATGGGCCGCGGATTAGGGAAATGGGCAAATATAGCTCTAATATGGGGTAGAATTCAGATATAATATCGTATATACACCAAATTAACTTATCCAAGTTGCTCCTCGGGTTCCCATGCTAAGACTCGAGTTTTCAATTCCTCCACTTTTTGTTCGACGAAGCTGTCAATTTCCATAATCTCCTCTTCGTCCAACAACCCAGCCCTCCTCTCCCACTCATCCCCATCCAACCCCGCCACAGGCCCAAAGAAACGCGAATCCAAATACTTCCAGAATACCGCATTGAAAGTAAACCCCTTCCTCGCAGCATACACGACCCAGAAATCGCCACTATCCCAGCTTTCCCGCATAGGGAGCGAGAGTCTCTGCTCCTCTCCAAGCCTGTCCTCCTGTATAAGTGCATCTTCACGCTCTCGGAGAACAGCTAAAAATGTTTGAAGCCGAGGTTCGTAGGCTGTAATCCATTCATCGATTCCTCTCGGCCAGAACTCTGGTTGTTCGATTAGGAGCCACCAGGGGGGTGCGTGTGAGAATTCTACTGGAGCGGAGTATGTGAATTCCCAGTCGATGACGGCGACTAATTCGAGATTGGAATTAACTAACATGTTAGCTGGGCGCAAATCGTCGCACCAGAGTTTGAAAGGCCCGGAATTGTGATCGGGGTGCGATAGTCTGCCCTCGAGAGAGAGCTTCCAAAAAAGGTATCTTGCAATATATTTGCGGCGACAGTCGCTTGAGCTATCGATGGCGTCGTTTCGCTGATGGGTCAAATGGCGGAGGTGCATATTGGCCAGTGTAGTGAGGTATGAAGAAGAGGTCTTAAATGTTGCACTTTTATCAGGTAGTTTTGAGCGTGGTAGAGTTCCGAGCTGTACAATCTCGTTCATATTTGACGACAATGGCCTCTCTGTCACTCTCCAAGTATCCCCATTGTCGACTTGTGCCAGAGACCCTATCTTCAGGAATGATAACTTGGACAGCTGAAGCAGAACATCTGCAACCTGCCCATACAATCCCCGAAGTTTTTCTCCATCTATAGACGGATCAAGAATCGGTCTCTCCTCATACGGAATCCCAGGCGTATTCAAAGCATCACTAACATCACAAGCATGCTCAACATACTCCATAACAATAAACGGCCCCAACCCACAAGGACTCTCTTCTCTCGTTCCCCAGTGCAGAATAAACGGCACCGGTATCGAAGTATGAGCATGAACATACCGCATAACAGCGACTTCATTCCGGACCTTCTCCTCGGGAAACATCACCTTGCCCGGCTTGGGAAAGCGAATCAATGTCGAACCGTCGTCGCTGAAATCAATAACCACTGCTACGTTATATGCACCGGTGAGAGGCGTTCTACTACTGGAGTTCCGAGGTGATACTTTGCAACGAAGAGGGCGATTTCTGTTAGGGTTTCTGGTTTGAGAAGCTTGGTGCGCCATTCGAAGTAGACGTTGTCACTTTGTTCCCAAGCAACATCGTCGAATGGGAGCCGTCGCTGCATTTTACGCCGCGGGGTTTAGGTTGTGATGGAACATGCTTTGGTTGACGAAGGCAGATGGACGATGCATTGTTAGTTCCGAAGATCAAGCGTCGTGGGAAACAGAACTACGCTACATCCGTATGCAAGCTCCTATTTCATGCATTGGTCTGCATGAACCCAGATATGAAGACACACGTAGCTGAGGCTCAAAATATATGTTGTCTACCCCATCGTATGTAGTTAATTCTACAGAAGCATACATCTCAACGGAATTATCTATCCTTGCTTATTGAGCCATATCCCATAAAGCAACTGCGCCTAATCAAAAGCCACCCTCCTAAAAATACAATCGCTCACCATTCACGCCATCCTCGTAAAACCATCAGTCACCTAACCCCTCTTCCTCTTCTTCCCCGGCCCCTCCTGGTCTGCATCATCCACACTCTCGCTCTCCCTCGCCCTCCTCTCCAGCCCCTCCTTCTCCTCGCTCTTCCTCTGCTCCGCGCTCCTCAGCTCCCCAACAATCTTCTCCACATCCGCAAACATCGTCTTCGTATCCTGCACCACTCCATCCTCATCAAGCGTATACCCTCTATTATCTTCAACTTCCGCGGGGGTCCCTTTCCTCACCGAGAATGCGCGACCGAATCCGTGATCGGGATCGGGGTTGAACATGATCGCATTCGCAAACATGAGCATGAGCTCCTTCTCCAACTGCGCATTATTCACGATACCCTTCGGCGGCACAAGCTCTTCGCTGATAGGGAGCTGCAGACTCGCTTGCCCCTTATCACTCTCCTCATCCATACTAGCCACCGCGGCGAGCCCAGCGCGTGAGCCCGCCGTGATCGCAGAGCGGATCGACTTCAAGTCCTGCGGGCGCAGGATTACATCTTTGTAACCCGGCGCGTCGCGCTCCTTGATGGGATTGGCGAAAGTGCTCGCACAGCGGTGAGCACCGATACGCTCTAGCGCCGACGCCGAGATTCTAGAGAAGTTGCGCGTCCAAAGGACGTGAGTGGGAGGCTTTGACGGCGCGCGCGCAGGGCTGCGCTTGCGCTTGCGAAGAGGCGAGGAAGGGGGGGCGGGGGTCTCGTCGGTTGTTGCTCCTGCCGTGTCTTCGGCGGAGGTAGCGAGTGCGAGATCTTGGAGAGGGCGGAGGCCAGGCGTTTCTTTCTTCACCTTGGCATCTGGTGCTTGTGATGGTGGTGCTGGCCGCGGCGCAGGTGAGGCGGTGCTGCCTTCCCTGATGCGGGGCGGTCGACCACGAGGCTTCTTACCCTTGTCCTTGGGCAAGGTAGAAGATTTGGGCTGCGGGCTCAGAGGTTCGAAAGCTGGTGCATCGGGGGAAATAGACGCTTTGGGAGTCCCGGGGGTCGCCACTGGGGTCCATCTGGTAGCTCTTCCAGTGCTGAGAATCGGCCTTGTAACTGGTGTGTTTGGCTGAGTATCGCGCAGCAGAGGCTTCGGAGCGGGGGTTGATTTGAAAGCTGGAGGCTGGCCACCGCTTGGGTTGTATGGCGAGTTGTACTGCCTTTGCTCCGGCTGTGCAATTTCTGGCCTAACTGGGAATGGTCGTTGCCCGGGCTGTGGACCAGGCGCAGGGTAGTAGTTTGCAGGTGGAAGCTGTTGGTACTGGTTCCACTGTGCAGGCAGTTGCCCTTGCGGATGCTGCCCGTTGCTTCTGAATGGTTGCTGTGGGGGAGGTTGGGCATACTGGGCTGGAGAATATTGGGACACTTGAAGGCCAGGACCTGGGGGATACGGTCCCATTTGTTGGCCAGGGGTGGGAGGATATTGAGCCATTTGCTGTCCCTGAACTTGCTGCGGCGGTCGGTATTGTTGATCAGCCACTTCTGCCAACTGATCCAAAGGCTTTGCTGGAGAACCAGGGCCTTGCTGGCCTTGAGGCGGCAAGTGCAGAGGCTGTGCTGCGTGAGGGGAAGAAGGAACTGGGCCGCGAGCGGGTGGCAAGGGGCCAGAGAAGGAGCCTCGCTGGGGATACACCGGGGCGTATTGCCCCTGTGGGTAAGGCGAATATCCTTGTGGAGTCGGAGCATGAGGAGAATATGGCTGAGTTGGAGGAGGTTGGTAATTCTCCCACTTTCGGTCAAGAGGGGGCGGTCTTTGGCCAGGTTGCAGTGGAGAAGGTCCATGGGGGCGGTCGGTGCTAGGCGTCCTGTGGTGGTTTATGGGCGGGACATTCCGTACACGAGGCACCGTATCCTTTTCAAGGGGTCGAGGCGATGCGGGAACTTCGTGAGTGTTGAGAACGTCACTGATTGCCAAACCTTCATGTCTTGGCTCCGTTCGTGGTGAAGCCAGCGGAGAGGCTGCTGGTGCCGCCTGTAGTTCTGCACCTCGGGACGCGGGCCTTTCAGGCTTTTCAGAGACAACCGGTACACTTGGTGCCCTCCTGGAATCTTCGCTGGTTGTTCTCTGTCCACGTCGCTCATCTTTCATGATCCTTTCGTCCCACTCTCCACGCTCGATTTCCTTGAGCTCTCGTTTGAGCACATCGTATCGCCGCTCATCATCCCGAATGGCCTGTATGGTTTGATCTCTGTATCTCGCATAAAGTCGATCTACCAGCTGCGGAAGCTTTCCACTGTATTCCTTCGCATCCTTGATTGTCGGGAGTGGCGGGCTCTGAATCTTGCGCTTCTTCGACGGGCTCGCGTCGCCAGGAATCTCAGCTTCGAGTTCGCTCTTCAGCTCTTCGCGCAGTAGTTGTAGATACAGTTCGCGAAGGGAATCGGGACTGAGTCGGCCTGGGTCGTATCGGTCGCCATCTCGTATGAGGATGTTGTTCTTGAGGAGGTCCGAGATTCGCGCGAACACGTTGGCTTCGGTCCCAAAGACGGCCAAGGATTGAAACAGTAATAGCGATTCAAGAGGTGTGTAGGCCGTTATATTATTCATTCCACGATAGCCTCCCCGCCAGCCGTCGAGGAGACTGTCGCGTCGTGCGTGAGGGTGAATAGGAGCCACGGCTGACTCTGGAGGGGTGGTTTCGAAGCAACAGCAGACCGTCTTTGAATGGGACGATCTTTGTGGCTTCAAAATCCTGAGATGAAGTGTGTTTCGGAAGGCTCGAGGGTGGATTGGCCGCCCTTTTGGTGTTGTAGTTGGAAGGTGCACGAGGAGACAAACTTTAGGATGTCTAATCACGTGCAGGGCAGGCCAACTTTCGACAACTTGCGAGTGAGGCTGGGACTGTGATTGCGGGCCAAATGCGGCCCGGGCATGACAGGAAGTACTATACAAGCATTTCGAGGAGTAGTTCTGAGATCGTGGAGTAAACGAACAATACAATTACGGTAATATCAAATAAAATAAAAATATATTAGAGCTAAAGATAATTTTGGTATATTAACAGCTGTATTAACCGTAATGTAATATTTTATAGAAATTATTGTCGCGATATTCTACTCGACCAAGTCAGTGCTTCTTCACAGAAAAGCACACACCGAGAAGCACACACCAAGGAGCAGCCGTGACTGCCGCAGGGTAGAGTTACTAGAGTAAATAGAGTACCTAGAGCAGATACAAAGCAACTAGAATAGCTAGATTAACTAGAATATCTACACGGCTGCTACTACTAATCTAGTATTAGAGTAACTAGAGTAGGATACTGCTAGGGTACTCGGGGCGGGTACACAGAAAAGCAGGAAATGATCGGTGCAAGGTGCATGGTCTCACTGAGACCGTAACTCACTCACCGACGTCGTTATATCATCATCATATCTATATACCGATAAACACGGCACATATGGATAGATACTACTCTATTTCTTGTTAAATATCAAAACCTCATCTCCACGCATCCCCTTTCCGTTCTCGTACTTGCACATTCTCCTGCTGATCTTCATCATTTATCCGCCGAGATACAAGATTGCCTCGCACAAACGCCTAACGCTAGCCCCGCCGCCCCTTTCTTGAGACCTGACCCCGGATTAGTGGCTTCAATCACCGGCTGCTGATACCTTCCCCTTCTACTCCCAAATCACCCTCCCTCCCCCCCCTCTATAATTCTGCTTTCTTGTTCTTCCCAACATTTTATCAAGTCGGATAAGTTCTATTATACCATCTTGCGACAAAGATCAACGAGCAACTTTCTAGCCTTTGATCTATCTTGCGACTTTTCTCACATACAACCAACGACCAACACCCCCTCCCTCATTACCCATTATGTCTGTTACCCAACGCTCAGACGAAGAGTTGGACAGGGAATGGAAGCCCAGCGGACGCCGACCGCAATCCACCATGGCTCGCCATTTCTCTATCACTCTAGACGATTTATTCAAGATAGACAACAGCATCGCAGACCTCGATGCCGCAGTTGACCAAAAGTATGCAGCCTCCCCTTGGTCCCTTGACCGACACTTTCACCGGCCGCCGAGACATTTACTAACACAACCCCAAGGAAGAGACTCGTCTCAACACACACATCCGAGCTCAAAGCCCTCGAAGAAGCACTCCGCGCGACCGAGGAGCGCCTCAAGGCCACCGCCGCCCTCCCCGATCGTGCCCCCAGCCCTCGCGCCCGCAAGGCTATCAGCGGCGACACCTTCGAAAACCCTCAAGACGACAACAACCTGAACGCCCCCAACACCACCGAGAGGCCAAAGACGGCCAGCCGCCCCGGCACGGCTAGAAAGCCCGTCCCATCCCCTACCCAGAACACAAACCTACCACCGATGCCTGGCGCACGACCACCTACCCCTGGCGCGAGCGAGAGCGAGAGCGACGAGAGCAAGGAGGAATAAACCACGACGAGGAATATACCACAATCCGCTCCAACAAACACATCTATGTTTCGGGCCCAACGGCGGCGCGGGATAGAATGGGAGGAGCACTATATATAATCTTATAATCGAATGTCGAAATCTACACTTAAATATATACCCACGATCGAGCGAAGCACGGGGCAAGTTATAGGGCAAAGCAGGAGTTTGGAAATCGGAAGAGGTCATCATCATCACTTCTGGCAGGCGGACGGGGGGGGGATAGCTTGGATACTTCTTTTTATAACACTGTTTTAATATTGCATACATAATAGGTCTTTCTCGGGTTCCCTGGGTTTTCGGGACAAACACACTCTTTGGAAATTTTCATAAATCTGTACATACCATACCATAGCGTTGTCCGCTAGTCCCCTATGTTTATTTCACTAGATACAATGTAAGGGTGCAATTATACGGCGTTGATTTGAACTCTGTCTTCCGCGAATTATGTGTGTATACATACACCTGCGCTCACCCCTAACTTGACATAAACAGCTCTCCCCAAGCCCTTCCATTCCGATTCTCGTAACCGCGTACATCCATCCCAACATCAATACACCCTCCCCCCTCCTCCCATCCCCTCACCCCCATCTACTCCCCCTTAATCAACGCCGAAAGCCTCTGATGGCTCCCCACCCCCTCAATCCAACAACTCGCAATCCACTTCCACCACAGTCCACTCCCCGCCCCAACTCCCGCACCCGCAAGTCTATACGCCATAATCGCCGTCTCAACCCCATGAATCGCAATAACGGGAACAAAAATCTTCTCCTGCAGCCACAAGTAGTGGGCTGCCCCCCCAGGCCAGGATTTCTGCAGCGCTTCGTAAATAGCGCTGCCGGGGACGATGTAGCCCTTGGCGGCGTAGGAGATGAAGTAGAAGAGGACGAGGCCGCCGACGAGGCGGTGCGAGAAGGTCTTGGGGCCGGTGTAGGTGGTTACTTTGCCGGTTGGGGCGACTTTGGAGGGGGCTGGCATTTTGGGTGGTTTGGTGGTGGGGTATATGGGGCGACGATTGAAATGATTCCGCAGCGTAGGTTGGTTGATGGCTTTGGGATTGATTGTGTAGCTTTCGTTATTGTTTATTGACAATGCTGAGGAGGTGTTGGGACCTTGGGGTTTATAAGATCCACATCCAATTGACGAAACCAATGTGGTTCTTGGGAAGGACCAGAGAACCTTATCCGAACAGCACGCACGGGCAACGGACCTTAATGTGGGGAACCTCGGCTTGTGAGAATTCCGGGTAAGGTAGAGCTTCAACCCCTATCGCTGGTGGAATAACTCAGGTACCACGTAAATCGCGAGCATCACACAATGGTAGCCAAGGAAATGGTCACATGTAGTTATTGGTTATTGAAACAGATTCAATTATGACTGCATCTAAACAACTTTTACGTTATACTACTCCTCACTACTACCTCTTTGCGTATATCTAAAAATCTATTCCTCAACATTCTCAAAGTGGAAAGTCGGCACCCCAGGAACAGCCCCCGCAGCAGGCGGCGGGAGGGAAGCAACCTCGCCACCACCAACCAGGACGCCGGTAGCCCCACCCTCAGCAACCTCGACAATATCCACGATCTTCAATCCAGCCGCCTTCTTCAATCCCGGAACCATCTGCAAGAGCGTCTTCGACTCGTCGAATGCCAGTTTCCTGTCAAACACCGTCTCTGGCTGCTCGCCTCCAGTGAGGCGCTTCTTGAGGCCCTGCACGAATGGCATGGCCTTCTTCATCTCGCCCATCTTTGAGATCTTGGGCGTCAGCTCCTTGTCGTTGAAGGCCTTGGTGGCAGGATCGAAGACCTCGCGGACGAGATCAATGTACTTCTCTTGCCAGGCGGGGAAGCTTTTGGCCGCGAAGATGGTAAGCTTCTTTGGCTTCTTGGGGTCGAAGCTGATATCCTTGCCCTTTGCCTTCTTCTTCTGCTGAGCAGCCTCTGCGGAAGTGATGTTGGATGCGGTGGTGCGGACGTACTCGCGCATAGCGGACAGACTGGCATCTGGTGCTGGGATCTCGGGGAAGAGGGCATCTTGGACAGTTGCGGACTTGTTGAGGACCTCGAGCCAGATGTACTCGGACCAATGGGGTGCGATGACAGCGAGGAGAAGTGCTTGGAGCTCAATGTACTTGAAGACAAGATCCTTATGCATCTTGATGCCGGCAGCGGTAGATGCCTCTCTGTAGAAGTCACGGGCGCCGATGAAGTCGTAGAGACCAGACTTGAGAGCCAGCTTGTAGTTGGTGTCGTCGAAGTGTCCCTTAGCCTCGCGAGCAATGGCGTTCATTTCGTTGTCGAACAGACGGTCGAGGAAGTCGTTCTTCTCGCCAGTGCGGAGAGTCTCTTGCTCCTTCACTTGCTCTTCGATCCATTCTCTTAATGTGAATAGACGGAGGACGTTGTTATCGGCGACGTCTTCCTCGAAGTTAGCGTCGGCAACTCCGTCACCAGCATCAGCAAGAGCGATACGGCTGGCATCAGCTCCGTATTTCTTGACCATCTCGTCGAGAGTCATGAAGTTTCCGGTGGACTTCGACATCTTCTCTCCGTTCAAGGTGAGATGACCGTTGGCACGAACACCCTTTGGCCAGTACTCCGGAGGGAAGAGGGCAATGTGGATGTAGATGAAGAATGTGAGATGGTTGGGGATCAGATCCTTCCCAGATACACGGAGATCCAAAGGATACCAGTACTCAAACTCTCTGCGCATCGTCTCCAGGCCTTCCAAGGAAATCTTGCTCTGGAGAACATCCTCGCTAACCTCGCGGCGGGCAAAGATGTAGTCCCAGACCTCGTCAGTCATCTGCTCTGGCGTGAGGTCCTTGAGAAGACCTGGCGTCCTGCCGAAGATATCCCCGTGGAGGAGATGGGCAACAGTGTAGTAAGCCATGTAAATCGTAGAATCACTCAAGCTCTCAACTAAGAATTGAGGGTCCCATGGGAGCTTGGATCCGAGACCGAAGCTACGAGCACACGCCCATTGGTTGAGCCAGTTGAGAACGCCCTCGAAGCCATTCTTTGTCTCCTGGGAGTAAGTGTTGAGGCCATTTCCATCGGCATTGTCAACATGCTGAAGCGCAACCTTCCTCCAGGACTCCTCTCCGTAATCCAAGTACCATTGGTCCATTAGCGCAACACAGCAGTCATCTCCAGATCGGCTGACAACACGCTTCTCTGGTTCGGAATAGGCGAAGGCACCGCCGGAGTCAAGCAGTTGTTGTCTGACCTTTGGCTTTGCGTCCTCGACCTTCTCTCCAGTGAATGGTCCGTAACACATCGTACCTTGGTAATAACCTTCCTTGTATGCCAACTCCTTTGCCTCCTCAAGCTGCTTCGTGTCTTTTGGCGAGGCAATCTTGAGCTTCTTAACCAAGAACGGAGCAGTGAGGTTGCCATAGCTAGGTGTATCGATAATAGGTATTATTTCCAACTCCGCCCATTCTTTCTTGATGCCATAGTACTCTGCCTTCTTTGCCAGGTCTGTAATAGTGGCAAAATCATCTGGAGAATCCGAAGGCACACAGGTAACAACTCCTGTACCCTTGGTGGGCAAGACGGAATCCATAGGGAGAATTCGAATACCCTCCGTGTGAATAGAGAGCGGAGCATTGACAAGAGTGCCAACGCAGTCCGCACCAGTAACCTCTGCAACCTTCTCATAAACGCCGTTCACCGGGAACACACCTTGATACGCCATGTTACGGGCAGCTCTCTCGGTGATAATGTAGTACTCCTTCTCTGACACTTTATAAACGCCATAGGTGATCTTGGGTCCTACAAAACAGCAGTTTTGACCATACATGGTCTCTGGACGGAGAGTGGCTGGCACAAAGAAGGCATCTGCCCCCTGTGGAAGCTTGTCGGCAACCGCCTTCTTCGCTTCTGGTGCCCATTCCAACACCTTCAGCTTGAGGGCTGTGTATTCTTGTGGCCCGACGGCCTCGCCTTCACTTCGGTCGTGGTCCATGCAGGGCTGGCCATCCTTTGGAGAGTAGATTGTATAACGCTTGCCGTACTTAATTTTCTTCAACTCGCGAAGACGGTTCATTTGCCATCTGATAAATGAATCGTAGTAGGGGTTGGCATCGGTGGTGACGAAGGATCGCCTCCAATCGATTCTGCAACCGAAGTTGGTAAGGTCTTGCTTGCAGAGCGGGGGGAAGAAATCCAGCCAATGATTTGGGTCGGCGAATTCGTGAATCTGCTCATTTGGGATGCCTTGGGCGCGCATGATCTGGAACTGATACTTCATCTTCACGACCTTTGCAGCAGCCTTTCCCTTCTTGGCTGTGAATTTTGTAACATCTTCACGAGCCGAGGTTGGTGCGGGCGGGCTTTTCTCCTTCAACTTGTCGCTGGCTTCGTCTTCCTCAGAATATCCAGAGAAGTCCTTGCCAAACAGCTTGATCTCGTTGATAAGCTTATCTGCGCAGGCTTTAATGGGCATGCCGGTACAATGGAAACCCATCGGGAACAGAGCCCTCTTGCCCTGCATTCTTGCCCATCCCGCAGTGAACTCGATCTTGCTGACAGAGAAACTGTGGCCCGCATGAAGAGTACCGTTCATGTATGGATACGCCATCGTACCGAAAAATTTCGGGTGCTTCTCGCGGACTTCCTTTGCCGATAGCGCACTGAGGGGTATATCGGCGATGCTTGGAGCATTTGGCTGGAAAACCGCGTCGTCTTGCCATTTCTTTTGATATTTCTTTTCGACAGCAATAAGAGAATCTCTTTTCTCGGTCTGTAAGAGTCAGAAATGGAAACAATCTCATAGCTGAATTTATACGTACACCCTTCAATTCCTTGGTTTTTGAGAGATGGAGATCATCCAAGGCTTTCGCCGCAGCATCTGAAGCAGCCATATTGGCGAGTCAATAGAAGAAGTCCTGACAGTATTGTCAGGCCTTATCCTACTATATTTTCGAAGCCTTGCGACAAGTCACAAGCGGAGAAGAGGGGCTGAGTGTAGTCACCAAAATTGCTGGTGGGATGTGGTGGGATGTGTTCCCCGCGGCAAAATTTAGGCGGTGAGAGGTCGAGCCTTGTGGTCCGTGCAACCGAAATGCGGCTGGCACTAAACTTTTGGCCTCGCGGATATCGAAGGCCAAATCTGAAGTGCCGAGCAGTGTTGAAGCGCAATTACGATGTTTCGATCGCCAATATTGAGGGCCTTGGAGAAAGGGCCGACCTATATCGATACGAATGTATACAAGGCAAAACGACTTTGGCCTCCGGATTTCTCGAAGCTCAGTACTAAGCATCAATTCCGTCTAGAACGACGATACCGACGAAGGAGCAAGCTGAAGTGGGCCAGGCCAAAGTGGACAAAGGCTGTGAAGATTGCACAATTAGGAAGCATAGTTTGTATGTGGCCTCGTGTGAAGCTATGGAACATTGTCTAATCCAGCCTGCAGTTGTTACTGTCTACGGTGTATTATTCGCCGATTGGAAGCAAGAAAATGAGCCATTCCAAGCGGTCAGTAAATCCTATCCTACATAGCAATAAAAAGCTGACCAGTTGTAGCTGCGAAACAAATTCCGCGAGATGACGGGCTCAATATGGACGACGAACCCGGAAAGAGGGCAGCGACGGGAAGGAGCAGAGGGAGCTGGTTCGAAAACAAATGTACAATAGTCGGGGATGAGACCTTGTGGAAATATTGCATAGAGGGCCGGGAGTTATATTGATCTGGGGCGTTGGCTTTTTGTATTATTAATGGAGCCTGATTCCTGTATGAGATAGATAGACTCTACTCTGGAGCCGGTGGGGAGATAGTTATACGATATTGTTCGTCCATCCTGGAGACCGTGGGGCTTTCATTACGAGGCCCGTGGTCCCTCTCCGTATGTTTCCGTATTGGCTTCTAGGAGTGAGAACTCCGAATCAACAAGTCCCTCATTGGCCGACCTCGTCCAGGGAGGACGTCTTGGTGGTATTCCTTGCTCGGTCTTCAGACTTTCACCTGCCCGCCCATGACGAGAAACCCCCTCCCAGGCCTATATTTCTTGTACCTTCATTTACCGGCCGCCTTGGGATCTTTCCTTGACTCCTCACCCCTTCGACGACCTTATCCAGTCCCGTTTCCACCACTACCCCTCCCACGATCATCTCGCTAAGTGTTGCGTGTAAAGTTTCGAAGTTGAAGATGAGATCTAGCTCGCAGACGTTCTCAAACAACCTATCCAAAGCCTCGACATAAACCTGGATAAGGTCGATCAGTGCTAAAGGCGACTCGGTTGATGTGGATATAATGATAAAATAGAGTGTCGCATAGTGTCGGTATGTTACGAGTGACGGCACGTCATTTGATGGTGTTGTAGAAGCCGCATGAGACGGAGTGGACTGAGAGGAGAGGAGGGGTGGCAGTGGCAGGAAGTTGCAGGATCCAGGCGCGCGATTCGAGACCAGTGTGAATATTTCGGAGATCAGCCTCTGTTGTACACTTGTTTCCTGTCTGTGTTAGCATCTTAAGGTTTGTGAGGTCGGGGCATCGGTGCGTACCAGTTGGGTGTAGAACTTCGTCAGCCTTGGCTGCCCAGCGTTGTTGAAGACAAGAACGGCGTTAATCATCTTGACCAAGTCCAAATGTTAAGTTGTAAAGATGTAGCGATACTGTTTCTAACACAAAATCCTTTTCTTAGGTACGAGTTTGTGTTCACCTGAGAGTTTTGCTGAGGTTTAGAGACAACTGATTGTCCCATCGGCCCCTCGCCGACAAGGCGGAGATATCTACAAAAGTCGCTTGCAGGGGTACCATACGACATTGTGGGGTTGGAGCACCGGAGAGCTTGAGCTCGGCATCGTCACAAATTCACTTTACGTATTCCTCATTGACGACCATCGCTCTCACAAACACCTATCCAAGAATTCTATTACCGGCTGGGCAGCTATATTCTCGATGTCGCGCGTCAACATTCTCAGAATATCCAGGTTGGCAAACCGCAATGTTCTTTCTACGTCACAACGATGCCAGGTACCAGCAGTTCGAGCTCTGAGCATGAAGACAATCTTGCCTGTGGTTGCCGCAAATAAGTCATACATATCAGGCTCTATTAGGAATTTCTCGTGCTCGCAAGCCTCTTCGAAGGGCATTTATCCAGAGACGGACAACCCACCAGCAAAGACCCTAGAACCCGAGGCAACGGCCCAGGAACCCACGGAACTCACCATCGAGGAGTACCATGAGGCAGCAGATACTTGCATAGACCATCTTGTGGCAACCTTTGAAGAGCTTCAAGAAGCCAGAGAAGATGTTGATGTTGAATACAGCGTAAGTTTTTCTTCAGCCTCAATCACACGTCATTATTCTAATAGCAACTTCAGGCTGGCGTTTTAACTCTTATATTCCCTCCGATTGGCACATACGTTATCAACAAGCAGCCACCAAACAAGCAGATATGGCTTTCATCCCCGATATCAGGACCTAAGCGTTACGACTGGGTTGTGTCGGGCGAAGCGCAAAACCAGAAGGAGGGCGGGGGGCAAGGGAAATGGGTTTACCTTAGAGATGGATCAACACTGAACGAGATGTTGGAGAAGGAAGTCGGAGTTGATCTTACGGAAGTCATCGACTAAGTCGGATTGTTCCACTGTATGATCAAGGGAATTATGTATTGTATTGCAGAAGCCAGCAGAAAGTTCACCAACGTTACACATTAAATGAAACAAGTGGCTGTATATGACGGCTTTAACTCAAGGCTCCGTTCAAATTACTTCTTTAGTCATTATAGCGTACTCCTGAGGTCAACAGCTACCAGTAATCCAGGGAATCCGCGCCACCTTCTCCCCCGCCAACCATATTCAAAAGTCCAAGGAGGGACCATGCATGACAGTAGTGACCACAGCAACTGTTATTGAAATAGAGACTCAATTACTGAAGGCTACAATTTTACTCGGGGATAGAGCGAAGGCGAGAATTCCCATCAGCTTAGTTGCTAGTATCGATCCTCAGCTAAATACAGCCCCTCTTCAGACTTTTGGGCGGTTCGAGTCCCGTCTTCAACAGCTATATCTCAAGGCTATCCGTCCCATTCCGCCTTACTTCCCCCACAGGAGATCTTCTTGTCTCAGGCCTGCTATCTTCATGTTTCATGTAAACCTTCAGAACTCGGCTTGTCAGGACGCTTTCTGTTGGCCTGACAGCCAGATTTCCTCGGGTCTGGCCTTGTCGTGGTTCCCGTTATTCGGGCTGTTCGTACCCGCCACAGTATGGAGAATATCCCATTTGAGATGCTGTTGAGCAACGCTCAATATTGGTTCTGGTTTCATTCCTCTTCATTTGATGTTCAAACTGGCACTGGAGGGGCAGCTTGACCCGGACCAGGTGGGGGTTGAGGAAGATCCTCCTGGAAATATATTAGTGGGGTAATTTACACATTTCTTTCGAAGTTCTTACCACTTCAAATATCACCTTAATCATCAGACTGCAACTGGGGCAGACACCGATATCTTCGCCGTCGAGTAAATCCGCAAGTCCGATTTCGAACCTATCGCCACACGGACATGGGTAGTGATAGATTTGCAGGGTCCCATCGTAGGTCATATCTTCAATTTCGATCTCATCATAGAAGTTTTCTGCCATATTTTCGGTTTTTTATTTTGACAACTGTTGTGTTGTAAAGAGAGTACAAATCTGCCTTGTTGGTTGAGAGAAATTGTGGCTTGGTGACTATAAAATCGTTGATGGTTAGAGTTGTCCCAAGAAAATATACTAAGGCCTTGCGATTAAGGCACCCATGCATAAGCACATGTCATGAACGGGAATCCAACCCATCGACGTTTATCAATACCCCGGATTTCACAATCGGCAGCCGAGGAGGCCCGTTTTAGCTATTCTCAACAACACAACACGTTAACGCATCGCTATAACTAGAAATTTAGCAGTGACTGCTTTGCGCAAAGAAGAACAGTTAACACTCGAGTACCGACTTGTTGGAGCAACCAATGGAATAATCCTCCAGGGCCTATTTTGTGCATGGCAACGACCGCGACTGGGCACGAGCACAACGTCATCCCCACGCTCGAGGGAGCCGCCGCTCTCTCCAAGCCCGAGGGCTACCAGCAATGGCTGCACAATCGAAGATTCTCCCTGAGCGGACAGTCAAGTCTATTATAAGCGAACTTACGACTTTATACCTCAAACACCGCACGGCGATATCGCGAACCGTTTACCTAACCCTGTTTATTTCGCTCATAAACCGGATACGGAGTGCTATAAACGAACAAAAGGCAGCCTCAGTACGGCATAGCCAGTCTAAGAAATATGGAGGCACAGCTGCAACCGACGACCAGAACCAAAGGCGGAAGAAGGTGGAACTGAACCGGGAGTTCTTCAAGAGTCTGTTCAGGCTCTTGAAGATTATCATTCCGGGATGGAAGAGCACCGAAGTGAGGCTGCTCATAAGCCACAGCTTCTTTCTTGTCGTACGGACACTCCTCAGTGTATATGTGGCGGATTTGGATGGAAAGCTTGTCAGCAATCTGGTCCGTGGGAAGGGGAAGGACTTCCTCATTGGCATTGTCTGGTGGATGATGGTTGCCGTGCCGGCGACCTTCACCAACTCTATGGTAAGTTAGTGATATAAAGTAAAGGAATACGGGCTAACTTGCATTAAGTTATCATATCACCAATGTAGACTCGCGCTACAATATCGAAGCCGACTCACAAACCATATACACGACAAATATCTGTCAAATATGACTTTCTACGGGATCTCAGCACTTGACGATCGGATAAAGAACGCCGACCAGTTAATCACCGTTGATGTTACGAAATTTTCGAATAGTCTGGCAGAGTTATACTCTAATTTGGCGAAGCCGATATTGGATATGGTAAGTATTTATCATGTGGAGGCCAGGTCGTGTGCTAACAAGTCTACAGAGCATCTACAACTATTCGCTATCCCGGAGCGTTGGAGGTGAAGGCTTGTTCTTCATGTCTCTGCTTGTCCAGTTATCAGCCAGTGTGATGAGAATGCTCACGCCACCATTCGGAAAATACGTCGCAGAAGAAGCGCGGTTGGAGGGAGAGTTCCGCTTCCAGCACTCCCGGTTAATAGATTACTCGGAAGAGGTTGCTCTCTACTCCGGACATGAAGCAGAGAAGGATACCCTGGACAAGGGCTACTTCACGCTCATTAAGCACGTCAATTACATCCTACGGCGACGATTCTACCACGGAATCATGGAGGATTACGTGCTCAAGTACGTATGGGGCGCTTTAGGATTGATACTATGCAGTGTCCCTGTGTTTGTCAAAATTCCCGGGGCACCAGCAGCTTCAACTATGGGTGACAGGACACAGAATTTCGTCACCAATAGGCGAATGCTGCTGTCCTCCTCTGATGCGTTTGGCCGCGTCATGTTCTCGTACAAGGAAGTTATGGAACTGGCAGGTTATACCTCAAGAGTGGCATCCCTGTTGGATGTTATGGATGATATTCAAGCGGGCAAGTTCGAGAAAGAACTCGTCTCGTCGGCTGACACAGAGGAGAATGCGGCAATGCTTCGCGGGCGAGGCGAAGTCGTTGAGAGCGAAGACATTGAGTTCATCAACGTGTAAGTTTTCAATCGGACATGTTTCGAAACCCCGTACTTACGATAATAGGCCAATTATTTCACCCAACGGTGACGTTCTCGTCAAAGCCCTCTCCTTTTCCCTCAAACCAGGAGACCATCTTCTCGTCGTCGGGCCGAATGGCTGCGGCAAATCATCACTCTTCCGCATCCTTGGTGGCCTGTGGCCCGTCTACGGCGGCACGGTACGCAAGCCGCCGTTTTCCGATATCTTCTACATTCCCCAGCGTCCTTATCTCAGCCGCGGCTCCCTGCGTCAACAAGTCATCTATCCCGACTCTGTAAGGCATATGCGCGCCAAGGGTGTGACGGACGCGCACCTATTCGATATCCTTAAAGTCCTCGACCTTGAGTCCCTCGTTGCCTCGTACCCAGATGGCTGGGATGCCGAGGCGGAATGGCGTGAGACACTTTCTGGTGGGCTGCAACAACGCATCGCCATGGCGCGGTTGTACTACCATAAGCCCAAGTACGCCATTCTAGACGAATGCACGTCGAGTGTAACGCTCGAGACGGAGAAGGTGATGTATGAGACGGCGAAAAGCCTCGGTATCACGCTCATGACAGTCAGTCACAGGAGGAGTCTGTGGAAATACCACACGCGGATTCTGCAGTTTGATGGGCATGGGAAGTTTGTCTTCACGAAGCTGGACGCCAAGAAAAGGCTCGAACTAGAGGATGAGAAGGACGAGCTGGACCTGCAGCTTCGGCAGATTCCGGAAATCGAGAGGAGAATCGAGGAGCTGACCGCGTAGTAGAAAGGAGGTTGGGGGTGGGGGTGAACGAATAGTAGACATGTATCACAGTAGAATAGTTAATTGCATATCAATATTTGGTTTGAGATGATCCAAGCTTCGGGTTCCGAGTCTACCATACAGCTGGCACAGGAGCTTGCACCCCAGCTGCTGTGCTCCTGGCGTCGGAATTCGGTTGACATTCATTGGATTTCTTCTGAGTGACGTGAAGTGGTCTGAGGTGGCGGTACAGTATTGTGAGACTTCAATGTCTTGTAACCGAAGTGTTGGTGGTACCTGCTAGTTTCGGCGTAGCTTGAATTGGCATTTACACAACTTCAAGTGATCTGGCCCTTCTAATTGGAGTGCGGGGCAAGGGAAGGGGGAAGATGGAGAAAGGAGACGGCGATTTTGGAGATCTGCTTTTAACTTCGTAATAGAGTATGAGTGAGCTAGGTTTGTCCAGGATATACTCCGCACCCCGCACTCCGCACCCCACACAGCAACACACCGACACCACACTACGCGCTCTCCACCCCCAAATCTCAAGATCTGAGAGATCTCACTTAGCAGATCCAGCCAATAATGTTGCTTCCATTCTGTTGAGTTGTTGAGCCGCACATCTTATTCCCCTTCTGGAGAGCTAGTTACTACCCTCCGCCTGCCAAGTCAAATATATCGATGACCTCAGTCTAACGGTCTAGATGACATGTGAAATGGCATGTGAAACCTGATATTGCTGGGCATGTCTCCACTGATTAAACTTGCGGCCAACAACTAGTCGAACGATTGTTCAGAACCAAGCGCGAGTCATGTCAGGAACCCCCAATCAGTCTTGGATCTCAGCGCCCGAGCCGTCATACGGCCCTGTTCCGCCTCCGCAATCCCCAGACATTGAAGCGGAGAAGGTGGGGAACGCGGGGGGATGTGATGATGATGGAGGGGATGGCCAACGAGATGCTCCAACGTACTCGCACGAACGGAGATGAGGTGCGTGGGGAGAGTTCGGGGGAACACAAGACAGCCGGTTGTGATACACGTCCTCTCTATCAATAAAGGGCCCATCAATAAAAGGTCCCCTGCTTCCCCTACACCTTTTCCCACTTCTCAGACCTCGATATCATTATTCTGTGTTCCGAGACCCCTTTACCCAATCTCGCCGCACAAGACCTCCAAACACAAGAAAAGCATGGCAGACTCCTCCCTCTCCGACAGGGAGAAGCCATACCAAGATGGGATCCACGCCGAGCATCAGGAGCCTGGTTTGATAACCAATTCGGCTCCTGTGAAGGACGAAGGGCAATGGGATGGTCCCGATGCCGACTTCTCTGGCGTCGATAGAGCTGTCGTCCTTCGCAAGATGGACATGCGCTTGATACCTGTACTTGCGTTGCTCTACTTGCTGAGTTTCTTGGATAGAGGGTAAGTCCACCTTCCCCTTTGGGTGGTCCGCCGTTGGTGTGTCAGTTGTGGCGAGAGTGTGGGGAAGACTCCACCGAGTGTTTCTTGGCTGACGGAAGTTTGACGACAGAAACATTGGCAATGCCAATATTCAAGGGCTATCAGAGGACCTAGGCTTGACTGGTACTCAGTATGCTCTCTGTCTAACAGTATTCTTTTTTACATATGCTCGTATGTATATTTCCATTTGTTCTCTCCAAGCGATTGTTCTTTTCAAAAATATAACTTATCTTGGACACTGCCCGGTTTATCTTTAAGTCGAAGCCTTTCTTGCTAACCCAATTAAGTTTTCGAGCTGCCATCAAACCTCCTCTTAAAGAAACTCCGCCCGTCAGTATGGTTGCCATCCATAATGGTAGCGTGGGGAACCTGCACCATATGTCTAGGCGTGACAAACAACTACGCCGGCCTCCTTTCCGTCCGTGTCTTCCTCGGCCTTGCTGAAGCTGGATTGTTTCCCGGAGTGTCATATTATTTGACAATGTGGTACTGCTCGGAGGAGCTAGCCATTCGGCAAGGTCTCTTTTTCTCCGCCGCTTCCATGGCCGGCGCCTTCTCTGGGCTCCTGGCTTTTGCCATCGCTAAGATGGACGGAGTGGGTGGCTACGAGGGTTGGCGCTGGATTTTCATCTTGGAGGGCCTTTTGACAGTCATAGTGGCCTGTGGCGCATACTTCATAATGTACGATTTCCCGGACACGGCATCATTCCTCACACCCCAGGAACGTGCATGGGCATCCCACCGCCTGAAGTACCAAGGCAGCAAGAGATCCGGAAGGATGATTGCTGAGAGTGAGAAGTTCGAGTGGCGCTTCGTGAAGGCCGCAGTGATGGATTGGCAGGTATGGCTAGGCACGATCATGTTCATCGGGATTGTCTGCCCCCTTTACAGTATCTCCCTGTTCCTACCCACCATCATCAACCAACTCGGCTACGAGGCCGCCACAGCTCAACTTCTTACCATTCCCATCTACATATCGGCCGCCATTATGTGTATCGGCACCAGCAAACTCTCCGACCGGGCCGCGAAGGCCGGGAATTCCCGCTGGCCGTACATCTTCTGGCCCATGATTGCAATCCTAGTCGGCTTCATCATCGCGCTCGCCGCATCCGCACACGGCGGTGTTCCCGGAGTTGTCTACGCTGGTGTCTTCATCACAACATGCGGCATCTACCCAGCCGTCCCCGGAAACATTACATGGATTGCTAACAACCTGGCGGGCTCATACAAGCGCGCCGCGGGAATGGGCTTCCAAATCGGAATCGGTAACCTCTCGGGCGCGATGGCGTCGAACTTCTATCGTAAGAGGGACAAGCCGAAGTTCATCTTGGGGCATGCGCTGAATATTGGGATTGTGTCCCTGGGTATTGCGGCGGTGATGACGCTGAGGTGGAACTATGCGAGGATCAATGCGCAGAGGGATAGGGATGAGAGCGATGGTGCGGATATCAACGATGATGAGATTGCGAAGATGGGCGATAGGGCGCCTACATTTAGATATACACTTTAGAGGGAATATAGATTAGGGATATCCATCAAAAATATAAATAACAATTTGATCTGACAACTGTTTCTTGATCTTGATGCAGCAACGCAGGGAGTTGACGTGTGTCGAATAGCCACATAAATAAATAAAAAGCCCACAAGCGGTACAACTGTACGTCATGCATCTTTCTATAGTAGCACTCAAGAGGTTATTGAATTCAAAATATCTAAAAATACCAAAATAAAGTGGGATTCCAATCCCTGCATCTTATTTAACAGGGGAATCGCAATACTCAACGGAATAAATACACGGCTGTTCACGGACCTCGCGGGTGCCGCATCTGACACCCAGTGCCAAGCACTAAACTTATTATCCGTCGTCACAGTTAGGCTAGAGACAACTGAACCTCAAGAGTCTGCAGCAATGCTGCAGCAGGTTTAAGCAATAACAAAGTAGGTCCATATCGAAATTAAGGTGAGTTGGGTCGGCAATTGCATTTCCCCACTGGAACTCACGCTAAGCCCTGCATGCATGCATAGCGTCCTGATCTCAATGCTTAAGATAGGAGTGTATATGGAGCCTTGAAATGACGTCCGAGTAACTACCGCCTCAAAGAGCCAGATTGACGCCGCCTGTACTGATTTTGGGACAGCTCGAGCGAGTACCTGTCTTTAACAGGCGAGGCCAATGAGTATGTCTTTGAAAATGGTCGCCGGTATCATGGATATAAGCCTGGGCGTAAGTGTTCCCACGTGAGGTGCCGTGGGGTCTTACTGAGTATCTTGCAGGATATATGCTTCCAAATGATGAAGTAAGAGATATTCCCTCTAGCTACGCCATGTCTCTAACTTGCTCCACAGAACGAGATGGATCGAGAAGATATGAAGCATCACATTTCCATGCTTATCACTAAGGGCCGCCTGCACCTTGCACCAATCGGGGCAGACCCCGAAGTTATTCTGGATATTGGCACAGGCACAGGTAAACCTCTACTCCAAGATGAAAGAAGTAGCTAATCAATTGGTTGCAGGAATATGGGCTATAGACACAGGTTAGGATTTTACTTCGAGCCCTAACCGTAACGTAGCTGACATCCTAACTAGCCGATCTATATCCAAATGCAAAGGTTAGCTTGCTAGCAACACATATCTCGGGCCATTGCTGATGAATCACAGGTTATAGCAACAGACTTGAGGTCCGTGAAACTCACACTGATATACATTCCTACTAACCCTCCCAAGTCCTATACAGCCCCAATGGTGAGCCACGCGTCTCCCCCCCACCAACCCCCCTAATCATCCCAGGGTCCCACCAAACCTCACCTTCGAAATCGACGACGCAGAAGAAGACTGGCTCTTCGAACCCCAATCCATCGACCTCGTCCATGCCCGCTACCTCTTCCACGGCATCCGCGACTGGCCGCGTCTCCTCCAGCAAGCTAAGAGGTCCACCCAACCCCACCCCCCACACACCCCCTCTCCCATCCCCATCCATCCTAACACCCCGCAACAGAGTCCTCAAACCAGGCGGCTACGTTGAGCTAGTCGAAATGCACGTCATCCCCTCCTCCCCCGACAACACCCTCCCCCCCAACTCGCAAATCATGGAATTGTACACCACCCTCGCGGAGGTCAGCCAAGAAGTCGGCCTCGACCTGTCCGTCGCCCAGAAGTACGGATCCATGATGGTAAGCGCCGGCTTCGAGAACGTGGTGGAAGAAGTCTTTGATCTACCTATCGGCGACTGGATGCAGGATCGGCGTATGAAGGAGGTAGGCGCATTTCAGCGCTATCAGATGGTGGAGGGACTGCATGGGATTGCGTTTGGGGCGCTGACGAGGGTGGCGGGGTGGACGCCGACGAGGGTGCAGGTGTTTTTGGCGGGGGTGAGGAGGGAGATGAGGGATAGGGGGGTGCATTGTATGTATAAGCTGTGAGTTCCCCTCTGTGAAGTGAACTGGTGTGATGATTATTGATGGGGTTTGAAGGCATTTTGTGTATGGGCGTGTGCCGGAATCGGTGAAGTAGCTCAACTTTTGGCGTTTGGTTCCTCGAGCCTATGGAACGGGAGAATTGGTGTTTGGATACTACGAGAGAAGAAGATGGAGGGCAACGTATATTATGACTGTTTCTAGCCTTTTAGGGCTGGCTGTGGGTTTGAGGGACTGCATATAACCTTTTATGGTTGTGGGTTTGTAGGCTTAAGTGTTTGGCGTTTACAATATCAATACGTAAGCCAACTCACTGTTTGTCTCGTCCCGATAAATTGATGCAATAATTATCATTTAAACGTTGCCAATCTACATTACAGACCAGATATACTACATTACCTACCCCTCCCCATTCTCCGCCCCCACCCCCCTCCCCAACCTCCCACCCCCCCTCTGCACCCCCCACCCTTCCTTCAACAACTCCCCCGTCTCCTCCAGCGTCAACCCCCTCGTCTCAGGATAAACCAACCAAATCGCAAACCACCCCACCAAGCACACAAACGCATAAATCAAAAAGGTCCAACTCGGCCCCAACCCATCCAGCATCTGCAAAAACGTCAACCCAACCACCGTATTACTCCCCCAATTCACCGCCGTCGCCAGGCTCGACCCCAGACTGCGGATGTTTAAGGGGAAGAGCTCGCTCTGCTGCCACGGGACGTTGCCGAGGCCGGTGGCGTAGCCGGCGACGTAGAGGATGATGGATGCGACGACGAGGAGGGGGGAGGTGCGGCTTGTGATTGGGAGGGGGACGTCGGCGGATGGGTTGTGGGCATTGGTGTTGGTGGGGAGGATGATGTAGTGGAAGGTTGCGGCGCAGCAGATTAGGGCGAAGATCATGACGGGGATGGAGAGGAGGAGGATGCGGCGGCGGCCGAGGCGGTCGATGAGGAGGAGGGAGAGGATGGTGAAGATGGCGTTGGTGGCGGCGACGGAGAGGGAGGTTAGGGTTGGTGTGGCGAAGCCGAGGAGGGAGAAGAGGGTAGCGGAGAAGTACATTAGGGAGTTCTGTTCATGTTAGCAGTGCTTGGGGAAAAGGGGCGTGAAACTCACAAAACCGCATAGTTGCTGGAGACCTTGCAACAAACACGCAATGGTCAAGGCCCTGACATTCCCAGGCACACCAAACAACTCAGACCAGCTATCAGAGAACCACCCCCCATCTTTCGTCGTCGACCTTCTAGCCCTCTCCCGCTTCGCCTCCTCTTCCTCTCGCACCTCTAGCTCAATAGCTTTCATCACCGGCTGCACAGTCCTCCTCATATCTGCAGCACCAAAAACCTTCTGCAAAACAGCCTTTGCCTCCTCCGTCCGTCCAGCCTGAGCCAGCCACCTCGGCGTCTCCGGCATAGCAATCATAACCAAGCACTGCAACGCCGCGGGCAACGCACCCAACCCCACCATCCACCTCCACCCCGTCTCCCCACCCAGCTCCGCAAACCCCCATCCGATCAGATACGCTACCACCTGTCCCAGCGTAATGAATAGGACATTTAAGGTCACTAGTCTCCCTCGAAACATCGACGGCGCCAACTCAGCAATATACAACGGCGTAACGAAACTCGCTGCGCCGACAGCGAGACCAACGATCGATCGGCCAGCGACCATAACCCATACCGACGTCGCGACGGCCTGTACCAGCGCCCCCAGGACGAACAGGATATCTGCTATGAGGATGACGCGTTTGCGTCCCAGAGAATCGGCGAGGAGACCGCTGATGGGAGAGACGAGGAGGGCGAAGAGGGATGTGGATGCCGCGATTAGGGATTTATCGAGTGTGGTGAGGGCGCGGGAGGAGAGGGAGGTGCCTATGGAGACGAGGGTAGCTGAGATTACGCCTGTGTCGTAACCAAATAGCAGGCCGCTGATGCCGGCGGAGAGCGTGAGGAGCCAGACGAAGAGGGTGGGAGTCGAGCTCGGGTCTTCGTGCTCGCTGACGGACTCGGCGGGGATGGAGTCGTCGTAGTCGTGGTCATCCCCGCCCATTAGGGGGTCTTGGGCTCTGTCGGCCATGCTGGCGGTATTGTGAAGTCAATCGTTGGGGTGTCTGGCCATCGGACGAGGCTGGTCTGAGGGTGGTCGATGACAGAGAGGCCCTTGGTGGTACTTGTTGGTCCAAGCGTCATCAGCCTTGCAGCAAGGCTGTTGTCAGTCTCACAGGTGTCAGCAACTCTACGACGTCCGCTTCATCAATGTTTCAATGCAACTTTGTCAATTAATTATCTTTATAAATTTGCTAAATATGGTAAAACGAAATAATGTCCGCTAACTGGTATCCAAAATTAAAAGACCCCCATACTACAAATTAACCAAACGATTCATACAACTTGATCCAAACCCCCAGCACAGATTCTCCACATATGGTATTGACGCAAGAAAGAAAACTTTACACAGCGTTATCACCAGTATTGGTGCGAGCATTGCGAGCATTGCGTTCGCTGCTGCGCGATTTTTCGACCTCCTCAAGGCCTGCTCCTCCAGCATAAGGATCAGCTTCAGCATGTGATTCCTCATCGTCCTGAGAATCGGGGCCTGGTTGTGGAGCAGCAGTGGGAGCATAAGGACTTCTCGCACGGATGCGCTCTCCGTAGTACCAGAAGGCCGCTGGAATCGGCACAAGCACCGTGGCCACACATCCAAGGAGAGTTCCTGTCCAATTTACTCCAAGAGCTTTGAACATTTGACGGGCGAATAGGGGGAATCCGGCACCTGCAAGGGAACGGAGGAAGGTGTTTGCTGCAATTGCGGAGGCGGCACTGAGAGAGTTAGTCTGACATATTGATAGGGGCTTCCGGAGAAAACTTACAACATGAGGTAGGCATCAATAAGGTAATTGAAGGATTGCAGGAAGATCGTTAGAAGACCGAATCCGGTGAACAGGCCCGACAGCGTGGGCACAATCCAGTGGATACTCTTGGTATATCCGGTCCAGCCAAAGAAAAACAATCCAATAGCGAAAGCGGCACCTCCAATAACCACGGTAGGGAGACGCCATTCGGGAATCGGGACACCGTTGTTCGCATCTAACTTGCGGTTATAAGCCGGCTGGATGTAGACAATGTAGGCTCCAGCAAACAGCTGTCCTAAGATCATGCCAAAGTACGGCAGGCCGCCAACACCAGGCGACATGCCATGGACGCCCTGGAAGACGACTGGGTAGGCTGTCAGGAAGAGATAGAGAAGGCCGTAGATGAAGGCCATGTAGAGTGAGAGAAGGAAGATGATGGGCTCGGTAAAGAGCAGGCGCATAGGACGACTGAAATTCTTCGTCACAAGCTCCTTGAAATCAAGTTCGATTTCCTCTTGTTTTGCGTGGATTCCCCAGTTCTTGGTTCTACGACGAAGTTCCGCTGCCTTCTCGATCAAGACGACAGGAGGATAGGTCTCCTCCAACCATATGAGATCCAGAACGAAACACGCAATTCCCATGATGCCGGAGATGTACTCGGTCCAGCGCCAGCCAAGATAAGATTCGGTGATGAAACCTCCAATAAATGGGGCAACGAGCGGACCGCTGAAAACCGTCATGGAGAATACCGTGATGGCCAGTCCTCTTGTTTTGTTATCGAACATATCCGAGAATACCGCCGCAACGACGGAGAGAGGGCATGCGCCGAAGAATCCTCCCCAGAATCGACATATGAGAACTGTCTGCAGGTCCTTGGCGACAGCTACTGCGAATTGGAAAATGGCAAATCCGAACATGGCGATGAGAATAGGGAGTCGCCGTCCTTTCAACTCGGACAGCGGCGCCCACAACGTCGGCCCCGTGGCGAAGCCGAGAACGTAGAGAGATACACCGAGTGTCCCAACCACCTCTCCGACATGGAATTGTTTCGAGACAGTAGGAATCGCAGCCGAAAAGATACTCGAAGCGAACGCCGCAGTGAAGGTAGTAAGACCAAGCATAATAGCCGTATACAGCCTACAAAAACACGGTTAGTATTGGTACGAGAAAACCGAGCGCAATTGACCACACTTACTTCTTCTTAAACGGCCAGTTTTGCGCATGCAGAGGATCGTCCGGGCCATCAAACTCTACGACATATTCCTCCTTCGCTGGCAGTGGCGGGGGATACGACTTCCCATATCCAAAATTCGGCAGCGGCTTCTTCGACTCCTTATACCCGATACCCCTCCCAACCGTGGCGCTATGTTGCGTCCTGGCTGTTTGTATGCGGCTTATAGAAGTGTGGCGACGCTCGAGGTCCGCCTGGGTCGAGTGTGTCCGACTCAGACCAATGGGATCGGCATATGGATGATCGGAGGAGGAGGAGTTCGAGGAGTATCCGCTGCCTATCCTTTCAGCTTCATGGCTCAATTGGCGGCCGCTGGTCATAGGGGCGCGCTGGCTGGAGATATCTGCGCCTACGGCGGCGAGATCGCGGTCGGTGGAGTCCATATCTGGTCACCCTATCGCCTGGTGGTGAGCAAATATATTCGAGGGACCCCTTTGGCGTGTTTGTTTTTGTTTGAGGGATCAGCAGCCGTGTGCGAGGAGGTAGGCTGTCTATATCAATGTTTCGAAAGAGCCTTTTTTTGTCTGTCGCCCCACCGTCGAGCTTATGGCGATGGATCCAGAAAAGAGCGGGTAGGGTAAAAGCTTAGTAAACAGCGACGAAGAGAGTATTTTTAGTGCAAGGCAAAAGAGATCTTGCTAGTAATGTGGAATTAGATTTCTTTTTGGGTCAAATAAGAGGCAATCTCTGCCGAGTTCCTTAATGAAGGGGCCAATTTTCTGGGTCGAATGGGCGAATGGTGCCATGGACCAGACCGTCTTAAACCTTATCAAGGACGAGGCTAGAGTAGAACACCGAGGCACGGCAGTTCAACCCGGGAAGTTATATTTGACTATTGAATAGTAACCAGCGATGATAATAGATGAGGCTTATAAAATATTCGATTGTAGGTGTTTAAGTATGAATATATACTGCCATTTATTACCTTTTTTTCTTCATAATCCCTCAGCTTAACAATCCAGTTCTCTCCATCGGTGTCCATTTTTCTTCAAATCTTCTTCAAACAATGACGCAGGCGGCGTTAGCGGTACGTACCCTGTTCCATGAAAGTCGATCCCGTCCTAACCGGATGAACCCTGCCATCTCCAAAAAATATACGCTAGTTTTTAACTGACCCACTATCAAAATCTATACAGTGGAGATTTTTCTCGGTCTTTCGCTTTTCGGAATTCGCTCTTAAGTAGGGAGCGTGGAACGGTGTCCGCGTTGTTATAGCGGCTTCCGCGCTTTTTATATGAGAACTATGCGCCGTGGCTAGCCGAGTTGATATATTTTTCAGGGCTCTTGCTGTCTTGAGACCCATCTATATGTGATTATATACGAGGACATATGGATATATACTATTATCAAAAGACCTCCTCCTCACTACGACCTACTCGCTCAACGACAAAATTCTCATAACAGCCCACCCATACACCCGTCCCATCCTACTAATTCCCTCCCTGCTCATCAATAACCATATTATCCACCCCCCTCGCCACGGCCTCCATCCCCTGCGTCTCAAAGATATAATCCAGATCCGGCTGCGCCTCTCGATACAAAACATGTTTCTCACTCGCCATCTTCATGTTATACGCCGCCTCCTCGTCAGAAATGATATTCCGCTTCAGCCCCGGATTACCTGCACACGCTGCCTCGACGTCGAGCTGGATGCGGCAGCCGCGGTCGAGGAGGCCGAACATGTAGCCTGCTTCGTCGACTGTGTGGCCGACGGTGAGTAGGCCGTGATTCATGAGAATAACCCCCTATCGCCCCATTAGCCCACTTCCTCCCCTCCCGCTCCCAAACCCACCCAAAAAGGGGCCCAAGTAATAAATAAGAAGAACTCACTTTATTCCCCTCCCCCAGCGCCCTCGCAATATTCCTCCCCTCCTCCTCCGCAAACACAATCCCCCCATACTCCGCATACACCGCATGCGCCTGATAGAAATTACAAACATCCTGATTCAGCATCTCCAACGGCCGCGCAAACACGCTCCACGCGCGGCCCGCATCCGTGTGCGCGTGGCAGATGGCCGCGACATCCGGCCGCGCCTTGTGGATCGCGGAATGGATTTGGAAGCCTGCGGCGTTGGCGGGGCGGGTCTGTGTTCGGGTTCGGAGTTAGCAAGGGGTCGGTACATGATTTAAGCGTAACGGTATACATAAATTGGAGTTATGAAGAAAGTTGAAAGGATGGGAAAGGGGACAAACATACATTGTTACCGCCTACGACGGCACCGGTGTGCATATCTAAACAGATCATATCACCTGCTGTCATGAGACCGAAGTGCCGCCCGAGAGGGTTCATCCAGATGTAATCCTCGAACTCCGGGTCGCGGACGCTGATATGTCCCGCTTGGCCTTCGGTGAAGCCTTTGCGTGCAAAGTCACGGAAAGTGGCGGCGGTGTGGATGAGGATGTGTTTACGGTGCTCAGCGGGGGAGGAGAAGGTTGGGATGCCTGTTGGGGTTAGTAGGGATGGGGGTTGAGGAGGATGGCTTGGGGGATCTGGGGATAAATAATGAGCGGGATTTTTCTTACCGTCCATGAGGATTCCATGGCTTATGGCTTGTAAGGGGGTTTTCTCTTCAGAGCCGTGAACGTGCGGCGCTTGCTTCGAGGGGAGGGTGGAAGGTGGTGCCTCGGCCGCCGGGGGTTGGGTGGTTAGATCCGCTGAAGGGGGCATGGTAACAACACTAAATATATATATAGAACAGAGCCGTTTAGGTGTTTTAAAGATGATATAAGTGGTTTCTAGTCCTCGATAGAGCTGGTTGACCCCTCTATATCATGTGACTCATGAGCGGGGAGTACGCCCAGACGCCACCTACAGGATGGCAAGGTTTCCGATTGGCCAGGCTTAACTTACATGACAGGACGTATGTAAGTGATAAATTAGACATCAACTATTCTCACTTGATGAAAGACGACTTCAAAGTAATATCTCGTGTAATTCTCATGGGATTATTTAAATTCAGCCCAGCTAAATACCATCTCCCCCCCCCTCCCCGCTCCAACACCTCAATGCAGAAATCTAAAATCCAACCTCCTCGACCCACGATCCTTACTATTAGCAATATAATCATTCTGCTCCTCCTTCGTCATCGCATTCCACTTCTTATCCCTAATCTTATTCTTCCACACATAATACGCCTTCGCAAACAAGAACAGCCCAATCCCCAACACATTAATACCGATCAACGTCCTGTTGCCCCGGCGGTAGTACGGTTTATCATCCTCCCGATACACGAAGGTCGCGCAGATTCCACCGAGCTGCACAGACATATTGTACAGCGACGCTGATATCGAGCGCGCGCCGACATCGTTGGAGTTCGAGCTCACCCAGCCTCCCACGATAGCGTGACAGTACGGGTACGACAGCAGCACGGCGGTAGCGGCGTAGGTGCCCCATTGGTTACTGATAAGCCCGGGCCAGACGGCGAGAAAGATCAAGACGGGAAGGGTCCAGATAAGCTGGAAGACGGCGACGAGGGCGCGCTGGTTGAATTTCCCGGCAAGCCAGGTTATGCTGAGGAGGGTGAAGATGTGGACCACGGTGTGCGGGATGGTGAGGAGATTGGCGTTGAAGGTGCTGAAGCCGATGGAGCGGAGGGTGAGGGTTAGGTAGAGGGCGGGCGGGTTTTGAGGGATGTATATGATTATTCCGAGGGCGTAGATCTGGGGTGTGTTAGTGGAGTTCTTGTTTTAGTAATGGGGGGGTGGGGGGTGGGGTGTGCTTACCGGCCACAGATCGTAGTCTGTGAGTCCGCGCCAGAGGCGACGGGGTGTAATGGCCTTGCGATTCATCATGGATCCCTTGGAGGGGTCATCGCGCAGAATGCGGTTAACCAGGATAGCCTCCTCGCGGTCAGTAAACCAGCCTTTAGGCCTGAACCAAGTCTTCGTCTGGACAGCCGAAGCAGGCATCATGAAGAACGAAGCGACTCCAATTACGAAAGTGATCAGCCCTTCCAGTAAGAACAGCCATTTCCATCCCGCCACACCGTGTGCGCCCTCGAGATGGAAAATCCCGAAAGCCAGGAGAGAGCTGATGATGCCAGTTACGCTGAGCGCGGTCCAGAAGAAACTTAGGCGGATAGGCAGCTCTTTGGAGGTGTAGAAGTAGCTCAGGAAGAGGATGAGATCGGGGATGAAACCGCCCTCGAGGATACCCAATAGTGCGCGCGTTGCGAAAAATCCGGATCGGCTTGTCATAGCGGCCTGGCTCATGGCGACGATCGACCAGAGGCAGATCTGCATCGGAATCCATCTGTCGGGGCCGATTTTCTTCGATACGAGTTGAGACGGCAGCTCGGCGACTAGGAAAGATGCGGTGAAGATCGTGTTTCCATGGTTGTAATCTAGGAGTTGCAAGTTAATGGCTGTAGAAGAATAGCGTAATAGGGAACTTACCATTAGTGTTGAGGTGCAGGTCCTTTAAGAGTGTCCCCGAGACAGCTTGTACCATGTTACCCCTATCAAGTTGCAGGGAGAAGAACATAATGCAAGCCCATAAGCAGACTGAATTGTAGTTTAGCAATATGAAACCTATGGGAATGGCAGCATATCTTACTTCGCCAGTCAACCTTCCGTATAAGTTTCTTCTCTTCTTCGGCGGACCATGTGAGGTCTGCATCAAAAACGTGGCGACACTCATATTTTGCCTTTTCGTACATCTTCACGTAGAAGTCCCTGATCTCTGGGTCGGCGAATACGTTGGTCGACAAGCTAGAGTCTGATTCTTGCGTCGAGACCACGACCCCATCCTTGGTGACGAGATTGCCACTCTTGGTGACTATCTGGGCGCCGTCCAGGAGGTTGCCAGGAATCACGCCCTGCTTTCCCTCGGATGACACCGATGTTCTGTCGGAGTCATCCCCGCGTCTGCTTGCGATTGAAGCTGAACCCATGGTTGTTGGGATGAGGATCTATCTGGGGCTTTTGCGTTTGCGACCACAGTTCTCGGCCGTGTTGCCCCTCCATGAAGGACGAGGCAAGGGTTTATATATTTTCATACACGTCTAGTATAACGAGGTGGACATACAGGCACGTACAATACTCCTGGCATATGAGGTGATCAACGTGCCCCCCCCCGGCGCAGCCTCGGGACTGCCGTCGATGGTGATTTTCGGGCTATGTTTACCAACAAAATTGACGATGCATCGTTTGCCAAGCCCTACCATCCGCCCAGAGGAATGACAGAAAGATAAGAAACGACAAGGAAACGACAAGGAAATGTCTAACTTACTCCCAACCTCCATCCTTGGCCGGCTCTCGCCGGCGTGGGGTGCATGCCCATGCTACAGAGTCGTATAGAGACATGCATCCGTTTCCACACGCGGACGACACATGGGGATCCGGTCTCGGTCTGGGGAGAACGTGCGGATGGATGCTGACAATTGGTTGAAACACGATCAACAATACGCTGGAATCTTCGTCATTGAAGTTTAAGATGCCATCATCGGATAGTGGGAACCGGCATTTGAATGTAGAGTTCCCAATTACAAAGCCTACGAGCCAAGAGGTCCGTAAGGGAATAACTCCAGAGATAGCCATAGAGAGGACACTTAAATGAAAGCCGCGAGAGGTTCATCCCTTTGTTCAACTTGAAATATGTGGAGGGCATCTATCTTCATGCCGTTGACCAAAGCCAAATGCCGAAGATCAGTATGTACAAGCGCCCGTACAGAGACCTATGCTATGCAACCCTTCACGTATAGAGTATTATAAGACATGCTCTATGTTCTTTTTATGGAGCAACAGACATTGAAACTATGTCCCTAGCAAGCAACACCCCTGCTCGCACTGTAGGGGGTGTGTTGAGGGGGTGTGGTCATGTGACCCAACACCTTGATGGTCGCATTCCTCAGGATCTATTTACTGTTTGGGGACTACACTTGTAGGAAATCTACCGTATCACTGCCGTATAGATAAATCAAATAAAGAATAAGAATAATAATAAATGGAGTAGTTGAACTGCCTAGCTGGGGATATAGTCGGACATAACTCCCGTACATGAACTCTCATGATGGTGCAATAGCCGAGAATAGCACGTAACTACTAGACGGGCATCAACACAACAACATGCCTGATATGGCACATGGCGCAGATTATGGCAAGTACACCAACTTCCAAATAGTGAGCTCGACTCAACTAAGTCAAAAAGGACATCTATTGAATGCTGCGATTAAACGCCGCTTGTGCGGGGTAACCCGACGGCCAAGACGTTACTGTAGGAATTTACTGCAGCACCTCACTACTTTATTCCATAATGCAGTTGGATGGATAAGCAGTTCAAATAACGCCATCTGTAGCAAACTGAGACCATATGGAAAGATGCGACTTACTCGTCTTATCTGTAACTTGGAATATGTGCGGAATACACCAAATTATCGGCGACGGTAACTTTCGACGCCGACCACCGCGATGGCGTCTTCTCGTGGGTACGTTTCCTAGTCAAATCGGGCCCGTAATCGACGACGTGATCCACGATGTTCCTGCTTCCATCGGTGAATCTGGGACAACTTTCGCCGTGATTCCGTTCGAACCACATCGTTGAAACGCACCATCGCTCTTGAACCGCTCTTTGAAATCGGACCCACGGATCGCTGGTAGAATGCCCGACTACGCCGTCGAAAGCTTCTCCAATTTCACCATCCCGTCCACGGATTGTGCAAAGAATGGTCGAAACATGGTGAGCTTGCGAAAGATTTCGCGGTGCTTGAAGACGCCGTGATGGCCGACAAAATCATCAAGTGAAGTATCATGAATGGCGGTTATATAAAACCGTCGAGCCCACGAGGTTGATGGGGTAGTTTCAGTCGTGACACAACAGTTCAATACCCTAAATCCACCCAAAGCAAAAAAACAACAATCTTTCAAAATGGCTCCTTCCGTCGCAGAAATCCAACAAGAGCAGGTCGCTCCAGTCGTCGCAAAGCAAGTCCCAGTAGTCGCAGTACCAGAGGCAGCAACAGAGGCATCAGCAGATGCTCCAGCCAGGAGAGTCCGCAGGCAAATCGACGAAGAGGGAGGAACTACCACCGCAAAATACCCACACTACCTTCCGGTTTACGACTATGACCAGAAGTACGCGCCGCTCGAGCCATTCGAGCACGTAGACCACGGTGTTGGCGCCGACCCAACCTTCAAGGATCTCCTTGTCGAGGGTAGCAAAATCACCAAGCTGACCCCCGCCACCGGCTCCGAAGTCACCGGCGTGCAGCTCAGCCAGCTCTCCGCCGCCGGTAAGGACCAACTCGCTCTTCTAGTCGCCCAGCGCAAGGTCGTCGCATTCCGCGACCAAGACTTTGCCGACCTTCCCATCAAAGACGCCCTCGACTTCGGCGGCTACTTCGGCCGCCACCACATCCACCCCACCTCCGGCGCGCCAGAAGGCTACCCCGAGATCCACCTCGTCCACCGCGTCGGCAGCAAAGGCGAACTTGACAACTTCTTCGCCGGCCGCAACAGCAGCGTAGCCTGGCACTCCGACGTCTCCTACGAGGCGCAACCCCCCGGAACCACCTTCCTCTACGTCTTCGACACCCCCGAGACCGGCGGCGACACCGCCTTCGTCAACCAAGTCGAGGCCTACAACCGCCTGTCGCCCGCCCTCAAGCAGCGCCTCCATGGCCTCAAGGCCCTCCATTCCGGCATCGAGCAGGCCGAGTTCAGCCACAAGCGCGGCGGCGTCGTGCGTCGCGAGCCGGTCACCCATGAGCACCCGATTGTGCGCACGCACCCCGCTACTGGCGAGAAGGCGCTGTATGTTAACTCGGGCTTCACGAGGAGCATTGTGGGCTTCAAGAAGGAGGAGAGCGATGCGCTTCTTGCTTTCTTGTATGCGCATATTGCGCGCGGTATCGATTACCAGACTCGCGTGAGGTGGGCGCCTAAGACGGTCGTCGTGTGGGATAACCGTGTCACCGCGCACTCAGCCGTCGTGGATTGGACCACTGGTGAAAGGAGGCATTTGGCACGCATCCAGCCTCAGGCTGAGAGGCCGGTGGAGACTCCATATGTTCCGGAGACTGAGGCATAAAGCAGGGTAGTGGATATAGCAGCGTTTGTAGTTTCTTGCTTATAGCGGTAGCATTAATGAATTATGCGAAATGCACATACTTATAAATACTAATTCCCCTCCGCGGAGAACCTTCACCGTGTGATTCATGAGATCGCGTCTTGAGTCGCATCCCTACAGCCTGCCCTTTGGTCGGTGATGATGCGATTGTCGTCCAAGATGCCAAATCCCGATTGCCGAGATCTGGGGAAACTAGCTTGGTACTTTGGGGTAGCTCCCGCAGCAAAACAACAGCCCGTCGTGAAACCCTCAGCCTCGTCTACACACGACCCATCATCACCGCAAATATGGGAGGACGTAAATACAATCTCAATGCTCGGGTATGCAATTGACCTCTTTAAACACGCATAGGCGCCTACTAACTCTACCCGCTAGACGATAGCCACGCCCCTCGCGGCATTCTGCATGGCCACTCTCCTCTTCGTGTATGCCGCCACCCCTCCACCCATATCGCGTGCCGGCTAACAGCTAGTAGATATGCGCGCACATCCATCACAGCAGCGAAGCGCAATGCGCAGATGCACCGTGAGGCGGACGGAGGGCAGATTAGCTGGCGCAATGAGTCACTGCGGAGGCATGGGGCGCTTGCGGCGCCAGAGTCAAAGAGTACTGTGAAGCAGCTGCTTGGGGAGAAGGCGGCGAAGGAGGGGGCCGAGGGGGAGAAGGTTGCGAGGTCTGACGAGGAGGATAGGGTTAGAGCGGCGGCGAGGAGTAGTAGGGTGAGGAAGGAGTAGATGGGTGTGGCTGAGGCGGCGCGGCAGTGTATGCATATTTGAGGGTCTGGCGTCTGGGTGTGTATATATGAGTCTGGTATGTGATATTGAGAGTCATTCAAAAGGGTCTTGTTATTAGATACATACATATTCCGAATAGGCTGTTTTTGTAAGAAGGCTGAGTCTCTTGGCCATTGCTGCATTCGAGGCTTGGCGTAATTGGGGGCGGATGACTGATAACCGCATCCATTATCAACAGGCAGACATAAATAACGAAGGGCGACTACACAATCAAAATGATGAGAGAATTTTGCAGCTATTTTCAGAGAATTGGGTTCAGTAACAGCGTACATCGTGGTGTGTATTATCTCCATATATTCCCTCTTCATTTTTAATCAAGACATGCCATCCCAATGACTAACAAGAATTTCTATAGCTTCCGCAGGAGCAACAATTTAAACAATGGGAAGACATCCCAGAAGGCGAATGCCAATAGAAGGTAGTAAGCTCAACAGATATTCTTCTCCGGATTCTAAATCACAGTAGGCGCCGATGGAGCAATCTCTCAACCGCCCTCATTACTCACCCTCCCAGCAGAAGTACGATTCATGATCTGGGAAGCCGTCGCCACTTGTTCAGGACCAATCCTCGTATGTGCAGAGTCTCTCACATTTGGTCCACTAGAGCAAGTTGCGAGATTCAGCTTTGCTATTCCCCCTCCGGTACTCACCAACAAACAACGCAAACTTCGCTCTTCGAAAGCTAAAGCTAAACTGACTGCCAATCCACTCATCTGGCTTCTCACAAACCGCCAAATCTACGCCGAAGCCCGGTCCGTTTTTTATGCAAACATATGTCTCGCGTTTGACAATGTGTTTTGCCTGTCGGCATTCATGTTCCAGTCACCAGAGACTTTTATCAAGCCGTCGATGGTGCGGTCGCTATCGTTAGACCTACAACTGGCTATCAATGCAGACACCCGCAACAAGTTCATACCTCCTTTTTCAAACCACTGCAAGTTCTCTTTCTCTAAATCCGTAAACCACGGGTGGGAAATAATGATGAGGAACCCCGATGATTGGTGGGGAGGACGATATATATGCAAGTGTCCGTTTTGTCTCGCGCCTAGTAGCAGTGCACTAGCAAATGGTGCTGACTACTTCACCGGCCTGCGTGAACTGCGGTTGCAGATAAGATTCGGCTGCAGTCATGGGCCGGCAAACGAGTGGGAAATGATTAGGCAGTGTTGTGATCCGCAGCGGTTTCGCACTGGAGGACAATACTTTGGGAAGTTGGGGCAGCTGATGGACTCAGATTCCCTAGTGTGTAAGGATAGCAGCGAGAAAATCGCGGATTTTGCCAAGTGGATTTGTACGCAGGTGCCGCTACGGGTTTTCTCAAAATTGAAGCTGGATGCTGTCGACGTGCAGTTCAATGTGGAGAGAATTGAACGTAGTCCGCTAGTTATCCATGAGTATCAACGTGGGAATGATAGATGCTGGTGCGATAATCACAAGGTTGATAAGGAGAGCATAGAGAGTTGTGGGTTTGCAGAGGAACTTAAAAGACGGTTGATGAATGGAGATTCTGAAGAGGACGGTTGACTTCATTCATACGCTATAGTATCTGTCTAACTCAATAATCCAACATCTTGTCACGGTCTCTCTATGCGGCCAAAACACTCTTGCCTCCATCGGTTGTCAACCTACTCCTCACCCTGACTTTCAGAAATCCGGACCCGAGCCTCGCATATCTGCCACTGACGCTTGCCGCATCTACACCAACCATCGCGCTGGGCGAGAACAGGAGTGCCTCTCCAACTTCCAACCCAACAATTTTCTTGAAGATCATACTTGCCGTCTGGACCTTCGCGCCTGGGATTGACTCTGTGTCTCGATCGCCTGCATCCGGCTCCGGTGCAGTAATGTCGGACGCTGCTGCTGCCAAATGGGCTTTAAGGCTTTTCATCCATTCAGGTGACGTAAAGCGGTGGACAATGGTGATCGAGCACAAGTCGAGAAGCTCCGGTGAGATAGTTGGCTCCTGGGTGCTGATAATGATTCTGGCGCCGAGATGGCGTTGCAGTCGGATTGTGGTGAGAAGGGTCGCCGTGAGGGTCTGGGCCTCGGCCGATTCATTCATGAACTAAAAGTTATGGGTTAGAACAAGGATTTTGCCTCGAAGATTCTCACTTACTTTGTGTGCCTCATCCAAGGCAATCACCCGACGACCCGCTGTGTCCTGGTCGAGGAAAATACTCAAGCAGATGTTGAATAGTGAGCAAGCCCCCTCTGGCGTAACACAGGGGCATGAAAGATCGACGATGGTTAGAGAGTCAGGCTAGAACTGTTAGAAGGTATAGACCAAATGTCATAACGCGGCCACATACCTTGGAGGTCCAGTCATTCCCATACTGTCTCACCAGCTTGCCCTTTCGCTGCTGGATTATGACCCCAGTCTCCGTGTTTGGCATGAAACTCTGAAGAGTATCAAGTCGCTGTGCGAGCGGACTGAGTTGAGCCGGAGTCATTTCCGTTCTCGAAACGCGGTCCTTGAACGTGGCGTAGCTGAATCCAGTTCCCATCTCCTGTTGCTCCATTCGCATCTCTCGAAGGATGCGGTAGACAGCATGCAAATACAGAGGCATTGGGCCATCGCCGCGGCTCACAGCCATCAAATCAAGCATGCGCTTGGTGTTGAGGTTCTCTTCGCTGATTCGCAGCGGCTCAACGGTGACGTTTTTGAAGGCACTATAGGTTCGCTGCAAAGGTCAGTGAAAAAGCAAAATATGTAGAAGAAGTGAGTGGGCTTACTCTGATGGTGCGGAAGTTGGTCGGCGAGCACAGGACTCTCACTTTGATGCTTGGATCTGAAGAAAGGTAGGCGGCCTCGCATGGAGATCCACCACCGTCGGAGATGAAGGTGTCATAATGGAACACAAGACCCGTGAGGGGACGAGGAAGCTTGTTGGCATCCGATGGGATCAAGCAATTCTCAAGCAAGCATGAGAGGGTGTGGCTCTTGCCGGAACCTTGGGAACCACAGATGAAAGTGCTCGATGGAGCAGCAACATTGAAGAAGATCCGAGGATCATGAATGTATGATTTGTCTCCATCCTCAGATTTTGGCTCATTTGGTGCGCTCTCAGTCATGCCAGCAAGTAGACCGTATTGTGGAAATACTGGTGGGGAATCACCAACGGCAACGGTTGCGGCTTCAGCGTGCTTGAGAACAGGCATGGAAAAGATCGGTGCCGTGGTGACGTCTTGGAGTGCTTGTTGTCCAGAGCCAGAGCCAGACTTCAAAAGGTCGAGGTGATAGTCAAACAGACGAGCATCTTCTGTTTCTTCCGGGGTTTGTTCTGGCACCTTGGACCATGTGCTGCTTGAGCTTGATGAGGTTGACGATGAGCTCGATGGGCTGCTCCCAGGGGAGGCAATATCGTCGTGCTTCATGGCGACGAAAGGATTGGTTGTGGAGAACTTCAAAAAGGTTCAAAGCAATACTTGCAATCTGAGTTGTGGAAGTAGACGTTTTGTGTTTGTTGTTGTTATGTTTACGGGGCTAAGGGCTATTCGATTTCTTATAAGGAAGATAGGAACAAAGGGTTCGCCTCCTATCTAACCCTGAACACATAAGCGGACCGGTAGAGCAAACTACAGGACAGATCGAAACGGCAAACAAATTATTAAGTAAATGCTAGAATAAAGAGCTCATGACGACGATGTAAGCCGAGTCAAGGGGAAGAGCGTATGTACGATCATCTTGTAGTATCTTAGATGCCGTAATTCTTGTAGCTGCAGCAATCACATTTTGGCTCTTGAAAGCTATACAAATTTGTTTATGATTGACAGTGTAATCTAGGCAGTGGTGTTTGATCCCCAAGTTTAGCTAACTCCTATCAAATCTAATAAACGCGATAATCGTTTTATGTATTTAGATATCGAACAGAAAGAAGTGTTGTATTTCCCGATATATGTCCGTCAAAAATTGGTACATAACCACGAGCCTGCCCCAGCAACTCATCCCAGCGAGTAGAATGGACGTAGCTAGCATGGGGCATTGAAACCACCGGAAATACCTGGAACTTCTACTCGTGTATGCGATACGGTAGCTGGTAAGTACTACAGCTAGGCCCACCCAAATTGTTCCCTCGTCGTCTCCAACTTCCCCTAGAAAATAGATAAGGTCTGCCAAGAGAAATACATACCCTAGGTCATATGCGAACCATGGCTCCCATATAAAGTATATGATGAGAAATATGCTCCTTAAAGGCAACATAGCCCATGCTTCTTCTATGAGATAACCAATAGAAACCGAGCAGACAATTAATTCGATGTCTTTGCCCTTCAACGCTATTGCAAGCATGCTAAAGCCAAAGAGCGCCGTCGAGTACAACCCCTTCAACTCCATATCTGTTAGATGGCTCCAGGGGGAAGCGTCGACACTCCCAACCTCTCGCCGCCTAACGCCCCTGAACACTTGGTTCAGTCCAGGAGGTGGCGGTAATGGCCGATCTATGATCAGTGCGCAAGCATGAGTGAGGGTGTGCTCCATGCTCTAGACAACCCTTTTGTTAGCTTCACCCCCTATAATGCTGCACAAAGGCACGTACCTGCTCGCCCTTGCACCAGTCCTGATAGTCTTTTGCAGTGGACCATACCCCTGTAGCATACTGCCCAACTGTCGGGGCTATCATCCCAATCGCAAGAAGAAATGCAAGAACTGCCACAATGAATCCAAGCCTTTCAGCAATTTTAGACCACAGGGATGGCGGGGTGTCATGGGTGCCATTCTCGATTTCTTGCTGTCCCTGTTGCGCTTCTGTTTGCAACTGCTGTGGCGTTCCGTGGGTCTCTTCTGAGGTTGCTTGTGTAAACCATTGTTGTATCATTCGGCGGGCTTCTTCTAGGGCTAGTTCTGTTTGAAGTTGTCTTCCCTCTTGTGAAGATTGCTGCTGTTGCTGCTGCTGCTCTAGTAATGGTCCAGGCGAAGCTGCCGAAGCTCTAGGTAAAGAGGTCTCCGTTGCCCTCGTAACGGTAGGGCGCCTCTCTATAGATGGCGAAATTGAGGTTGATGCGGCTGACGAAGAGCCTTGTTGGTCAAGAGTTTGCAGTTGAACAGACGCCATCTTGCGAGCGTTATAAAAGCCCTTTAAGTACTTATAGATAGCACCCGTCCTCAGCGCCGCATAGGAGCTGCTAGCAAACTAGAGATGAAGGCCGATTAACATCGCTACCATTACTTAGCGCAGGATCCATTTTTGGAGGGCGCAGCACACTTAAGCGACGAGGCTGAATAATGGAGCTGAAGGATGAAGGGGTCGCCGTATGAGGAAAGTTGGGTTGCGAGTCATATAGCTCTCCCGCATTAGCGCTCCCGTCAATCGCTCGTCAGGGGTTTCCCTTACCACGGTTGTCTCACCCCACAATTGATATCCAAACCCCGCATCTCCCTCCACCACTTCACATCAACTCTATCATCACCTCACGCCAACTCCTACCAAACCAACGCCAAACCGCCGCCATGGCCAGCACCGCAGCCGCAGCCGCCACCCTAACCCGCTACAAACTGGTCTTCTTTGTCCCCCCTTCCTCCCTCTCTGCCTGCAAAACCGCCATCTTTGCCGCCGGCGCCGGCCGCTACCCTGGTCCCGGTTCCTACACCGAAGTCTGCTGGACCACCCTCGGCACAGGCCAGTTCCGCCCCGGTGATGCTGCTAAGCCGGCTATTGGGACCGTGGGGAAGCTCGAGGTGTTGGAGGAGGTGAGGGTCGAAACGCTGTGTCAGGGGGAGGAGGTGGTTAGACGGGCTGTGGAGGCTTTGAAGAGGTGAGTTTTCCCGAGAGGGGGTGTGGGAGGGAAGGGGAGTGGGCTAATGAGGGGTAGTGCGCATCCGTATGAGGAGGTAGCGTATGATGTTGTTAAGTTGGAGGATTTTTGAATGGCTCTTGTGGGGGATGAACGTGGGATTGGAGATGGATGGAGGTTTCGTTGGACTTGTTGGTAGGTGGAATTTTGCAGAGTTTTGGCGCAAGGAATGATGAGCTTGGGTTGACTTCTAGATGGATGCTACAAGTATTACCGAACTATAAGGGGATGATGGCAGCTCTATGAACTGAAATTGGAGATTACATTACTTTAGTAGCCTACGAATTTCCACACATTCATTCCAGTACTACTACCAATTTAAACCCCACACTACTTCCAAAAATTAAAATCTACTTACACACATCATTGTTCCGAAAGTATGGGCCATCATTGTTGAGCAGAGAAACGAATGTATTAAATTGCTCATAGTTGTTATATATCGATGGCTTACAGTTACGCGACCCCCTAACCATCCAGCTCCGGCAACCAACTGGTCCATGCAGCAGAGCCTTCCAGCATAAGAAGAAGCCGCGTCCTTGCATCTCTTCCCCACATTACCTCTTCACCTCCACTTAAAACAAAGGAATGACTAAACCAGAACTCACGCGCAAGCGCAGAGGACCCTAAGCAGCCCCCTTGAGAGAGGCAGCCTGCACCTCGACGATATCATCCTCATGGTGCTGCTGCGCGATCTCCTTCTCGACCTGGTGAAGGTCGATATGGGCGGCTGCGTCGTCGCCGTCAAAGATCTTGCAGATTTGCTCGAGGGTTGGGCCGTTGGTTTCGACGTAGAAGAAGTAGACGAAGACGAGTTCGCAGGTGTCCCAAAGCTGGGGGGGGTATTGTTAGCTGGGTCTGACTTGGAATAGAAAAAGGGGGGCGGAGGGAGGCGTACTGTGTAGAACAACATGAAGTTCCAGTGGTTGGGGAGGTTGTCCCAGGCGAGGAGGTTCGTTTGGCTGGGGTTTGGTTAGTGGGTTCAGTAGGGATTTTGGGGCGGGGGTGACGAACTTGGAGAGAGCGAGGATAGCTTGCACGGTGATGTTCATGATCATCATGCCCTTGGCGCGGAGATGGAAGGGCAGGACCTCGAGGGCGTAGGCGACCAGGAGACCGGAAAAGCCGATGTCGTAGAAGCAGCCAAAGAGCCAGATGAAGACGAGCTGCGCGTAGCCGGCGCCGGCGTTCTGGAGGTTGGAGTTCTCGTACACGGCGCTAGTTATGGTCCAGCAGACGAAGCAGCCGACCATGCCTTTGCTGGGCGTTAGCAGGGGCAATAATAAGAAAGGGGTCATTGTGCATACCGCAGATGGAAGTGAGGAAGAGCGGGCGACGACCAAATCTGTCGACAGATAGGGCAGCGGCGATGGTGACGCTGAGATCTAGAATAGTTTTGCCGGTGGTGATCTATGCATTATATTAGTCATGGGCAGTGTGCCAAAGTTGGGGATCCTTACACCGAGCTTCTGGTTCTGGTCATGGATACCGGCACCTTCGTAAATAACGTTAATGTAGTTGGAGAGAATGGCATTGCCGGAGTACTGGGAAATGACACCAAGGGAGATGATGATGGCCAGACGCCAGCGGTTTCCCTTTGTCTTGAAGAAATCCGAGTATCTGACGGCGCGGTTAGTCAGCTTGTCAAGGCGCATCGTCTCTTTGATCTCCTGGAACTCGTATTGCACGGTTGCGTTGTTCTTGTCGCCTCCAGCGTGGTAGGTGGCGAGCATGTCAAGCGCCTCATCGGTGCGATCCTTGGAGATCAGGTATCTTGGGGATTCCGGGATCCCTATGTCTGTAAGTTAGCGCGTCCAGAATACGGTTTCGTTTTGGGATTGCTTACAGTAGATGAACATGAGCTGGACAGCAGAAGGAATGATCTGAATGAAGGTGATAGTTCTCCAGGACCAGTCATTGTTGATAGTCGACGTTCCCCATCCGATGCAGGACACCACCAGGGCGCCCAAATTCCACAGACAATTGTAGATGGCAGTCACGGGCCCACGGTGCTGGGGATGGCAGATTTCAGTCAGCAGGAGGGGCGAGCACATCTGCGCCAAGCTGTTGCCGAAACCGAGGACGAAGCGGCCGGCGATGAACACTGTAGGTTATTCTTAGCCACTGGGATGCCGTATGAATTATCAGGGGGTCACCTACTTCCGTAGCCATTGCAGAAGGCGGACAGGCAGCCACCGAGACACATGATAAGACAGCCACAGGTGATAGCAAACTTACGGCCCCATCTATCAGCGATGTAGGGCGTGAAAAAGAAACTGATGATAGATCCAATGTTGAACATATTGACCAAGATACCGAGCTTATTTTTGTCAGAGACCTCAGGGAAGTACAGTTCCCAGAGTTTGATCTGCTGGGACGTGTTGATAAGCATGCTATTTGAGAGATTAGTTGTAGTTCCCCTTTGGCACGAGAGCGGTGCATACCCATCGTAACCAGTGGTAGCAGAGGCAATCATCAAGACAAAACCAAAGGCATAGAGCTTTCTCAAGTGAGGCTCCGACCTCCAATGGACCTTTTCAAAATCCGGTGCCTCTGCCTGGGCAACCTGGACCTTGTCCTCTGCGGCTTTGGCGCCGATTTCTGGAGCCTTCACCATACTGATGGGCAAAATATATCAATTTGGGTATGAAAATTGGGGCACTGGTAGGGGTGCAGGTAGCTGTCGAATGCAAGGCCTAACTAGAGGGAAGGACCAACTTCGATAATCCGATCCCCCCCAAATCGAGGCGACGCATGCCCCATATATGTCCGGGGAAAAGGAGGACCCGCTGCATCACATCCACCTGAGTGAACTAAGATGGGGTCGAGAGGGGTCACGCAGGGTTCCAACGTGGCAGAGGTCCGGGGAAAGATGCAACTGGCGAGGGCCTTCAGTACTGCGCAAGTTCCGACAGGCCGTCCTGTCCAACAATATCGGGCAAAGGGGGGGCTGGAGAATGGCTAAGGTGCCGGGGTGCAATATTTCCTGTGAAGCGCCTTGACTCTGACTCTATATTTGCTACTTCTCATGTTCTTCGGAAGCTAGGAAGCTTTCAGCCGGGCCGTGAGTTGGGATATCGAACCGCGTTTGTGTAATCACATGGTTGACAAGAATCTCACCGCTGGCTCTGGTAAGTTGTGATAGTTTGGTGGCGGCAGCAGCCGACTGAGCAAGCCAACCTGTATGCGCAGCTCAAAAGTGCCACCCGGGAGTGATGGAACATCTGCCTTTTCCTGAGGATTGAGCCATCAATCATACTAAGAAGCTTTGCAGATACCAAATCAAGCTTCAATAATTGGACACTGCTCTGCCTAGACGCATTACCCAGGTCGGTTTTGAGAAGTTCAACCGCGGACATGGAAAGTGATTGGTAGGGGGGAGGACTCAGATGAGGGGTAGAAGTGTGTTTTGACACCAACAACCGGTCGAAATTAGACCATGTTCAATAAGTTCGACTCAACCGCATCATGCGATTCGATGACGGTAGTGTTGTCAACGGGTATTTAGCCAGAATGCCTTTAGAGACAGGAATATTGAATGAGGGGTGGTGTTTGTGGCGTTTGTGGTGTGGTGTGCTAGGACGACAAAGTGAGTGGTTGCTGCAACACGGCGTCTTGTCTTGATGTTCTAGAATAATTGGAGGGTTACACGGCAGTTCGACGGCTGGGCTAAGACTTACTTTGCCAAAATTAGTAGTATTGTATCGAACAACAGCTGCAATTCCATATCAGCCATCAAAGTTGTCCGCATGTGATATGACTGTTGATTTTAGGCTTCACGAGTATGTTCTGGTTATCCCAGACGTAGGGTTTGAGTTTAACATTGGCAGCTACTATATCTCAACCTGGGAGCTGGGAATAAGCACTACATACTGCGTTGTTAGCAGCGCGGGGAAGTGGGGACGGAGTGGATACACAGTGGATAGCCAACCTAATAGAGTTCTGGTGATCCCACGCAAAAGAGGAGAAGGAGCAATAAAGTAAAATATCAAATATACTCGCGCGTAGACATATAATATATAAAATAATATAATAATGTATCATAATTGAAACTATTATCCATACCCGTGTCTAATGAACATACATGGGAAGGAGGAAAAGCCAAGGGACTAGAACAACCGGAGAGACAGGGGTTATGCATGCTAGAAACCAACCCTCTCTCACGTGTCTTCTCTCTCACATATTTCATTATGTGATATCCGGGAAAAGCGGGAAATCAGATGTCATCTATTCTTCCATCTCGTTTTGCCATCCAGGTGGTCACATCAGCTATTGGTTGTGCTCAATTTCGCTCCAACAGCCATGATGGCCACGGTCACGTGGACCCCAGTTCTCACATCGCATCGGCTATCCCATCAACTCATCAACTCTCCCATCGACCTCAAAAATGGCCCACCACCACTACCGCCTCTGGTGACGGTCACCAAGAAATACCACCTCTTACTTATCTCATAGGGACACACATGTAGGCAGCGTGTATTTTAGAAGAATAAACCCCATTTCCCCCTCCTATCCTCTCTCTCATACCCACACCCCCGCCGACTCGCCCCCTTAATCAGCTCCAACACCGCCAGCCGCAGTCCCAATAGTTTTCATCCACCTCTCCTCTCTCTACCCGCGCTACAGCCGCGCCGGCCTCTACCTCCTCAGCATTGTCGTGTGCACCTCCCTTCCCCCCCCCCCATTATCGTGGCGGACACGTATCTCATCTTATAAATGGGGCAAGCAGTAATTGAAGTATGACAGGTCAAAGGGTCGCTGCTGTGCGAGTTATAAGGGGAAAGGGGAAAGGGGAACGGAGAAACGGGGTGGGGGGGCAAGAGGGTTTGTGACTGGGATTTACTACTGCCATAGAGAAAGGGGGGTATATACTGCTGTTATCTGCACGATATGGCTTTTAGCTCCTAATCACTGTCAGCAATAGCATCACCAATGAACACGAGTGGCTTTAAGATCACTCTTACCAACCCATCCACCACAACCGCCGTAGAGTCCACTATTATCATCCACCCCGCCCAGCACCAAACAGCGACGAGATAAACCAGCCGACAGCAAGACCCCAACGACAAGACTGACTACCAGTGACGAGAACTATACAACAGCGAGAACACCACGACAACATCACGCCTTCATCTTTACCGTCTCCAATTCGAAATTCGAAATTATAGATTCAATCTCTCTCGACTCCGCCTTCATCTCTGCCATCTCCAATTGAAATTTGAATTGTATATGCGATCTCTCTTGACTGCGCCAATCCTGTCCCAGGAAACTACTGACATCTGCTGCAAACCCAGCAACACTATCACTGAGGCAGCTGCTGAGAAATAGCTTCAAACAGCCGAACGCCCACCTTCCACGAATGGCTGTTCTCCGTGGCCGGGATCCCATGCATATATCACACTTCAGCCTTTGAGCAGGGACAACTGTGCGGTGAACTGCTCTATGCGACCTTTTGCTCCCCCGACTACAGCCCCGCCCAACACAGTACCTCATTATAAGGTGCGAGGTCCCGCAGCCATCGGCTGTGCGCTTCACTGAATCTTTACGTGACTGTGAAGATGCGCCCGCGTTGGTATGGTGGTAGCAGGGGTCAGCTTTCCCTGGTGATTTTATAGGTCGTCAGCTTGAAGCAGTTAGTAAACGGATGGGTACAAAAGAAGTCCAGGGCAGTATTATAATACTGTGGTAGATATCAAGGAGATGACACAGGAGTCAGATAATCGGCTGTATATCACCCGGCCATCCCATTCTCACAAGCTCTTGACCCCCCCCCCCCCCTTTCCCTTCAAGAGACCACTCCATTCTTCCCGCACCAGCAGAAACTCAGTCAATCCAGACACTCTTACCATCTTACAAGACATACCGCAGCCACCAGATAGTCGTCCTCCATAACCTCCCCAACCCCCTTTCCCCAGCGCTATCAAGGTAGATATCAGTCCAGCGAGAAAAACCAGATGACAACAAAAAAAACCCCGACGACAACACCGCATATCAGTGACAAGAACTCTCCAAGACAACAAGAACGCTCTGACAGCAAACTGTCCCCGCCTGGCACAGCACCTCGGTAGCGGTTGCGCAGATGATATGGGTACGATGCAGGATATACTGTACACAACAGCATCTATCCCGAGGGCATAAAAGCGACTGAGGAATGGATGGATCCTGATGACTCCTGATGGCTCTGGGTGGGAGGGGTATTTATATGAAAAAAAGGGGTAGTAAAGGTTATAGGGGCATAACACTAGATTCACAGAAAGCGAACCGTGTATCACCTGCCCATTCTTCATTCTCACAAGCTCTGCTCGACCCCCCGTCCCCCTCTCTCTTCAACCTACATCCATTCCATCCGCCCTGTACCACTGCCAAAGATAACCTCCACCCAGAGGACCAGAAGCGATTCTCAAATCACCCCCCTCAACCCCACCTCTCCATCCAAACCCACCTGAGCCAACCCCCAGCCCAAGCCCAAGCCCTGACTTAACGACATCAGAAGCCTCAAAATACAACCCAACCCCCGACAGAGGCGGAGTTGGGAGTCTCAGTCACAAACCTTTCTATTTTACAGGGAAAGCGTATCGGATAGTAGTAGCCGGGTCATCCCACCCCTCCTCAACGATCCCAAGCATAGATGATAACGCAGCGACACAAAACCCAACTGAACAGCAACTCGCCGTCTCCACAAAGAAAATAACTGACACCCGACAGACATATGGGTCGGCCGCGGAAGATCACAGTTAATTCCCCATTTGGAGCTCTGCCCTCATACAATATAGCACTTCGATGAGCCCCCATCGATCCCGTCGGGGACGTCTGAGATGACACCACTGTACCCATTAGGTGGTGAGATACTAGCGACGGGACAGCTGACGGCGGCGAGAATGACCAACGGTGACGGGACGCTGACGACGACAACACTACCCGCACAGCACCTCGACAGCGGCTGCATAGACGATACGCGTATGAAGCAAGTCGTACTCCTCGTGCTCGTTACGGTATCCACTATCCTCTTTGCTTTGTCTCTGCTAATAGCCGTGTTTTCCAGTACGGGCCATAATCCCATTGCGGCTACGATGGACTATATCGAAAGCCTTGTGGATTCGGCTTTCACTCAAGGAGTCTTCTGGAGGGGCGGTGGTGTCCTTTCATTGTTATGTCAGACGACTTATTGCTAACATATATATGAAAAGTACACACCAGCGTCTATCCCGAGTGCGTCGAAGGGGTTGAAGTAAGACTGACTCCTGGGGCTGCTTTGGGTGGTTCTGGATGGGCGGGGAAGGGGGGGGGGTTATTTATATGAAAAAAAGGGGATAGTAAAGGTTATAGGGGCGTATTGGAGTCACAGCGACAATAAAGTGTGTATCGCCCACCCATTCCCACAAGCTGCCCCATTCCCCACCCTCACTCACACTTACACAATTATATATTTTTATTTTTTATTTTTATTTCTTGGAGAACTTTCTATATATACAAACTTGGTCCCCTTAGCACATCACACACACAGATATTCCACCCTCTAGCAGCAGCAGCCCAAACCAAATGCGCTGCTGCTGCTGCCTATTTGTATCCCCACTCCTCCCCGGATCGTGTTTAAGCGTTTAAGCAGGACCACACATCCACCTCACCACCCGTCGCTACATGCAAGAGTGGAATGAACGCCAAAACCGCTGGTCATAGCCCGCCCGAAAATAGGCCCTCGCCACGCCGTATGTGTATCGAATCTCCCCCCATATCCCCTTTAGATATCTACATGTGTCCCATCCATACTTCCCCGGTATTGTATGTCCCAGATCCTGTCCCGCTGTGGTCAAAAAAATCTTTCATATCGCCGATTTCCTCTGCGCCTCCGAGCGCGTCTTCACGAGATGGCTCATCACATACTCGTATGTCAACATCGTCGTCGTAGCAGCAGGGACGGCACGCATCATATTCGTGCCCATCCCCGCGTAAAACGCGCGCCATCCCTCTTCTCTCAGGATCGTCTTGGCCGTCGTCACGATGCCCTTGTAACGGGGTAGGGCATTCTTCACCGCCGCGACCGGATTCGCCGGGCCTTCCGCAGTGAGGGGTTTGAAGGGAGCATATTCCGTTGAGGGTCCCGGAGCGAGTTTCCGCTGGGTCTGCAGCCGCGTCCGGATTACCTCGTGCGGGTACGTAGCGGAGCTAGCCATGATCTTGCTCAGTACACTAGCGGAGAGGATGCCTATCCACTGGGATTTCTTCTCTCCATCATGATGGACGCCCATGCCTTGGCCGGTGAATTTCTTCTTTAGAAACTCGTAGGCGGGGAACTGGACAGCGACGTGGGTGAGGCCGAGGAGGGCGGGGGTGAGGCCCGAGTAGAAGGAGAGGATGCCTTCGGTCTTGTACATCTTGCGGAAGGCGTCGAAGGTGTTGTCGTAGTGCCAGGGGGGCCGCGAGTCGTGCGATGACGAGGTCGCGCTTACTTGTGACATCAACCGGGTCTTGACGACCCAGATGGGGTTTGTGCAGAGCGTTGAGCACGACCCCGCGATGATCGAGGACCAAAAATTAGTTACGAACTCTGAACCTATTTGCACGGCGGTTAGCTCGGATCCCCGCGGAAACACAAGAACGCCCTCCTTCCCCCCACCAAAAAAACGAAAAAAAAAACCAGTACATACTGTCTGTAGTGGAAATATACGCCTTCGCCTTCCCATACACCGTAAACCACACAGCCCACGTAGGCAAATACCCCAAAATAATCGGCCCCAACCCTCTATACAACCCCCTCATCCCCTCCTCCGTCAGAATCACCTTCCCCGTCCCCAACATCCCATTATACACCGCCGCCTTCTGCGGGACCTTCAGCCTCGCCTGCGCCGCGCGGAACCCGCCCTGCGCCTGCAGCTTCGTCTTGATCACATCGAGCGGACACGTCACGATTCCCGACATGAAGCCGCCCGTCGCGCCCGCAAACGCATGGAACGCCGAGTCCGACCGGTCCGTGATGAACCGGTCCCAGGCTGTGGCGGGGACGTGGTCGTCATCGGCAGCGGTGGTGTCTCTGCGTGATGGCGCCGAGGCGCGGGGGAAGTGCTCGGGGAGGGGGGAGACGAAGGACTCGTGGGACCCGATCGGTGTAGGCGTGCTGGGGCGGTCGTGATCGTGAGGCATGGTGGAGGTGGATGGAGTAGCGGGGTGCAGCACTGCTGCTGCTGCTGGAGGAGATGCGCAGCTGAGCGGCCTCGTCGTCGTGGGCGAGGAGGAGTGGTTGGAAGAGGAGGATGCCCTGTCTCGTGCCTCGGTGTGCGGGGAAGACTCCCACGCAGCACGCCTGTGACACGGAGATTAATGGTTGTCGCAGGCCATTGACGTGGGGAGGTGGATTGGGTATTTGTGGTTATATTTAGTATGCGGAGAGCGGGAGTTGGTCCCTTGTTTTTTGGTTGTTCTGCGTGGACGGGTTGGTATAATTTGACAGGTGACGATATCAAAAATGTTGGGGGGTGAGTGAGAAAGGGCTTTGTATGGTCGTTTCCGGTGAAGCTGTGTCTCCGGGTTCCGTCGCTTGGTCTTGGTAGTTTACTTTTTGCTGTAGCGTACTGTATGAGCTTGTAGAGTGGGAAACAAGCAGGAAACAATGGGGTCCCTAGTCATGGATAAGAACGATTATCGGAAAATAACGGACGCCGATTGGTTACACCCACCAATTCTCGACTCCGTGGTATTACCGTAGTACATCACCCAAACCCCCCCAATCCACCACCCAAGAAATCCCGCGCTTACCCCTATCCAGTCTAGTCCCAAAATCCATCATCCGGAAGCTTTCTTTCGCCCGTGGCAAGTCAATCCACGACGACGACGACGAGATCCCTCCCCCACAGCGAAAAGAACATCATCCTCCATTCGACGACGACTGCCAGCAATCATGTCCCAACCATCCCTCGCGCCCTACGTGCTCAAGCGCCCCTTCCTCCAGCGCTTCCTCACCCCCTTCGCCAACTGGTACGCCAATGCCGCCGGCTACAGAAAGCTCGGGTTGAGGTAAGGAACTTCCCCGTCCCAATTGCCATCCCACGCCCCGGCCGGGTGTCATGGAGGGAGCAAGAAAACTAACAAGTTGTGCTGCAGAGCCGATGACCTCATCCCCGAGGAGTCCGACGTCGTTCTCCAGGCCATCAAGCGTCTCCCGCCCAAGGAGTCCTATGACCGCGTTTTCCGCCTCCGCCGCGCTTTCCAGGTACGCTCTCACCACACACCATAGTCAACTACCCATACATATCAGACCATACTGACACCACCCGCAGTGCTCGCTCTCTCACCAGCTGTTGCCAAAGGAGCAGCAGACTCCCCCCGAGGAGGTACATATGCGCCCTCGAATCGCCACGATATAAGGATGATAGCTGACACATAACAGGATACCCCATACCTCTCGCCCATCATCCGCGAGATCGAGGCTGAGCTGAAGGAGCGCGATGATTTGGATTCGCTGGTTGTGAAGCGCCGTTAAGTGTGTGGAGAGGAGGAGAGAAGTGTATAAAGGAAATAGAAGGGGTGTTTTTGGATGGGGAGGGTTAGAGGAGAGGCTGGCACTGTGGTGGAGGCCAGTGTTGTATTGTATCGGGTTGATCAGAGAGATTTTGAAGATATAGATGAATCAAACGATGTCGTTACAGAGTGGATGGAGTCGTGTGTGGGGGGGGGGGTGACTGGTGCGTGATGTTTGTTAACATGTGTTGTCTGGCTCACATGACGCATTGGTATATGGGATCACGTCCTATAACTAAACAGTGTTTACTCTATAATCTATTTCCTGTAAGGATGCTGGCCTTCAGTGACAATATTTATATTTTTGTTACAGCTCGACAGCAATGCTTACGAATTCCAGCAATCTCATTGGCTTTTGCCGCCAAGGAGACACTGCCCATATATACAATCTACAAAAAGTCACAAATGAGGTTCCAAATATTATTAGCCTTCCAATTACTTCACATTCTCTTCATCAGCATTCTCGTATAAACATATCTACAGAGAATGAGCGCCGAGCAAAACCACCCAGCACTACACAGGCTATGACCTCACCCCATCCCTAACGACAAAACGCAGCCATAGCTACACCCACGTCGTCAACCAAGCACCCCCCGAGAAAGTGAGAGAGAGAAAGAAGACAGGCCTCGCGCTAACACACCCCCCCAAAAACCAGCGCATCATCCATGAAGGCCCTCCCATCTCATCCGTCAAAATGTTATACACGCCAGCCAAGTAGAATGGTGACTCGAGTCTCTCATCCTCATGGCCTCGAGTCCCATCTGGTACGGTAGACATCCATCCCGCCATGCCCACTTCCAGTAATCCACCAGCCAGCAGCCAGCGAGGCCTGAGCCAGAGCGTCAAAAGTGCGCTCAAATCCGCCCAGTCAATGTCATTCTTCATTCTCTCATACAAACAGTCTTTTCCCCTATTATGTACAACTCCCTCCCCCCACCATCATCCCCTTGCCCCGGATTAAAAGTAAAATAAAAGACGAAGAAGAATAAAAAAAGTATTAGCGCGGCTTCTCCTCCGTGTCGATGTGCCAGACGACGTAGTTGGGGAGGCCGACGACTTCGTATTTCGCGCGCTTAGCCATCTTTGCGAAGCCCTCTGTCTCGGCTTGGTTTTCGAAGGCGTAGCAGGGGAAGTTGATGCCTGTGGTGGGTGTTAGGATATGCGTGCTTCCTGCCAAGTCAGAGGGAGAGGGGACGTACCAGACTTGTGGACATCAGCTTTGACGACAATATTGACGCCTCCAATGCCATCGAGCTGCCACTCGACGTCCTTGTCTTCGCGATAGTCGCCTTCTGTCGTCATATACCGCCTGCCAGTATCATAATGGTCCTTGTAACCTATCCCCAATCAGCCTTGCCCCTCACATACATAATCACACACAACATACCTTCCACAAGAATATCATCCTTCGCCAACTTCGCCGCCAGCTTCCTCCCCTTATCCGTCTCAATCCACGAATTATAATCAAACCTTCCCTCCACATCCACCATCTTCCCATCCACCTCCTTATACCGATGGAACCAGATATTCGGCACAATCACATCCTTGTCATGCGCAATCAGGTCCTCCAGGATCTCCGGCGCGCTCTCCACAATATCCGCGTCCCGCCAGTACACCCACGAATGCTCGGGTTTCATCGTCGCATACAGCAGGTAGTTGCGCGCCCGCGCCATCGACTTCCGCCGCGGCGCCTGCGCCTCGAACCCATGTCGGTCGGCGACGTCCATGCCTACTATCTCATCGGCGCCGAAGTCCTTCTCGATGATCGTCACGCTGTTGAAGGACACGCTGTCCTGGTGCTTCTGGATGCGTTCCAGCTCCTTGGAGAGAACGGCGAGGGTGTCGTCTGTAGAGTCGCCGACGAGGAAGCCGAGGTCGATGAGGTGGTGGGGGTAGGTGAGTTGGGAGATGAGGTCGAAGTATTTGCTGAGGTAGGCGGAGGCGTCGCGGAGGGGCGTGAGGAGGAGGACGCGCTCGTTGTTGGCGGCTGCGGTGGGGGTGGAGGTGAAGGTGTTCATGTCGATGCGTTGGATGGTGGAGGAGTTGATGGTGATGGGGGCGTGGTGGTTAAACAGCACCGGCGTCTGGAGGTTGCGTGTCCACTCGCTGTACTCGTTCGACGACATGTCCATGGGCGACTTGGACGGTCCCCAGCAGTAAAACCTATTCCCATCTCATCAGCAGATGTTCCTATTTTTGGTCTTCAAAGGGGGCATAATTTAAGAATCGCGCTATCACCACTTACCTCTGCATATCCGCCGCCGAAGCCCGAATACTCCTCCATGTCAAAAGCACAACCCCAAACAGCGCAACTCCAAGCAGAAACCTCGTCCTCGTAACAAACACCCACACCGCGCGCGAGGGCGGGAAGCGGGAGCGCGCCGACTTCCACGTCGTCGTCGCGCCGCCTTTAGGGAGGAGCATTGGGTTGGTTGGAGCGGGTCGCCCGCGGCGAAACGAAGGAAGGGGGTGTCGTGGCTGAACGAGGGGTCCTTTTTGATGCAAGGGGTAGTTATGGTGTGGTTATAATGTAGCTGCGATGGGGGGTTTTTGTACGCCGCGATGGAGCAGGCGTGTGATATAAAATTGAAGTAACGACCGTTGGGGGGATTGGGAAATGAATTGATGACGAACTTTCTTGTGTGCTGTGCTGTGCTGTGCTGGGCGAGGCTGTCACCCTTGAACGAATGTAATGATGCCAAGCGCTCGATTTGATGAATTCGAGACGAGGCTACTGTATGTATGTAGTAGCGCGGAGTGTAGGGTGGCCTCGAGCCGCAGCTGCTGCAGAAGAAAGTACGTACCAGTCTGTGGTATCGGTGGTCGTATCAATCATAAGCGAGAGGATGATAAAGCCAACTGAAAAGAGTTCCCTCAAGCTTCCAGATGGACAATCTACCGAATATATATAATAACTATGTAATGTATGAAAGCCTTCGTCCAACGTTGTACAATACAGAAAACAAATCTTCAACAAACAGCTCCTGCAGAATTCCCCATTACACAGACACAGAACCTACCCGTGATCCCTGTTGACCCATCATCGCGCCTGCCCCCTAGAGCAAGGGACTCCGGTTCCCCCACGTTATTACCCAACGGCGTTGTCTCATTTCAAATCACGCCCTTTCGTGTCCTTCTCGCTCACGCAATCACGTGAACCAATCTCCCCACCTCATCATCAAGGTAATGCACCGCGTCCATCTTATCACCATCCGCCAATCCTCACTCGCAGCAATGGCAACGCGTCGTTCCAGCCGTTTGAGCGCGGCGAGCAATCTTGTGCCCAAAAATGAGGCTCCTGCGGCCGTCGTGGCACCGCCTAAGAACTCGAGGAAGCGCAAAACCCCAACCGCTACCACCACCTCGACCGATGATGAACCCACCTTACCTCCCCCTTCGACGCCAAAACGCAAGACCGCTCGCACCACAGCTCCCCACCCCCCGTCTACTCCAGCAGGAATCAACGAAATGGCCGGCGCCTCGCGCCCCCTCGAAACCCTGCACCCACCTCACGCAGCGCTCGACCGACTCGCCGACCCATTCGGCACCAACGCAGCTGTGATATCTCCCCTAACATCGCGGTTATTCGCTGCGAAAGCTACGGTTGATGCGTCGCCCGTTAAGGGGTTTGCAGGTCGATTAGGGGAAGGGACGGGGCTGGGGCCGGGGGGAGGGAGGTTGACGACGGGGAATATCCTACAACAGGCGCTTGATCATTTGGTCAAGGTTGAGCCGAAGTTGAAGATTGTGGTTGAGAAGCATCATTGTAAGGTTTTTTCGAGGGAGGGGTTGGCGGAGGTGGTTGATCCGTTTGTGAATTTGACGAGTGGGATTATTGGACAGCAGGTGCGTTTTCCTTCCTTTTATCAAGATTGGTTGAGTTGAGTCGAAGTGAGCTTGCTAACGACACCCAGGTCTCCGGCGCAGCGGCAAAGAGTATCAAAGCCCGCTTCGTCGCCCTCTTCAACGCCACCGAACCCGACGCCTCCCTCCACGTCTTCCCCACCCCCTTAGCCGTCTCCACCACCTCCCTCGAAACGCTACGCACAGCAGGCCTCTCGCAGCGCAAAGCGGAGTACATCCAAGGCCTTGCCGAGAAATTCGCGAGCGGGGAGCTGACGGCGGAGATGCTGGTGGAGGGGGCGTATGAGGAGGTGTTTGAGAAGTTGATTGCGGTGAGGGGGCTGGGGAAGTGGTCGGTGGAGATGTTTGCTTGTTTTGGGTTGAAGAGGTTGGATGTTTTTTCGACGGGGGATTTGGGGGTGCAGTGAGTTATATCCTTCTGTTTTTTTTTGGCCCAGGGAAAGGGGGAAGGAAAGGGGTTCATGTGATGGGGCGCTGACAGAGAAATAGGAGAGGCATGGCATCCCTCGCCGGCCGGGACATCTCGAAACTCAAAGCCAAGGGAGGGGGGAAGTGGAAATACATGTCCGAAAAAGATATGCTAGAGATGGCCGAGAAATTCGCGCCGTATAGGTACGTTTACTATTCTATATACTCTGTATACCGAAAGAGTATACGAAAAAAAAAACAAGAAGAAAAAACGTGTGCCCTTACTAACGCTGTTACGCAGGAGCGTGTTTATGTGGTATATGTGGAGAGTAGAGGATGTCGATACTGCCGTGCTTGAATGATTAGTGTTTTAGGTGGCTGACGACTGTCTGTGTTTGATAGATGTTTTAGGTGGCTGACTGACGACTTATGTGTGGTTTTTGATACGATACCCTGAAATATTATAAATCCCCCAAAAATATATATATATGTGTGTGTTTTAGGGGTTTGGGTATGTGGTTTACTTACGTATTTTTTTGCTCAGGGAGCGATATGTATGGTAAGAGCAGTTGGATGTCTAGTCACCGGTGTGTAAAACGTATAAAAAAAGTAAATAAAAACTTGAGAAATATAAATTTTCATTACCTGAAATCATAAATGCTTCATAAATACCATATTTAGAAAGTCTCAGGCGTAACCACATAACCCCCCTTACCCATACCTCAAATATAGGCCGGCACGTAGTTCCCAAAGCAGACCCCACCGCCTCCCCTTTCCCTTGGTATGCACAAACATAAACGCCATGCCGCCCGTGCTGAAATAGCATCACCACCGCCGTAAAGCCTAGAGCTCGGCTTGCACGCATCATGCAGTAACCGGTTCCGGCGTGCTCTAATGGCGTCCAATCCAATCCACTTCACTCCCGTCTAGTCCAGTCAATTCAATCTAGTCCGGCCTAGTCAATTCAATCCATATAGAACCCACAGTCCAGCCAGCATCTATTAAAAACCCACAATCTAGCATCTCCACCAGCGCATCTCGCATCCCGCATCACCAGCAACAACCGCCACCACCACCACAACCACCCAGCACACACAAAAATCCTCACAGATCGCTACAAGTCCTGTCCCAGCAGTGGCGCCTAACCCCTGTCTCTTCTCTTCACCAAGTAAAGTTGTATGTACCCCGAAGTACCCGTCCCGCGCGCCCCCAAATCTCACGATTGCACATCCGTCCCCCGCGCTAGGCGAGAGGCGGTTAGCGGGAGTTAGCAGGGGGAATGAAGATTGGCGGTGGTGGTGGAGTAAGATTGCGATTGATGGTGGTGCTGCGGTGATCAACGGGCGGGAATAATGGGATTTGTTTGGGGGGATATTGATGAGATATGGAGATGGAGTTATCGGTGATGAGGGGGGTGATCGTAACTTGAGGACGACGACGATGATAATGAGGTGATTGCGGTGAGTGATCGGGAGGTGGGAGATGAGAGATTTCGCCGCGGGGAGGATACATAAATACCTATTTTGGGTAAATTGCCAGCCAGCGGATAGCCCAGCCTGGCCTGGATGTACGTTCTACTGGCGAAATTTGCTTTGCTCCTACCTGCTGCACTACGCCGCCCACCGACCGCCGCGGCAAATTAGAAAAGAAGTCATCAATTAATTAGTAGAGTGCCATTTCGATAAATCGAACAATGCGTCGTGTGCGTGCGTTGCGTGCGTTCGTCTACAATTAGATAGATCCCCGCATGTCGTATTTTACAGCACCACTACACCAACACCGCAGTGTGGCGTCCTGAGGTGACATCAGAGGCGATGTATGGAGGCGTTCGTGTTTATTTATGTATGCACTAAACCAACGACGTATACGATGGGCTACAGCTGCCCAGCTCCGTGTCTCACCGGCTCCCGCGGCGCCGCGGCGGTGGTGGCGATACAATAGCGATGACATAGCTTTCTTCTGCCCGAGGCGAGTCGTAAGTAGATAGATGGCTGCTGCCGTGTTGACAGACACATGACATCCCGGCGACAGCTGTTTCCGACCACACTGCCAACTGTCAGTAACGCTGTCGTTGATTTGGCAGCATCGAAGATCAGTGTATCCCTCCCCCCCTCGCCGTGTTTCATAACACCGCGCATCCTGTTTCGCTGTACTGTACAGTCGAGTCGGGATTGCGCATGCAGTAGTTTTGGATGGGGGGATGGAGGGATGTACACCCTCTGTACTCTCTGTATAGGCGGCTTGTACTGTGGTACGAGCACATGACTGGATGGTGAGGGCCAGCAGGGGAAGGAGAGAGATGGAAGCTTGTTTCTTGGTGGGAGTTTTTGCGGTGATGGGGCCATGGTACAGCTGGTCATGGTATGGTTTGGCTGGTGGAGGTGGAGGTGGTGGAGGTGGTGGTGCAGTAGTGGACGGGTGGGTTGTTGTGTGGCTGCATGATTTTTGGGATTTGTGGGTTGGTGGTGTTTGGTGGTGGGGATGGAGATATTTGCTGCAGATATTGCTGATTTTTTGGAATGGAGAACGGGAACCAGGCACAACAGCCACAGCACAACCAGTTCTTTTGAGGGTTTGTTTTCGGCGAGGCTAGTTTTCGGGATGGTCTGATGGGTGTCGGGATGGGCGACGGTGCTAACGGAGCGGGTGCTAGAGGGTTGGTTAGTTGGAGATGGTTGGGGATTGATAGAGATTGGTAGAGAGATTGGTGGAGTAGAGAGCAGAGCAGAGATTGGGAGAATACAGCAGCAGAGATTGGTAGAGAGATAAGTTGCCAAAAGCAGGTTTTTGGAGGTTGGTTATGCTGGGGATGGAGATGGTGTTGAACCCTCTTTGTACTGTACCTGCCCTTGACTTCCTTTATTTAGGATGGTGGTGGTAGTGGGATTGGGATAGTAGGATAGTGGGATTGCCCTGGTGTTGATTCTGCTGTAGAGTTGCCCTTTATTTAGGATGGTGGAAGTAGTGGGAGAGAGGGTTGTCTGCACAAAAGCAGTTTACAACCACAGTATGGGGCTTTGTATGGGGCTTTGTATGGAACTTTGTATGGGACTTTGTATGGGAACTTTGTATGGCATTTTATGGCATTGTATGGTGTTGTGCATAGCATTGTTGTATGATTCTGTATAACACTGTGGATATCTTCTGTATAAATGACCATAAATCACCATAAATCACCACTGGAGACTCGCCCACAACAGGATTTTCCCCGTTGTGTAGCTCCAAGTATCTCCATCGTCCCTCTCTGGTACTTGGTACTGCCACCTCCACTTCTACTACACTCTACTGCCACTATACTGCTCTCAGCATCCACTAGTACCTCATCCTACCTCTATCGGTACCTGACTACACACCCACACCCGCAGCCAATTTCCTCGTACCTGAACTACCTTGTTGTGGTGTCTTGCTATGTCTTGGTTTACCTTGGCCTCGTCGTCGCTCCCTCGCTCTTTCCCTCCTCCCACTCCTCCCACTCCTCCCACCACCCATTCCCAGTTCGTTACTACTGTTACTGCCTGTCTCCACTGTCCCAGACTCTTCCCCTTCTCGTCTCGTCTCCCCTTCATCTTCTCGCCTCCTTCCTTCCTTCCAAGCCAACTATTCTATCTGCAGCGACTTCGTCCGTCCTGCGACTTCCTCTTTTATTTGTGAGACTCATTCACAAGACATTCGTTTAATTACATACCCGTCTTCAGCTCTTTCTTCCCACAGCTTCAATTCTCCAATCCGCCTTCTTCCAATCTACTCTATCCCGAGTTTATTTTATTCGCTGTACCACACACAGCCCATATACTTTCCCGGTCTAGCAGATAGACAAAAGTAATCAACTTTCCATCAAAAGGTATTATTCCAGAACCCCCAGATCGAACCCACGAATACCTTCATCATCGACATCAACATCACCTCGCGCCGCTGCCATCCTCCGAATCAATCCGTCGACGCGCCATCACATTCCCGTCGCTATCCGCAAAACACAATTTTACACCTCAATTGAACCACACAACTGACACTTCCTCAGTATCCTTCCTTCACAATGCTCGTCAACTACTTGGTGCCGGCCCTCGCGGTCCTCGGCATGGCCACTGCCGGTTAGTTTTTCTCTACAATTCCTTAAAGGGGCAGAATCTTCACATTGAAGGTTATGTCACCGGTCAAAGCAATTTACTAATTGGACCTCTCTACAGCTCCCACAAACCCCGCCTGCAAGCAGACAACGGTGATCATCAGCAGCCAGTCCGATGCTGATGCCCTTGCCGGTTGCACGACCTTCACCGGTAACATCCAGATCTCCAAAGATGTCCCATCCGGAGGCATTGCTCTCAACGGCATCCAACAGCTCAACGGTGACTTGATTGCCAACCAGGCCGTCAAGCTGACTGCCCTTTCCGCCACCTCGCTCGGCTCCATCAGCGGAACCATCAAGTTCACCAGCTTGACCACCATGTCCAGCCTCGAGTTCCCATCGCTGTCCCAGGTCGGCGCCATCTCGTGGACGACCCTCAATGCTCTCCAGGCGCTCACCTTCACCACCGGTGTCACCAAGGCCAAGTCCGTCTTCATCACTGATACTGCCCTGACCAGCCTCGATGGTATCAACCTTGCCACCGTCGACAGCTTCGAGATCACCAACAACGCCTACCTCCGCAAGATCGAGACCCAGGTTGGCAACATCTCCCAGGCGCTCATCATCAACAACAACGGCCCCAACCTGGAGCTTACCTTCCCTAACCTGATCTGGGCCTTCAACATGACCGTCCGCAACGTTTCCAGCCTCAGCATCCCTTCCCTGAAGGTTGTCAACTCCACCTTTGGTGTCTACGGATCCTACATGGAGTCGGTTATGGCCCCCAACTTGACCAAGGTCGGAGGTGACGTTGCTTTCGTTGCCGACTCTTCGTTGACCAACATCTCCATGCCGCTTCTCCAGACCATCGGAGGTGGTCTCTTGATCGCCAACAACAGCAAGCTTCTGGACATCACCGGATTCCCGGCCCTCAAGAGCGCTGCTGGTGCCATCTCCATCTCCGGAAACTTCACCAAGTATGTCCTTCCTGCACGCCTACTAACGTAAATGACACAATGCTAACATTCTTTTCTCCCCCAGGGCTGCCTTCCCCGCCCTCGCCGATGTCCAGGGTACGTTCAACGCCCAGACCTCTGCCAACTTCTCCTGCAACGACTTCAACAAGCTCCACGATGCCCAGGTCGTCAAGGGTGACGTCTTCTGCCAGGCCCAGAGCGACAACGTCCAGACCACGCTCTCCGGATCCACCAGCGGCCAGACCGACAGCGGTTCCGGAAGCAGCGACTCTACTAAGGATGCCGCTGGCAGCCTCAAGGTCTCAAGCGTCTTCGTTGTCGGCATGGCTGTCCTTGGTGGTCTTCTCGCATTGTAAATGTAGCTAGTGTGTTTTTTTCATGAGAGAGAGAGAGAGATACGAGTGGAAAGTTTTGAGGAGAGGAGAGGAGAGGAGGGCGTTTTGTCGTCGTTGTGGTTTTTTTTTAACTTTGTGATTAGTAGTGCAAGTCGAGCTAGACAAAGACATAATATGTTACGACCTCTTCATCGTGGGACCTTATTGAGCGCGTTGTGGGGGGAAATGGTGATGGATAATGGAGGGTGACTTGAGAATTATCTGTCTTTTTGCTCTCGCTACTTGACTTGCTGTGCTTTTAGGACTCGTTGCTCTGGGGGTCTATCATTTTTTTTTGTGCATGCCTGCTTAACTTGACATTCGCTCTGCTCTAGTGGTTTAATGGTTGGTGGGATGGATGGATGATTGTGCTGTGGCATCTTTTCTTTGCAACGATTTTTGTTGTGATTGCTCTGGGTGGGTGATGAGGAGGAGGAAGAAGAAGAACGGAGGGTAGTTGTGAGGGATGAAGGTGCGAGGGAGGTAGGGGGGAGAAGGAAGGGAGAAAAAGAGGAAAGGGGGTTAGCTGGGTGGGTGGGAGAATTGCATAACCATTCATTCATTCATTCATTCATGGTTGACGTTTTTTGTTACTGACTTGATAACAGCTCTCGCTTGCGCCTGTGTGGGAAGTTGTGATGATGTATGGGTGATACACAGTTCGTCATCTCTAACTCCCATACTCCTCCCCCTCTACACACAACCCCTTCTCCCCATTTTCATATAAATACCCCCGCCGCCCCCCCTCCTAGATCATATAGAACCACCAGGAGTCGCGGACCCTTCGCAGGGGCGCGCACCGTGTCTCTGTTTACGTCTGGCTCTGTGGGGCGTGTGTGTGTAGTAGTAGTATAACATGCAAGGACGAGAATGATGAGCTGCAAGAGGACAGCGGAGATGATTATAGACCACAAGAGAATGATAGCGGAGACGAGGAGGACGAGAGCGACGCTCCCCCGGCAAGGGATGACGACGAGGAAGAAGAGGACGACGCTGGATACGGAAGTGGTGATCTGTTGCATTCAGACGTTGAGGAGGAAGGTGATGAATCTGATATCGTCTACGTAACCGGTGGTGGGGTGCTGTGCTAGGTGGGGGCTGTTGTCGCGACGTTCTTGTTGTCGGGGTTGGTGTTGCTGTCACTGGTGGGCTGGCTGTTTTGTCGGTGGGTTTCTGGCTGTCGTCTGGGGGGTTTTTTATGTATTATCGGGTATCATGGGAGCGTTGGGCTGGGGGAGGGAAGGAGGAGGAGTATGGGGGATTGTGGCGGGGGAGGGGTGGATTGTATGGCTGGGTTGGTTAGGTTTATCTGAGAGCCGCTGCTGTTCCTTTGCTAGTACAGGAAGGATGGAATGTTAATAGATGTTGAAGGGTAGTGGTCGGGGGGATGGAGGAGTAGTTTAGGGAATTACATGATAATTCATGAATGGCCTTTTTTTATTATAAATGTTGTATGATATTGTTAGAAGTTGTATATGATAAACTCGTGATAATGTGACTTTTCTGGATTTACGATTCCCACAACGACGACTTACCTTCCCATAGAGATGCTAGCAAGTGCTATATAGGCTATTCATTGTCCGCAGCGAGTTTGCCAGGAACCCCTCAAAAAAGCTCAAGGTGAGCGACATCAAGGAAGTCTAACAACAGGTTCGCCTCACGTTCGCAGGGATAGACGCGGGACTTAACGAGCTTAAACGGAAACGAGGCGCTGAGGAGGGAGGTAACCAGCCACCCGCAAAACGGTAGTGAGATGCCGTGCTGCCGTTGGGGACGTTCTTGTTGTCGGAGAGTTCCTGTCACTGATGGGCTGTCTTGTCGTTGGGTATCTCGCTGTCGACTGGGTTTCTCACTTGCTCTATCATCGATCCTGGGATCGTCGGGGGGGGGGGGGGCACTCCTCTGCCACCATCCCCCTAAACCGCTAGGTCTGCAACCTTCTGCAACCAACACCCCTGCTTCTACTTTAAATTCTTTGACATTGGTAAGTATACCGTGGTGTTCTCTTCTTCCTCTTCTTTATATACTATGTGGCCTGTGGTAGGAGTAGAATTTGCGCCAGGGCGGGGGATGCAGAGGACTGGGTTCGACACTTGTAACATCGCTATGTTAGGGCTTGAGCTGTGGGGCCCTTCTGGTGGCTCCAACTGGGTTGGCTGGGTTGATTTGAGAATCACTTCTATTTCCCTAGGAACCTATCTTCGGCGGTAGTGCAGGGCGGGTGGGATGTGGGTGGAGGGTGTTAGGAGAGTGGAGAGCGGGGAGGTGATATCGGCATGATCAGCAAGCAGAATAGCGATTCTTAAGCGTTTTTATATTTAGATCTAGTAGTACCATAAGTAAAACATATATATATATATATATTTAAAAAAATAGCCGTACAGTTGAATGTCTCTGCGAGAAAGGTGTGTTCTGGCGAAATGTGTAGGGGGAATGATTGGCTAGCCACTTTGTCAATAGCCGCCGTGAACAGGACAAGGCACAACATTTCAGCTCTGCCCCATTCACCGGAAGTTGGACATCATACACGGGGAAAGATCTGTCCCTCTGATATTTGGAAGTCTCCCGACTCGTGGTAATTCTAACTACGGGTTAATAACTTTCATAAACCTTAGGATGGTCGAACTACTTTTTATTTCGCTTGAAGTCGCTGATTTACTCGCCAGGACTGCTGTTCGAGCCTTCAAGCTATTTATGTTATATGGGCTTTCTAGCATACCTCTTTTACTCTTTGGAAGTCGCGCTACATGGCGAATAGAAGCGCAGGTTATAGGCCAACTCAAAGAGGAGGATGCGATGACTTTCAAGAAATCGATCCTTGATGAATGCACTATGATTGCAGTTGCTGTTTGTATATCTATTATCGTTGTGGGACTCCACTAACATCAATTAGGCAGCTATTGTGGCCCAAATTGCTATTACGGGATTGTCATTAGATTCTTTAAGCCAGACTCATTGGGTTGCTCGAGGAGCTTTTGTGCTTAGCCTAACGACTTCTCTCATGGCAGTCTACTATGCCACTACCCAGCAACGCATGTTGGGACGGTTACTTCAAGCAGAACAAGTGAGGCTTTGGATTCGTGGGGGTAGACGTATCATGGATACCGGGAGGCTCGTTCCTTCTTTGGGTGAAATCGCCCAAAAAATCAGTAATAAATTCGAACGCCAATCCATGATTGGTGAACAAACTCGCGCTGAACATCAAGCACAACTTGAAGCACGCCTACCTAGGACAGAAGACGCTCGTCCTAGTGACCAGAGGGATCTTATTTTCCTCGAGAAGTTCTATTACTATTCTAACCTTTTACTTGGGCCGCTGGCTCGGTTTATGATATATACTGCAGTTGGGATACGTCTCGACTTTATACCAAGCGATCCCGACGACTTCAACCCAACTGAGAGAGATCGGAGGAATTTCAAAAGAAGCATCATCAGCCAGTGCTTCACTCCTAGCGCAGCCTCCGTAATCACAGTTTCGGCTCCTCAAATGCTCCTCACAACCTCGCTTTGCTCCCTGCTGATTGGCTTCGGTATATATTTTGGGTTCCGCTGGACCAAAAGCCTCGACCAGACTGCTGGCCTAAACGACAGCCGGAACGTGTTCATCACATATATCACTAGCTTGGTAATTTCTATTCTCGTATATTCGATCTCCCAGCTCTTCCAGGATGATGACAAGCGTCCTGAACTTGCGATTATGGAAGGTTACCTCAAGGAGTATGCGGAGAACAATCCCGAAATAGTGAATAAATGGGGTGTTAGGGCTGAAATTGTTGAAGGAGTATTGAATTTCCATTCTATAGAGGCTCAGAGCTATAGAGGAACTTCGTCTGAAACAGAGCAGAATCCTCAAGAGAATGGGTCTCTATACTCATTAGGGATTGAACTTGGGAATCTTCCTGCAGTGGAAAGGAGTGCTAGTGCCGAAATTGTTAAAGGAGTGGAGGCTCAGAGCTCTAGAGGAACTACATCATAAACATAAATAGAGCAGAATCCTTAAGAGAATGGATCCTATACAGCAGGGATTGAACCTGAAGGTCTCCCTGCAGTAGAAAGACGCCGAACAAATCGACGAGATAATAAAATTCATGCCGAAACAAGCGCATGTGCAGTATTAAGAAGATGCCAACATCATCGGCCCCTGGAAGTAGTCGTTATAATTAACTCGGTGAATCGTTAGAAATGGCTTCTCTCCACGAAGTTGTAGAGCGCTAGAAGGATAATAAGCACGTAATTGTAAATAGCTCTCTGGGGAGAACGGCCTCTCTACTCTGTGCTATTCATGAATGTCTCCTAAGTGACGACCACTATGAGGTCCATACTTCCAGCCATGACAGGTGCATATGGAAGGGCAGTCTGGAAGCTTTTGAATTTCCCCATGAGTATCTACTAAGCCTGGCAGCTCCAAAGACTTGGGTAGCATCGACATGACAGGTATATCAGAAGACGGTATTGGGGTGGCATAGAGCAGCGTAGGAAGCCGTTGGATTTAGTAGCCTAAATACCGCTACTTATATTAAACATGGAAAGAACCTATTCGTAAATGCCCTCCTCAAACTTCTCCGGGTCATAAAACCTAGCACTAATGGTATTACCATTAAATATCCTCCCCTCCAACGCATTCACCGCCCTCAACCCACTCAACTGGCTCGTAAACTTCACAAACACAGTCCCCCTCCCCCCTTCCCGCCGGTGAATAAACACCCTCTCAACATTCCCATACTTCTCCCCACACTCCTCCCCAATCTCCTGCATGATCCCTCCATCACCCGCCCCTTCCACTTCAGAGTCGAGATCCATACCATCAACCATCCCCTCTAACACCACAACCTCCGACATAGCCCCAAACTTACCCTCTTCCTCCCCAGCAGGGGTCTTTCGCTTCCCTCCGACTATCTTCCCAATAGCTTGAGGATCCACGAACCCCCCGCCCTCAGAATCAGGTTTCTTCTTCCGCTTCTGAACTTGCACGTGTAGCGCGTTCACGATCCCCGACTCATCGGCGCCAAGACCACTGCCCTTGGACCAGCCATACTTGGACATCAACCTCTGCGCGAAGCCGGCTTGGCCGGGACGACTTGAGCGTGGCTGGTCGCCAGAAGGTTCTTCTTCGTCACCGGTTTCGTTGAGGGCAAGGGCTAGTTCGGCTTCTGAGGCGGGGATTTCGGAGGGGGCGGGGGGGAGGTTGTAGCGGACTGGGGCGCGGGATATGACGCCTGCTGAGAGGGGTTCGGGGGGTGGGGGAGGGGAGTAGGCGGGTGAGGATCTCCCTGGAGCTGGCTCGTGTGAGTCGTCTGGTGGTGGTGGGGGAGGTGCGTAAGATGATGGAGGAGCGAAGGATGGCGGCGGCGCAAAGGAGGGTGGAGGGGCGAATTGATCTGTATGCAATTAGTGATGGCTCATGACTGGATGTATGTATACTTACTACTCATATTCGGGCGTGCAGGCTCCTCATCACTCTCAATATCACTAGAGTACTTCCTACTCTTCCGATGAGCGTAAAGCCTGTCCTTCCACTCCCTCACCTCCCGGATCTGCTCATCACTGTGCCTGTATTCATCGTAACTGCTCGGACGTGACGGGTCGTATATATCATCCCAATCCTGCGCAACAGCGTATTCCTCCCTATTCTTCTTCCGGCGTTTACGCCCCCCGCGTTGTCGCTTTTCCCCGCCGCCATAAAATCCATTCACATCGTCGTCTTCCCCCGCGACAGCCCAGTCGGCCAATGTGCTCTTTGCCGGGGGCCTAGTAGGCGGGGCAATATTGCTCACAGTCTGCTTTGTGGAATCCGGATCGACTGGCGCCGTCGGCCTTGGGAATCCCGGCTTTGGCTTTCCCTTCTGCGATGATAGTTGCGGACGCTTAGTCGGCTGAAATCGTAGTGCGGCTATTCGTTCGCAAAGCAACCAGACGTGAGCAATTCTGAAGTCTACAAGCTAGACTGCTTGGAGGGGTGTTCAATATCTACCAGCATTGATCTGTTGCTTCTTCGCTGAAGCTTCGTCGTCTGCGGCGCCGCTGTCCGTGTTGAATGCGACTGGCGCGCGAGATATGATGGCCGCTGTGTTGGATGAGGATGAGGGATCAAGAAGGTTTGCGTAGAGCGACAGTCCGCCTCTTGGGGCTGCGGGCGTATTCGGATTCGACATAATTAATTGGAAAGAAAGTGAAATCGTGATCTGAGAATTAACTTTCAACCAGAGAGGCCAAGCAGATATCCGTGGTTGGAGGTTATCAAGATATGATCACCTGACCGCGCATTTGGTTCGCGTCTACCTGGAGTTCTAGCGGGGAATCGTAACGCGACTTGTAACCCCAACGTCAACAGGCCGGCATTTCAGAGTTAGGAGCTGATTCACGACGCAGACGATCTCACATCAATGGTCTCGATATATTTGCTATATCCCACTTGCTAGTTACCGTCGCCGCTATGCCTGCGTGAGTACTACAGCACTGTACGGTGAATAGCTGATCCCTAATGTCTTACAGGCCAGGCGACCAGCACAATGGCGGGAATAATACGGCCAATCCATTTGAAGAAGTTAGACCACATATATCCGAATACACAGCCCAGGAGATTGCAAGTCTCCAAAGCAGGTTACAGAAGCAATTAGGCCCAGAGTACATATCATCCAGATCCGGCCCAGGAGGCCAGAAGCTACACTATATCCCAGCAGACAAATGCATCCAGCTTGCCAACGAAGTCTTTGGCTTCAACGGCTGGTCTAGTCAAATCAAAGAACTTCAGGTGGATTTTGTGGACGAGAACCCTACTACCGGCAAAGTCAACCTGGGTCTTTCTGTCATCGTTCGGGTCAGCTTACGAGATGGGACATTCCATGAGGACATCGGCTACGGGCATATCGAAAACTGCAAGGGCAAAGCCGCGGCTTTCGAGAAGGCAAAAAAGGAAGGGACAACAGATGCTATGAAGAGAGCATTGAGGAACTTTGGAAACGTCTTGGGGAATTGTATTTACGACAAGGAGTACCTAGCCAAGGTTACTAAGGTGAAAGTGGCGCCGACTAAATGGGAAGTCGACAATCTTTATAGGCATGGGACTTATGCCACGAAGAAAGAGGAAGCAGCACCTGATGTGCCGGTTTTAAAGCAGGAACCGGATTTGATTCCAAGCGTGACAGCTAGAGGGTCGTTTGAGGATGAGTTTGATGATGGAGCATTCGACGAGACTGACTTTACGTCTGCGTATGATCCGGATTCCCACCCTGACGAGGTAGCGCTCCCAGACGTGCCTCCACCAGCGGCTCTTCACATCAATGCTGGCCGACCAGCCAATGGACCCGGTCCAGCAGCAGCTGCACAGAACAATGCTATGCCGAACCAGGTCAGACAGCCTCAAGCCCGGCCACAGCAAATGCAAGCTCCATCCCGGCCGCAACCTCAAAACGGAGCGCGCCCCCCACAACCACGCCCACAACACCCATCACAGCCCCAAACACCAAATGGCGGCTTATCAAGGTCCAGCTCCGGCGCCGGGCGCGGCATATCTCAGCCACCAACCGCGAACACAACCGGCGGCATCCCCCAAGGCGCTGTTCCCGGCCACGGCCGAGTCCTCAACCAACCCAACAGACAACGAACCCCGCCTCCTCCCCCCAACGGCTCCGCATCCCCCAGTTTCACGAGACCCTCAAACCCAGATGCCGACACCACAAACCAACCCTTCCACCCCCCACCCGACGGCCCCCCCCCAATCGGTTTCTTCTCCGCCAAAGCCGCCCTATCCACCGACGGCCTCGCCCCCGACGGCCTCCCCAAAACCGCGGTGTTTAACCCACACTCCCAGTCCCCCTCCATCCGCAAGACTCCCGGTATCGACCACACGAAGACTATTCCCGTGAATAGGAATTTTAAACAGGCACCACCAGCGGCGGCGGCGGCGGTGGCGCCGGTAGGAAGGGGGAATATCAATGTGGTGAATCCGCAGCTTGATGCGACGAGGCGCGTGGGGGCGCCGGGGAGCCCGAGTCCGTTGGGGAATAGGGGGAGTTATAAGCCGCCTACTATGGTGGGGAAGAGGGCGGGTGATGGGGGTGGGCCGGGGGCGGGGGAGAGGTTGCCGTTGGGGGAGATGCCGATGAATGGTGGGGTGGGGGGTGGGGGGGGGCATGAGGTTAAGAGGCAGAGGATGAGTGGGCCTTGAGGTGGGTGGATGAGATGAATGAGGAGTCTATTGTTAGGAGTTCTGCGGCCGGAAGGAGGGGGAAGTGTCAGCGGTATGACGCTGTGCGTGACCAAATCTGGCGTTTTTGGAAGGAATCGGATATGTCTAATGACCTTGTTGTGGAGAAGAAAATGGAAAGATATCCAAGTGCCCAACTATGACTGCTGTTTTGCTAGCGTTTCTCATTGCAAATTATTAGACAACGCGGAAGATACATTTTTATGACCGCCAGCTAGCCACACTGGTTTTGAAGTTGTCTATAATTAACTTTCTTTATTTCTCATTTGAATTCATGAGGCATCCCAAGTCATCTCTAAGACATGGTTACCAGCCCACCGTATCTAATTCCTTCTTCTGAAAGGACCCGTCCTATATTGTTCCAATTTATTTCACAATCAAGACCCCACTCGGCACCTGACCCACCTCCTTCAGCGTCATCCCAAAGTCCTCAGTCGTATACGTCTTCTTCGGGAAATTCTGCGTAAAGCTCGACACCTCCGTCCCATTCTCCTTCATAATCGCCTCCGCGACCTCAAACAGCGTCGTCTCCGCCGCAAACGTCTTCTGCAAATTCCCCTCCGCCATCTGCAACCTCAGCCTCGCCTCCGTATGATTCGCCACCGGCCTCTTCACCACCGGCACCGCCTGCGCTGCCGTCACCGTCGGATCAGCAGGCGGCGCTCTCCCTTCCCTCTCCGCCTTGGCCTTCTCGGCTTTGATGCGCCGCTCCTCCTTGTCGGCTGCGATCTTCTCCTGGATGCGCTTCTTGGCCGCGATGTCATCGAGTTTCTCCTTGCGCTTTGCGGAGGCTTCTTTGATTTGCTCCTTTTTGGCGAGTTCTTCCTTGGCGTCTTGGACTTCGCGCGTGGACTTCATGCGGATCTTCTCGTTGCGCTTGGCTTCTTCTTTGTCGATTGCGGATTGCTTGGCGCGTTTTGTCGCGAGGGCGGCGCGGAGCTCGTCGAGGCGCTGCTTTTTTTCTTCTTCGGTGAGGGGTTTGATTTCTTCGGTTGATTCGGCGAAGTCTTGGTGTTCACTGGGTGGGGACGTTAGTATGGTTAAGTAAAGTGAAGTAAAGTGAAGTAAGGTTGGAGTGGGTGAAATTGTAATGATGTATCGGATCGGATGGTATGAAAGCTCACGTACGTTTTCGAAGCATGGAACTCGGCCTGTGCTGTGCTCCGGAAGCGCTTTCCACATTCATTGCATATGAGTGATCGCGCTACCTCGCCCTCCTGCAGTGCGGGCGGCTCTTCATTCGCATCTTCGATGGCGGCGTCGACCTTCTTTGGTGCAGCTGCGGCTTTGATCTCCTCTAGCGACTTGTCCTGGTTGTCTTCCAGCCACTGGAGAGCACCTTGAACTATTGGTTGGAGTTAGTCAGTGAATGGCGTTTTCTTTATGACAAGGGTAAGGGTGTATATAAAGCAAACTTACGGCCACCGGTCTTCTTGACTGCCATGTCGGCCCTCTCCTTATCGAAACCCATGTCCACGAGGACATCGAGGTCAGACGATGCCATGGTTGCGGGTTCGTGGCGGGGTAGCGTCGTTGAGCTGTGTTGGTGGCGGAAGATAAGAGAAGGATCGAGAAATAAAATATCGAAGTTGTATTATCGTAGATAGAAGACAGCTAGATATATTTATCTATGAGACTGGTGAAGTATCGGAAGATGCAGAAGAGATGGCGTTGTCGCAGTCCCTGTTTCGTTGGTGGCTTATTATATGGTGGACGAACGATGATTATAGTGGTATCCTATCCTATCCCACACCACAAGTTCCAACCCACCAAGGTGGAAATGAGCATACAGAGCAAACATGATTTTCGGCTCCGGGAACGTCATATGTTTCGCTTAGAAATGCAGACGGAAGGTGTTAGTAGGTGTTAAACCGTGAAGGGTGCACTACCCGCCTACCACCACCGTAATACCGTAGTAGTAGAATGACATGGATGCGACTCTCTCTCTTGTCTCGTAGAATAAGACACACCTGCCTGCCCTCCCCACGATCCAATTCTTCTTCACCTTTTCTTCTCTAACTTTCCTCCTCCTCGTACATTTTATTGATTGCGGTCTCCTACAAATACTATATAATAGTCAGCTTCTTCAGCAACTAAACTCTCCGTCCCCCCACCGCTTGTATTTTGCCTTGCCCTTGTTAGCCTCGCCCCCCGTCCACCCCGATCCACTTCTCGCCTCAGCTACCTACTCCCAAACATCAATCAACCTCCCTCCACGGTATCTGGCCAAAGTTTGGAGCTTCAACCTCTACTCGCCGCACTACTCAACGCAGTCTACACCCTACAGCCTCTACGAATCTCGCAAATATGTCCGTCGAAATCGATCCGCAAGAGCTCGGCTTCCACCGTACGTGGCTCGATCACCCCCAACAGTTTAGGACGGATAACTGAAAGATAGTTCTAGGCCCCTTCACAAGGGAGGTGTCGCAAGTCCTCAAGATCAGGAACCCGAATCTTACTCCCATTGCATTCAAGGTATTATCTCCATTCAGGCGCTTCAAGGCATATTACTGACCCATTTCAATCTGCAGGTCAAGACTACGGCACCAAAACAGTATGCGATCCACCATGCGACCACACCCCCCAGCGCGCAACTTCGGCCATGTCATGCTAACAAACATCTACAGGTACTGCGTCAGACCAAACTCTGGCAGGATAGAGCCGGGAAAGGAAGTCGAGGTTTCAGGTTTGTTCAGCTCGCTCCGCGCACCCGAAAATGCGCTGTCCACTAACCGTCGTACAAAGTCCTCCTACAGGCCATGAAAGTCGAGCCACCCGCCGATACGAGATGCCGCGACAAGTTCCTTGTGCAATCTGTGGCGGTCACCGCTGATAAGGAGTTCACCAACATTTCCCAGATCGTAAGACAGTCTTGTCCCACCACGTCGGAGAAGCTCCCCCCTAACACAGTCGCAGTGGCAGCAAATCGACCAAGCGGAGAAGTCGTCGATCCAGGAGAAGAAGATTAGAGTCGTCTTCCTTGCGGAGGAGAGCGCCGGCCTACCAGCTGTTTCTACGCCTCTTAGAAACGGTGTGAACAGCAGTCTCGTAAGTCCCCTTTACCGGCCCCATCTACCGAATGTGCGGTTCTAACAGCTGGCCTTCCAGAACGATACGACCCCCAATACGGCTGCTCCTCTTTACCACTCCCCATACCAAGAAGAATCCACGCCTCAACGATCGGCACCCCTCTCCGAAGCCACCGGCAACAGATCAGTCTCTGACTCCAAATCCTCACAACTCAGGGCCGAGAGCTCCCCGCTACCCGCCGAGCCAGCCGCGTCAAAGGCCAATGCCAAGGAGAACATCAAGGCGATCCCATCCGCCGTTTCCTCCGCTCTCCCCAACTCAGTCGAGGAGCTCAAGGCTCAGCTGTCGCAGGCCCAAGCCACGATCGCCTCATACGGCCAAGAAGGCGGCCTGAGATTACGCAAGGCCGGCAACGCCCTAGGCGCCGACGAAGTCGTCCCAGCAGCACAGGCAGCCATCAGAACTACATCGCAAGAGGGCGTCCCCGTCCACATCACCGCCGCGCTGTGTCTCCTTACCTTCCTCATCGCCTACTTCTTCTTCTAGACTGAATATACCCACAGCGCGTACCTGGCGATCCAGCCCACGTATCGAGGAGTTCCGGGGCGATGTGATGTGACGATGGAGAGGGAAGGCGATTGTAGCATTTTTCGAAACCGTATACGCGCGCAGACAAACAGACAGACAGACAGACGCTACGTGCCTTTTTCGGGGCGTGACGACTTGGGAGATATGAAAAAGCTGAGGCTGCGGAAGAGGGACGTCATGTCATGTGTCCATTACACATACCCACAGGGCGTGCTTTTGGCAAGAAATCACTACCACTACTACCGTGACGAGAACACAAGATCAGCTCTCTCTTTTTTCCTATTTATGTACTTTTAAGGCCCCTACGTACAAGATGGCGGGCGAGCGCGGTGGCTGGGGGTACTGGTAATGCGTCCACAGTACGTTGAAGGCCCTGCGTGAGCTTCGTGGTTTCTTACATACCGGCTCCAAGTTCCTTTTATAAGTTCTTTCGCACCACCACCACAGCATACTTTTTTTTTAGGTTCTTTTACGAGGAGGAGGCGGGGGTTTCATGATCATGGTTCTATAATTCGAATACGAGTCATTGATCCTGATATTAACTTGAACCTTTTATAATTGTGAATTACGTACGGCATATGCTACTCTAGTTCTACAGTGAAATCGTCGTACAAATACACCCAATCCCGTAAATAACCACGGGCATATACAACTTCGTATATCATATCTCATCATCAAGCCTGAATCTCCTGCTCCGTCCAAGCTGCCGTCACATTTCCCCCCCCCACCTTCCTCCCCCCCTCCTTCCTCTTAACCCTACAGCTCATCCCCACCTCCTTATCCCAAATAAACTGCCAAATCACATACACCCAACTCTCATGCCTCGGCAGATCCTCATAAAACTCCTTCGCGATCTCATACACCGCCGGCAGCCGACTCCACGGCACAGCTGGGAAATCATGGTGCTCATTGTGCAGCCCCACGTTCCAGGTGAAGAAGTTTAGGGGGCCGTAGTAGGAGTACGTCTCTGGCACAGGCGTATCGAGCTTGGTGCGCGGGTCGCGCGCTTCGCGAGAGAGGTGCGCGAAGACGTAGTGCTCGGCGATGAAGTGGCCGGCTAGGGGATGCAAGCTACCCGCTAGGAAACTGGAGAGGATGAAGTAGAGCAAGGCGTTTCCGCTCGCATACTTGACGAGTCCGATATCGAAGGCTACCTGCACCGCGATATTGAGAAAGTGTATATTCGTCAAGGGGATCTGATAGATCATCATCGGGCGCAGCGCATAGAAGAGGATCTGAAACGTGCAGAAGAACGCCTTCCCCAGAATCGAATCCAAGAACACCGCCTCGAATGCGGTGGGCATATCGGTATCCAACCCATCTACCCCCAGTGACTTGTGGTGCGTGAGGTGGTAGGGGCGGAAGGAGGCGGAGTAGGGGATCCCGATGGGGATGTTTGCAAAGATGGCGAAGAGGCGGTTGGCGAGCGGGGAGCGGAAGGCGAGGTTGTGGCTTATTTCGTGGATGGCGAGGAAGCAGTTTTGGTTTGCGGTTGCGCCGATTATGTACGCGGTGAGGAAGAACTTCCAGGAGAAGAAGGGGGTGTTCCGTAATAGGTAGGCGCAGGTGATTTGGAGGGCCACGACGCAGGTGACGATGTATTTGGTTAGGGGCTCGGGACCGCAGAGTTTGGTGACCTGAGGGGGAGTGTTAGTGGATGGAGGAGGTGGGAGGGAAATTGGGTGAACGTACCTCTGGATGGGCCTTGATAATGGCCATTCTGCGCGTCCGGTGAGGTTCTTCGGTGTATGTCCAGAAGAAATGCTCGTAATTCTCGTCATCTTTGGGTGTTGACGCGGCCTTCGCCTCGCCGTTCCCCTTAGCAGTCTTTACGGCGGTAGTAGTAGCATTGCCGTTGGCTTTCGACTTCGATTGCACGGTCGTTGCTGTGGAATGAGGCATGATGGTGTGTGCCTGTATGAATCGACCCGGGATTGATTCGGTGTCGAGTTGCTGAGGTTGCAGAGGAGAGGGGGGTGGGAAGAGGAGGATATCTCCAAGACCCTGCAGGGTTGATACGAAATGACCCACGCGAATCAATTCTCCCACAGTCGACACGTGATAATAAATTTATTTTTGAAAGGCTTGATAAGGCTGTAATATATTGAATAATATAGAATAATATAAGGATTAATATTTAGATAAGGCGGAGCATTTGTTTCTAGGTTTATGGGTGAAGAAACACGGATTGGCGCGTTCTACAAGATTTATTTCATATTGTGGTGACCAAAATTATAGCCATAGCCACAACGTGGTTTCCCGTTCCTTGTTCCTGGATCGTAAGATCTAATCTTATCGGATAATGCTTACCCCAAGCCCCGCACCGCACGAACAACAAGTTAACCTCAAGTTTGCTACTCAGTCCGAGAACGTCTTCTCACTATTTCAGCACAGATCTCATTAAAGAAGGTTTGAGCGTTTTATCATTGTAACAGGTTAGATCATATTCTTTTCTCCCCAAGACGCCTCATAAAAGCATAAGCATTCCGAAATGCCGTTTATCTCTAAATCGCAACACCACCATCCATATCCGCATCCTGCAATTCCATGCCCTCCAAATCCTCCACCAGGCTAGGCACCTCCTCGTCAACTCCCTTCCACACCCTCGCGTTCCTCGGCCAGACGCGCTTGTACAGACTGACTCCCACGGAATCCTGGGGGTTGATCTTGCCATCGAATGTAGCCTTGAAGTATCCGTGCGTACCAAGCGCCTCCTTGATATATCCACTGCGGCCACGCTTGGTCCATAATTGTAGGGCCTTGAACCACTCCACGTCTTCGCGGTTGAAGAACATGTAGCGGATGGTAACGAGCTTCTTGTGGATCTTGAAGGGGTGGCCAGTAAGGATGATGCGCTTGGCGACGACGCGGGAGGAGGATGGGGGAAGAGATGTGCCCGTTCCAATGAGAATGAGTGGCATCTCTGCTGCCTTAGGATCAGAAGCCAAAGCCTCTGCCGACGGGCGAGTAAAGAATAACGCAGGAACGGAGCCCCAGGTGAGTGGTCCAATGAAGGACGCCACAGCCGAGCGACCTGGGTGCAGGAAGCGATCGAACTTGTGGACGTTGTTCTGGGGGTTTCCAGCTTGAGAGAAGACTGGGTTGATGACGAATCTCCTTGGTCCAACTTGCATGATCATCTCTTGCTTTGAGCGGATGGGCTCGGGGTAGTCTGAGCTGAGCGTGATCTTGAAGTTCAACACTGCCCGCTTGTACTCGTGGCGCAGTAATGAGAACATGGTCGCTGGCTTGGAAGCCTTGAACGACTCGCGGAGGCTCAGGGGAACGTTGCGCAGGTACACGTGGACGCGTGTACCAGCCGGGACACCACCAACGAGGCCCTCGCGAGTAACACGAGCCTTCGATGAGTTGTAATCTTGTATTTGCAGAAGCCTCCTCCAATCCTCTGGCTCGTGGACTCTATCTTCATCTTCCTCCCAGTGACTGGTCCGTAAGCTCTTGAGTCCACGATATCTAGCCAAACGCTCGCGAGCTAGAACTTGAGGCTGGAGCTCAATCTCATCTGGGAATTCAGCGTCCTCGTCTGCTTCGTTGACCTTGCTCTTTCTGAAGGCAGCGATTTGCTCTGCTTCCTGCTCTGCTGACCTGTCCAAGAACAGCTCCGACTGGGGGTATTCTGATGCGGCGTACTCTGTTGGCTCACGTGGAGCCATTCCCTCAACACCATCCTGTGGTAAAGCCTGGGTCTCCATAGCCGTATCCTCTTCCTCGACGTCCTCGAAATCAGAGTCCTCGGATCCATCGTAGCCCAAGTACCAAGCAGCTTGGTAATTCGATGTACCCTTTGGAAGGCGCTTTGGAGCAGCTGGCAAATGTGTCTCATCGTCTGAGAAATAGTGATGATCATCAAGTAGCACACCTCGCTTTTCGGTTCCCGCGACAGATACTCCGGTATCAATGTCAATGTCGTCCATCATAACTTCCTCAGGGGCTAGTTCGTCAAGGTCATCCTGCTCTTCTGTTGGTGTATCCAAGACGTTCTCCGCCTCTGATGCCTCCGCATCCACAGCCATATCGTCCGTCTTAGTATGGCTTTTCTTCGCTGCAAGAGGGGCTGCGACAATCTTCTCAATCTGGAAAGAGCCCCAGTCGCCAACCTGAACGAGTCTGTCGGCCTTGAGTCCCTTGCCACGTACAATACCGGTGAGTACAACATTCTCGCCATCGACTTCCGGCCATTGTGCGTCCTCAACCAGCATCCAACTCCTATCTTCGCGCCACCTCACACCCTTTGGTGATGTGGTGCATAGGGATCGCATCAAGTTGGCGCACTCTTGCCTTGAGTCTAAGCTGTGAACCTTCTCCTGCTCGGGGTGGAAATGGGTGATGTATGATTTCAAGGATCCTTGAACCTGGCCGCGGCGCTTGGGTGGCTCGATGGTGTCCAGGTTTTGCACAACAGAGAATAGTGTCGAGAGTCCCTGGCTTTCGATACTTCGTAGAATAAGCTCTCCTAGATCATCCACCTCCTGCTCTGGCGACAAGATAACCATGACAAAATCCGCGATTCTGCAGGCGTCCATGCAAGCCGCCAAGTCCCTCTTCAGAACAATATATTGGATCTTCTGCTTGAACCGATCGATGTTCGTGCGACAGATGCCCTCCTCTGGAACCTCCGCTTCGACATCCAGGCTTCCGTTCAGCTTCTCCACGGCTTTGGCGGCATCTGCATCTTCGCAGAGCGGTACAACCGCAATTATTCTCGGTGCGCCCTCGCGGCCATTGAATACGCTGCTGTCTCTCAGGTGTTCCTTGTGCTTGGTGAGTTGCTTCTGGCGGGCCTGGTTTCGTCGGTCTAATTTCGACATAAGTTGCTGGTGAGGAGTTTTCCGAGCTGAGGATCCATCTTGGACCTTGCCTATAAAATGTCAGTTTTTATTATTTCATGTTGTACCGAAAATCATACCCTTCATAATCTCCTTCAGGGCACCTTTGGTGGATTTGCGCGCCTTGAAAGACTTGTGCGCCACCTTAGTGGTGCTCCTATGGGAGTGACCAACAGTTGCAGGCATCTTGCCGCTGCCTCCGGCTTTGAATCTGTACGGTAAATTTAATGAGGCCACCTTGACGTGCAGAAAATCGTGTACTGCTACAGATTTTGGAGGGGCGTCAACGTGGGGAAGTCCAGTCTCTGTCCAAAAAATTATTATCTGTGCGCGGGTCGCTGCCCGATAAGAGCGATTAGATCCCTCGAAATCTTGGCAACCAAAAAAGTTAACAATCCAGCCTCTTCCTTGCGACGGGAGCCACACGAACATTTCTCAAAACCACGCCGTTTACGATTCCGATATGTCGGACGCTGTAGATACAATTGACAATACGGTCACGGAGGTCAGCCCGAATAATGCTGGCCCGATAAGGACGCAACGCACTCCGGCTTTCGGAAAAGATCAAGTGTCTCAGCTGCGCAGGCGGCAAGAGGCGCAACGAGACTATGGCCGCGGTCGCAGAATACCCGTGAAGGGAATTAAAGACAAGAAATTACGAGGAAATCTCAAGCTTCTTGAGAGCAAATACAAAAATGCGACATTGAAAGCGAAGGATGCCGAGATCCTGCTCGAGAACGAGGGCGGGTTCCTCGAACCAGAAAATGACCTCGAAAGGACGTACAAAGTCAAGCAGGACGACATCAAGGGCAGCGTAGCGCTCGAAACGGCGAAGAAGGGATTTGAGTTGAAGTTGGATAGCCTGGGACCATATGTGTTCGACTACACGAGGACTGGAAAGGACTTGCTCCTTGCTGGAAGGAAAGGTCATGTCGCAACAATGGACTGGCGCGATGGGAAGCTCGGATGCGAGCTGCAACTCGGCGAGACAGTTCGAGATGCAAAGTGGCTGCACAACAATCAAATGTTTGCGGTTGCGCAGAAGAAGTATGTCTACATTTACGACAGCCACGGAGTTGAGATCCATTGCTTGAAGAAGCATATCGAGGTCACCAACATGGAGTTCCTCCCATACCACTATCTATTAGCTACGGTGGTAAGTCAAAACGGTCAATATTTACAGTCAATTTACTAATACAAGGTAGGGTAATGCTGGATATCTCAAATACCAAGACACATCAACTGGTCAGGTTGTCATCGAAATCCCAACCCGCCTTGGATCCCCCACCTCGCTCAAACAAAACCCCCACAACGCAATCCTCCATATGGGGCACCAAAACGGAACCGTCACACTGTGGTCGCCCAATTCTACCACTCCTCTTGTTAAACTCCTTGCTCATCGCGGACCCGTCCGCTCGATAGATATCGATCGTGAGGGCCGCTACATGGTATCCACTGGCCAGGATATGAAGATGTCCGTGTGGGATATCCGCATGTTCAAGGAGGTTAACAGCTACTTCACCCGCCGACCCGCTTCTTCCGTAGCTATCTCAGATACTGGCCTCACGGCAGTCGGCTGGGGGACGCAAACCTCGATTTGGCGCGGCCTATTCACCAAGCACGCTCTGGACCAAGAGAAGATCCAAAGTCCATATATGGCTTGGGGCGGCGAAGGTAAGAACATCGAGCGGGTTCGTTGGTGTCCATTTGAAGATGTCCTCGGTGTATCTCACGACGCCGGGTTCTCTTCGATCATCGTACCAGGAGCCGGAGAGGCCAACTACGACGCTCTGGAAATCAACCCATACGAGAACACCAAGCAGAGACAGGAGACCGAAGTCAGGACACTGCTCAACAAGCTGCAGCCAGAGATGATCTCGCTCAACCCCGAATTCATCGGAAACCTCAACCTCCAGACTGATGAGCAGCGCAAGGCTGAGAAGGATCTGGATAAGGCACCAGCTGAGCTTTTGGCTGGTGTCAAGAATAGAGGGAGAGGCAAGAATAGCAGTCTGAGGAAATACCTCAGGAAGAAGGGTGGCAGGAACATCATCGATGAGAAGAAGCTCAAGATTATGGAACTGAGGAATAGCCAGAGTGAGAAGAGGATCAAGGAGGCGGAGCAGGAACTGGGACCTGCACTGGGTCGCTTTGCGAAGAAGGGAGGCGCCTGAGTTTGGCTGTAATATCCGTTGGTAGATTTTCAGCTTCTCGGCTTAGCATTGTTTGGCGTTATTAGGGGTGGGTTAGGAAGGTATCACTTGGGATATTGCTGCCTTCATGACAAAGGCATAACAGGAAGAATGACTGCGAGTTAGTTTTAAATAATAAGCCTACTCTCTTCATTAAAACAAAAGTGTACCATGGGAACCTCGTTGATTGTTCTGTTTGCTCCAAATAACCAACCCAACAAATAATTAAACCAACGCCGTATCTACCCCACGTCGTTACCACCCCCCCGATCTCTCTATGAGAAGTCCTCTTCCTTCTCCTCAATTGCATTCTTAATCTTCAACAGAATCGCCGTCTTCCAGTTATCCAACTTGCTCATCTGATCGTACTGGAACAGCTTATCTCCAAACGCCACCTGATCTCCCGCATCAACTGCCTCGGCGAGGTCTACCAGTAGCTGGTGCTCCTTGGTGCTCGCAAACGTAGAATCCAAAGTCCGGTACTTCTCGAAGGCGCGGTTCACAGCGACCATATCGCCAATGGCCAACAGACAGAGACCTGCCTTCAGGAAGTAGTCCTTTACAGACCACTTCATGAGGTTGTTGCTTACGGCCGAGGTAGCCACCTTCTCGAAATGCTCGACCGCCTTGTAGTAGTCGCCGTCGAGGGCAGCTAGTTCTCCAACCTTGAGGTACAGTTTATTTGCCAATCTGAACAAGCTCATGTTAGTGAAGCTCCACCATCGGAATAGTTTAGGCCGCTACATACGCCTCAGCATTATCGCTCTCAAACCAGCTTGCAGCCATCTCGTAGCTCTCGATCGCCTTCTTCTGGTCGCCTATTTCCTGCTCATAAAGCTCCGCGAGATTCTGCTTATGTGTTGCCGCCCGGCGGAAGTTGCCCTTCCCTGTGTAGTGGTTGATCGCAAGATCCAGACACCTCGCCGCATCCAACGGATCTGACTTGCGGTACACCTTGAACGCCTCCACATACGTATTCGCCGCATCGTCTGGCTCGGAAAGCTTCGACAGCTGGATAGAGGCCGCGCTCTCGAAGGCTTGGCCAGCTTCCTTAGCTGTGGCGTGGGGTTAGTGGGGTCGTGGTATGGGTGTTCGGGGTTGCGACGTACTCAGCTTCTGCATTCGAAATGCGTTGGCCGCTTGTGTGTAGAGATCTGCTGCATTTTCCCATTTTTCTCCCCTTCCGCCGAAAAGGCTGAAGCCTCCGCCAGCTCCCGATGCTGCCTTGTCCGCCTGGAGTCGGTGTCAGTGTGAGCTTGTAGTCGCAGCGCTGCGGGGTATATAGGACGCAAAGGATGAAAGCATACCTTCTGTAGAAGGGCACGTGGATCTTGTGCCATTTTACTTTGAGGATGTGAGAATCCCTTAAATGTATGATTATTTTTATGTGTGCTCTGTGTTTTTGTTGAACTTTAGTGGTATCAAAAGGAGGGGTGGTTGTTCAATATGTCGCACCAAGCCAAGCTTGGCTCTGACGCGGTGGCATGGATACTTCCCGCCTTAGCGTCATTTTCGCATCAGAATCCCATCAAGGTGCCATGACCAGCATCGAAAGGTACGAATAAACATATTCCCAATTGCAAATGCGTGGCTAATGTTATTATAGCCGTCATATATATTGTATATGATGCCAGTGGCAGTATGGCTTCGCTCCCGGGCGAGTCTGCGCTTCGCAGCATTGGCATCAAAATCTAGAACACCCTTGACGAGGACATACTCCGCCAAACGAGTACTAGAAACCGAAGCAGACACGGCGGAATTCCTCTCGAAACCCAGCTGGTCTGTTAAATCTCTCCTCCCATCAGCCTCAGATGCGGCTGCCACGCCTTCAACCACGCCCGCGCAACTCTCTCACCTACTCCGATTATCCGCATTGCCACAACCAAAAGATGCTGCGGAGGAAGAAAGCATGATCGCAATGCTAGAATCACAACTTCACTTTGTTAGGGAGATACAAAAGGTTGATACTACGGGTGTAGAGCCTCTCCAGGCTATCCGCGAAGAGACTAAGGAGGCGTTGGCAGAACGTACTATTGGGCTGAAAACGCTCGAGGATGCATTGGCACTGGAAGAGTTCAAAGGGAAGATGAAGAGGCCAAGGAGAAGAGAGAGCGAACGCAAAAAGATAAAACAAAGCACGATCGAGAGTCTAGAGGAATTAGAGGGCGAAACTGGGGTGGAGGATCGCCACTGGAAACCGCTCTCCACAGCTAACAGAACGACTGGGGAGTACTTCGTTGTTAAGAATAAGAAGGATTAATTGTAACATCACAAGCAAAGGGAGACATAAATTCATTGGTATCCTAGCTAAACTCTCACGTACTAAAATCTCAAAAACATAAATAAACAATCTCAGAAGTGCATCTGCTCAATTGGCTCATGCAGCTTGTCGTCGTCCTCTTCAGCTCCTGATCGCTCAGGCCTGCTGAACGCGTTTCCCCAGGGTTGTGATTTCTCTGGCACATCCTCTATGTTGGCCTGTGGTTTATCCTGCTCTAGGTTGTCATTCTTGCTCTTCTCGTCCGTCTCAGAAGCTGGCTTGACGTCGTCGTCTATGTTGGCCCGAGATTTATCCTGCGCATGGTCATCCTTATCCTTTTCGGATTTCGTCTCGGCAACTGGTTTGTCTGCGCCAAAATCAATAAGATCCTCATCAGGATCAGTTATCTCTCTCAGCTTCTCCTCGTCCTCTCTATCAAGCAAGGCAATCGTTTCCGCTTCCCTTGCCACCTCCCCACGGTCAATGTCCTCCCAACCAATCTTTTGTAGGATAACGCCGACAAGATATTGGTATCTCAGATGCCCAGAAACTATACCACTAACATTTACATTCTCAATCCCGCTGACGTCTCCAATCTGTTGTAGGCCGGCAACGCCAAGTTGAATGCTACTAGTGCGGTATAGGAATCCCAGAATATAGTCATTCTCAGAGTAGACGTTCACAAGCCTTCCACTGACAACGCTTTTCATAGCACGCCAGAAAGGACCATCTGAAGGACAGGGAGCGCCTATCAAGACGGCTGATTCGACAAGACCAAATGCCTTTCTTTCTGCAAGGGACATCAGACACGAGTATATTACTCTGGCGCCTAAACTGTAGCCGATCAGAGTTACCGGCCGCTCTCCCTGTGCCTTGTTGATTATTGCATCTGCAAGCACCAAGCCTGCCTTATCCGCTCGGTTCTTCGCAACACTGAACGGATTGTCCAAAACCTTGCTGGCTTTCAAAAAGCTCAAAGGCCAGAGAGCGAACATTAGGCTTCCAAAAATTGTCCGCGCAATGATCTCCTTCTTCGCCACCGTCCACGCTGCAGACTTAAGAACAGACTCCATGGATGTACCAAGGTTCATGAGCGCTTTCAGTTCCCATCGGAGGGCGAATATCTCGCTCTGATGACCAAGTGCTCTCCACGGGCTGATGATATCCTCTCTCTGGGTAAGCCACCCACTAATCCCGATCGTCACGCGTAGTCGCCTATCTTCGGCGGGGATTTCTGCAGTTTTCTTTGCTTTTCTAGTCGAGCCTCGCAGCGGAAGAAATGCAAAATCCTCGACCTCTTTGGCGTACATGTCCATCATCTGTCCCGTCATCCTACCACCATAGGCTCCAAATAACGCTCCGACTATAACTCCACTCTGAGCCAGTGCGCCGAGGAGGCCTGCAGCTGCTGTTGCGCCTAGGCCAAGGCCTCCCATTATGGTACCTAGTCCGGCAGCTACCAGAGGGGCAGCGAGACCACCTGTAATTCCTATTAAGGCAGCTCCTGCAATTCCAGCAAGTCCAACTTTCCACCTTCGTGCCGTTTGGTTCTCTTCACCTCTTTTCTTGGCTTCTTCCTCGGCCGACATGTGTTTTGCCGCCTCAAGAAGTGTTTTGGCAATTTTGACTTCGTCTTCTGTGAGGGTCTCGAGCGGAAGATGGAGCGACGAAGCCATGTAGAGGAGTAGAATTCGGGAATGAGCTTCATAATGCTCGAGTGATAGTAGCAACAAAAGGGTTGAATTCAATATGAGAACCCGCTTCTTCTTCGTCAGTGATAGCAATGTAGTTGATACTGGAGGGTAAAGGTGAATAAGAGCGGCGTCGGCCCTGTCATTTTCTTCTTCGTCGTCTTCTTCGGTATTGACATTGTCTTTTGATTCTTCATTCACGAAGTTTGTTAGCATATACTAGCTGGAACGGACATATATACGTAGAGGTTGAATGGAGTAATCCAAGGAGAAATGGGTAGGCACTTTTGAATATATCAGACATCCCAACAACCTTGTACTCTGGTCTCGCCGGAGGGCCCGACGCCGCGGGTGCGAAATTCTTTGCTTCTTCGCGCTTGCCATCCGTGGCCTCTGAGGTATTGAGGACATCTCCAACTCTTCCCAGTACGGACATCTCCCATTTTTGAAAGTGTTGCAACGCTAATTTCTTCAACTCTTGCATCTTTGGTCCCGATATCTCTTTCTCCCGCTTCTCCCGTAAAGCTTGGGCTTTTTCCTGCTCTTCACTCGAAGCTTGATCCTGATCCGCATTCGGATTCTTGCCGTCAAGGTTTTGGTCCTGAGGCTTCTCAGACGTAAAAGACGCATCAAAGGTATCCAAGGTCCTCTTTTTCATGAGCTCCATAATATCTGCCACGAGAAGGGTAAACCCCTCTCGCTGCTCCCCAGATAAGAGGGTTTTGAGGTCATTTTCTTGGTCACCATCGCCATCTTTCTTCCCGTTTCCCGCTCTTGTAGACATGTTGATTCTCTTATCAACGCTACGTTATAGTACAGAACGGAGCTCTATTACATGCCCAGCGTGCCACGGGGTGGCCTTGAAATGCGAAAGCGAAGATGGAATAGCTTGATGCTGTTGTTCAGTGTGTTCTCTAGCAGACCAACATCATCGACGTCACCTTACAGTTCGTTTGAATCCTGGTTGGGTTGAATGTGTGATGCACAGGACTTGATTGGAAGGTTGCAACACAAGGCTGCATTTCCCCGCGATTGCGCTGTAAACAATGACGAGGCTGACACATACTCGCCGTCCAAGTCCAAGGGTCTAAGGGACCTTGTCCATGTGATAATTGATCCTACGATTAAAACTGGCTGGTATAATTTTTTACTTTAGCTTGACTCCTAAGTAATCAGCCTATTGGAATACAGCAATATATTAATGACTGCTTTCAGTTGTCAAGATCCCGTATTTTATTAGAGTTACTATAAACACTTAAAGTGGCGACAGAGCCTATGGGCTACTCATAGCCTTGAGTATCTGAGAGCCCTTTATCCTATCCACAGTTGCTATAAACACTCAAATCAGCAGCAGGGCCTATGGGTTGTCTTTAGCCACTAAGTGACTCTTATTTCCTGGTCCAAATTTCCGACGATTAAAGAAACACCCAGTCATTGAACATCCATCTATTATACACCTCTATCCTGAGAACTCCTCCAAGTAAATCACCAACATATACTCGTACATATAACCTTCCATCGCAAATCTCTCAGTCTAACATAATACAACTCTATTCCGAATGTGACACGTCAAACTTCCGTTCTAAGCCCAGCTCAGCTACTACTTCGACGACTCATCAGGCTTTTGGCCCTTCGTAATTGTCTGGGATATTTCATTGGTGGGTGATGAAATATTTGAAGGTTTATCCCAGAACTTTGCAGCCGTCTGCCAAACGTTTGATTTGCTTTGGAGAGCTTCAGCAGTTGCCTCTGAGCGGCTTGCATCAGCTGCCGCTTTTATCGATGCGGTAACCTCCTTGTCCAGCGGTTTATCACCTTCCTCTAGCCTCCTAGAAATATATCAGTATTGTTCAATATCACATCATATATAAAGCAACAAACCTAGCTTTCTCCGCCCGCTCTTGAGCTTGCTCCTCGAATGCTGGACCGAAAGCCCAGAGAGCTTGTATCTTTTAGCACATGTGACAAATCATGTAATTGGGCAAAACATACCATTGGCAACTCCAAAACCGACCGCAAAGACGACCGGAATGAACGCGCGACCTTTAGACATCGTATATATGTTTCAGTGATATTGCTCGTGATTTGACTATCCTGGACGTTGGAGCGATTTCAATGAAAACGGTTCACGTGATATCGGTGATAAATTTATCCGCAATATCTCATTATAGCCTTAGAAACAAGTCTTAACGCCTTATTTCTCTACATCTATGCCCTATATTTCAGGTATCTATATTTTATGATTCGATTCCGCCTCGGTACAACTGTAGTACTGGACTCAATACTAGACTCAACACTAGACTCAAATATACCCACACAGAGCTGTGTCAACTTGTATAATTCAGAACAGAGAACAGCACCATTTTTGACAAGTACCATACATATTTCTCCACACTTTACAATCAAATCGCCGTAGCTAATCCATAGCTAGGTCCACTCACTGGACTGGGGAACAATCTGCTGCACAAAAAACATCCTATACAAACACGCGACCAGCTTCTACCTTCCCCATCACTATATTCACAATAATCCCCAATATTCACAATATTTACAATAACGTGCACATGCATCCCATTCACATCTCACACTCATAGGGAAAGGAATTTGGAATAGCGCCGCATCCCATACGGGAAGGGCAAGCCACTCACTTCACTACCCCGCCACCGCACGGCGAGCCTCCAACCAACCCCTCACATCATGGGGCAACAACCAAGGAAATCCAGCCAGTCCGGTGACCACCACCCCATCGACGACGCAGCCGCCACAGCTACCGCCCAGAGCGATGATCTCAATAGTCTCCGCGGCGATGGGATCAATCCCTCACCACCATCGAATTCCGAGCTCCTCGGTCAACCAGGCGCTGAGTTAAGCGCTGCGCAACAAATACTACCTGTCACTGCCGCTAGTGTGTCTGAGAGCGTCGACGTCGTCGATGCTCCCAATGTGGCGTCCCAGACGACAGAGTCCAGGCCTCTAGAGAGCCACGAGACCTTCCTGCAAGGGGCCGATCCAACAGACCGTGAGTCGCCCCGAACCCCCTTCCTTCCCTTCTCTACAAAACCGCGGTGAAGCATGTAATCCGCGTATGCGGCACGCACCGAGCATATAAGTACAACGAGCTAACCCGCATCTCCCCCATCCAGTCGCCAACCCCGCATTAATAGTTCGAACCTCCGCACCCGCCCCCGTCTCCACGCCCTTCGCGGACGCCAATGCGCCGTCGCCGCTCTCCCCATCTAACCCCCCAAGCCTCACCTTCCCAACGCGCAGCAACACCGAGTTCATCGCCTCCTTCCCCCAGACCGGCACGCCCACCACGGGCACCACCAACAGCACGATGCTCTTCCTTCCCAACGGCGCCGCCGCCGCGCACCGCCGCCGCTCCATGGCCACCACCCCCGCCTTAACAGAGTACGAAGCCGACCTAACGAGCAAAGACCGCCTCAAGCAAAAAGAAGCCGTGCGCAACCTCCTCGCCTCCAGAATCCGCAACGACTGGTCCTTCCCCGACAAAATCGACCTCGTCGCGCTAGAACCCTCAGAAGAGGCTCTCCCCGAAGGCGACCCCGCGGATCCTACAACCTGGATCGAGCGCGGGGACTGGCTGAGCGAGATGTCTGAGAGCGAGGAGAGCGATGGGGGGCTCGCGCAGACGAGTACGAATTCCACGAGCGGATCGGCTAAGGCGCCGAAGACGAAGAAGAAGAAGATAAACCCTTTCCGATTCGACTCCCCAGACGGCGTGGGCGAGGCGCTCCGCCGGTCTGCAGACCGCAGGAAACTCCGTCGCCAGCGGAAATTACAGGAGGAACTAGCATACAACGAGGGACTACGCTGCTTCACCGCCCGCCGAAACGCCTGGACCAACGCCCGAATCGTGCGCCGTCCCCGATGCGCGCCCACATCCCCCACATCCCCCTCCGGCGAGAAACCCCCAGAAGACGACGAACCCATCCTCGACACACTCGTCCCCGTCGCCCCTCCCCTCCTCCCCCCCTCCACCCCCATGCGCCGCAACATCACCAGCCGCGCGCACAGCACCATTTACGACAAAGTGGTGATGCAGAGCCAAACACCCATGTGTCCGATTAATCTGCAGACGGTGGTGAGTAGTTGCGTGGACGGGTGGAAGAGAGATGGCGAGTGGCCGCCTAGGGGCACGGAGCCGGAGGCGGGTGTGGCGAGACGGAGGGCGGATGTCGCGGCGCAGGCGCAGGCGCAGAAGGGGGTGTGGAGGAGGAGTTTGCAGAAGGTTTTTGGGAGGGGGGGGCCGGAGATTGTGTAGCGGGGGTAGAGAGGTTGGATGGCGTTTTTGGGTTGGGTGGGGGGAGTATGGGCTGTTTAGGCCGGGCATGATTTTATGAGTTTTGGGTTTTGGGATTTGAAGAAGGGGGGAGGGAGGTGGGTTGCATGTCATATAGTGGTTGATATTGTATTGTCTAATACTTGTGCTGTTGCCCAAAAGCATGGAGGGGCTGTTTGTGGCTGGGGAGTGAGTGGTGGGAGTAATTTAAGCTGATAGGATTTCTCTCTCTAGCTCTATTCCTGGGTAACTGTTTTATTGGTTGTAATCCCAAGTGATTGAGATCCTATATTTCACTCAGCGTTGGCGTAAACACTGCTGGCAGTCCCCTTTCACACGTTAAGGCGGTTCAGGTACTCATACCTGATATCGTATTCTCTCTAGCTCCCTCCACCTCTTCTACTAAATGTCCTAAATTCTACAGTCTCAAAAAACTCCCAGTAAATGCCTCCTTCTTCCCAATCTTATACATATCTATCTACAACCTCCCCGATATAATACACATATAAATACACCCCTTCCCCAATCACGCCAACCCCCCTCCGCACTTCAAAACAAAAAAAACCCCCCCCCTCTCAAATCCCCACCCCCCTCCCAACCTCCCTCTGCCTAACCCTCGCTCCCTCCTCATCCACCCCCTCCCTCTCCCTCCCAAACCCCATCGCCGTCTTCTTCTTCCTCCCCTTTCGATCCCCGTACCTCTCATCAAACTTGCGAATCGCAGCAAGCGTCGCCATATCTTCACTAACACTCGCCGAAATCTCCTGGATCGCGATGTCGAAATGTCTCTTCCCGATCGTCCGCTTAGCGGGGTATGACAGGTTCTTCGATAAGGCGGAGACGTCTTCCCCTGCGGCAGCGGAGGAGGCGGCTGCCGCTGTCGCTGTGGTGGTTTCCTCGCGCACGCACGCTAGGGCTGCGGCGACGCTGAGGTTCTTGAGGTCTGAGCCGGAGTAGAAGGGCGTATTTGCTGCCAAGGCCGCGAGGTCAACTGAATCCTCCAGATCCTCGCCTTGGAGATGAATCTTCAATATCGCCTCTCTATCCGCCTCGACGGGGAGATCAATCAACAACCGTCTCGGCAGACGTCTCAGAATCGCCTCATCGAGATCAAACGGCCGATTCGTAGCGACCATAATGAAAGCGGAGAGATCGTTCATCCCGTCCCATTCGCGGAGGAACTCATTAATGATCTCGCGGTGGCTGGTGCGCTGGCTTCCCGCGCCGCGGTCCCCGAAGATAGCGTCCGCCTCGTCAATGAAGACGATGCAGGGGGCGAGTTTCTTGGCAAGGGAGAAGACGGCTTTGACGTTCTTCTCGCCCTCGCCGACGTACTTGTCGTAGATCTCTGACCCGGAGACTTCGAGGACCGTGGTGTCGCTTTCCTTGGCGAGGGCTTTAGCCAGCATCGTTTTGCCTGTGCCGGGGGGCCCGTAGAGGAGGACACCGGGGATCTTGTCTTTAGCGAGGACACCGTAGGAGAATGCCTCTGGTCGGACTAAGGAGAGGCTCGTGAGGGTCTTGAGGGCGTCGATGGTATCTGCCGGGGCGCGGACGTCGGAGAATGTGACTTTGATGTTTTCGGGGTGCACGACTCCGCCGAGGAGTTTCTTCTCGCGCAGGGTGGCGTTTACCTTGATCTGTCTGCGTTTTTGGTCGGCGAGGGAGTCTTTGGATGATGATGTGGTGGTGGACGATTTTTTCCGATCGTCTTTCTTCATCCAGAGGGCTTTCTCTTCGTCGCTGGCGTCGATGATGTCGTAGGCGGCGAGGAGGGAGGAGTTGCCGGCGTGGGTGAGGTCGATGGATGAGGAGCCGATCATGACGGTTGCGAGGCGGTGGACGCGGGGGTAGGGCCAGATGGATTCTTCGAGGTCTTCTACCATTTTGGTGTGTAGGTCGCTCCATACTTGGGGTTCTGAGGGAGGAGCAACGTTGCGTGTTGATAGGAAATTTTCAACGATATTGTCTATCAGTGGCGCAGCTTCGCCATTGGATAATTTGGAAACCATGTCCTTTAGGTGACGGATATTGACACGGCGATTACGGTGTTTTTCGTCGATTTTTAGGGCTTCCATGTCCTGCGTCTTGGCTGGGGTCACCATTATAGTCCGTTGGTCGCCGAAAACAACGTCGGATTGGAGTTGGACTATAGAGTCGAGCGTGGTTGCGGGGACGGGGTCTCCTGCTGTCGTGGTTCCGATAATGGCAATATGCCTTCCTTCCAGCCACCTCTTCTTGACAATGTCACGCAGCATCTTGAGGATGTTAATGCCAGCATCGATTTTGCCCATCTCCTTGTACTGGTTGATTTGGATGATAGTAGGCTTTGGTGGCGGGGTTTCTGCGCTGCTAGGATCCGTTGAAGTAGTCGCGCTTGTCGACTTAGCCGCTGTGTTGTATGAGGCGTCAACGAGCGCTTCCAATGCAGCGGTGAGCTTAAAATTAGACCAAGACTCTGAAGAGGAAGTAGACCGGGTTCGGCTTTGATTGGGTCCCTGGCCGAAGAGCTCGTCAAATGACATCGGCTTCGACAACGACCTTTGGGCACCGGCACCGGGTATGATAGTGAGACCGCGAAGTTTTGAACTGCCAGCCTTCAACGCCGAAGTCAATGCAGAAAGGCTAGGCAATTCTGGTTTTTGAGGATCCTCCACCTCGTCCATTTCCAAGTCATCTTCTTCCTCTCCCCTATTCATCTCCTCCTCATATCGCCCAACTTTGTCCAACTCATACCCGAGTAGAGAAGTTGTGCATGGTGTCCATGCCAGGTTCTCTCCCATGTATTCTCCGACAATCTGTGCGATATCATCCGGATCCAGCCTCACCACGTCAGCATTCAACTTGAACGCAACCGTATCAACAACCTGGTTCATAAACCCGCTTGCATCACGTTGCGGACACTGAAGAAGAATATCCGGCCTAATGACCTCCTTGGGGTCGACTCCTTTCGGCGGCCGTATCGACAATAAAGCTTCGATGTTTGACTGTAGTTCCTGGAAGACAATATTCTTCATACTATACCGAACTTTACCGTCCGAGCCCAACTCAGAATCCGCAACAGTTTCCTCTGGTAAGGGCGCAGGTTCGTCACCAGTCTTTATAGTCGCCGATTCGACAGACTCCTGCTCCTTTTCAGGCGCAGTTCTATCCTCCAACAATAATATCCGCTCCACATTATCCTTCGCCCCACTGGGCCTTACGTTGTTTTCCAAAAACCACTCCGGCAGCACTATAGGCGGAACCTCCTTTACTCGTACATTCCTGTTCGCCCGTCGCGCCGCAGATCCATAATCCCCTCGTTTCGTCCTCTGTCCACTCGTCGCCGTATCCGTTTTCGCCACTACAGGCTCACCGGCCGCAGCATCCCCTGGCGCAGCACTCTCCTCCTCCGCCGTAATCTTCGGTCCTCCCTCCCCACCCCCCTTCTTCGGATCATCCGCCGGGTTGTCGTCAGGTATCCTATACGCAATAGCCGATCTGTGGAAATTCCTCGCCGACGACGACGGTAGGGGTCGTCGAACACCAGCTACGACGCGGCAGGACGTGCGCCATAATTGGGGTCTTCGAGTCGTTCGAAGGGCTCCCCATGCGGCTGCGTGCATTCGATAAGATGAACGCCTCGTAAAGCGCCGGGGTTCGTGCAATTGGGTTGGGGCGCACCGGTGGGTTGGGTGGTGGAATATTTTGGGATGGAAAGGGTTGCGGCTCTGCGGAAAGGCTGGGCTAGTGTCGATAGTGGGTCTGACGGATCGCAAGGCTACAGAAGGGCCGTGGTCCACCAGGTTGCGTTGTCGAAGACGCCTCAAGGATTTGGAGTACGAGAACTTGGATGCTGCACCTGATAGTCGAGCCATGGCTAATCGAACAATGTATACTCGGGTATACTCTAAAAGAAGTCCAAGGCAGTTAGTCTCTGGTAGAGGGGCAGATGGTGATCCACTATCCCGCGCAGCCCTCCTTGGAGAGTTCTGGAACCATGCAAACTATTGGAATCGAGAGCCTACGGCCTTGGTATCATGCAGTGATCGCATAATCGACACTCTGAGGCGTGCTTTTGGCATGCACTATGGGGATGGCGAGCCATCAGCAGATATTTGGATTGCTTTTATAGAGGTCCCACCTACCACGGATGGAGCTGCTACCCGAATCCATTTAGCAAAAACGTTGGCGAAAAGATGCAAACTCAAGGAACCTAATTTATTTCTCCATGAGGTTGTTTTCGAGTGGGCTATACCTAGGAACTATGTGGTACATGAGGTCTCCTTAAAGACCTTACTAGACCGTGGGCTTGAAGAGGATTACATTTTACACCCGTCTACTCTAAAAGCACGACAGTTCACCGCAGAGCAGCTCCACCATCATGACTCCTATGAAACCGGCATCACCCTAGGTTTATTCGCACAAAAATTCGGCGCCAGAGCCCCCTTACACTGGATCTCCCACCAGCTTTTCTATGATTGTGTATGGACGAAGATTGTGGCTGACGACGAAGACGACGAAAACGACGGAGTTAGGATTCATTTCGCGCATGAGAAACATCCTAAACAAGTCGACTTCCCATTTTTCCGCGCCCTAGATGATGGGATCGACACTGTTTTATGTGACGGGTGGTTTTCAGATATTGACTTTGCAGAAGACTATGAAGATTTTAAGGAATGGCGACATGTCACAGAAGATAACATAACTTGGGAACTGATTGAGTTCTGGGAAACCTGGTTCGAAGTCGACTGCGATGGAATAATCTACGAGCTTTCTGCGAAGGATCAGTTTTTGTATGATCGGGCGAAGAACAGATTGTTAGCTAAGCACGAGCAGATGAGGGCATCTATTGAAGCAGAGACTGTGAGGATGGGTCTATGACTTTCAGTGAGTCTGAACAGCTGCTAAGTAGTTCACCAGGCGGGAGCTGTTATGATAATGATGATACTATTGACGACACAATAATGACATTTATAATACTGAACTGAACTGCCTAATATAATTGCCCCCCTCGTGCCTTTGTGAGTGACTCTCGTACATCACTCCAACTAGTTGTTTCACACCCCCCATAACCCCCACTCTACACCCGCCTGGCAGCATTCCTCGAATACGCCTCCATCTTAGAAATCTCCCGATTCACCAGCCCCAACATCATATTAATCCTACACTGCACCTCCACCGGCGCCGCCCAATACAAAGTCGACAACAAATCCCTATGATTCCTCAGCGCCGTCGTATTCGCCACCTTCGCAGGCCCCTCCTGATACTGCAGATCATGATTCGGCAGTAGACGCGTGACGAGATTCCGAATCTCCCTCGCGTCGCCAGCCTCGCGCAACTGCTTGATTGCTGAGTGAACTATCTTCAGAAAGATGTGGAAACATTGATCTTCGGAGTCGATGGCTGAGGAGAGCGCGCCGTCTAGGTCATTGATGAATTCTGGCGAGGTGCCCACCATTTCGCTGCCGATATGCGAGAAGCCGTGGGACGCGAAGAAGTCGAAGAACGTCCCCACAATCGAACCATAGCGACGCCAGCCCCATACCTGGATCAAGTGATGGCATCGACTAAATGTCGCTCGACAGTACTTGTTGAAGTTTGGGGGTTGCTCTGTATCGGACGCATAGAGCTCGAATAATCTCTTCGCTATCTTCTGGGGCAATGCCCAATTCTCTGCCGTTGCGCGGTACCGCGAGCGTGTGATGAGGACACCGAGATCATTGAATTCCATGAGTGGGAGGAGTGTAAATGCTGAGTACCATGTTTTCTCGAGTACCCGGGCATCACCTTCTATGCTTATATTTTCTAGCAACTGCAAGTTGACAGCATCCCAAAAGGTGACGCGTGGGATTCGAGCAGCATGCATGATATGCATGAGTATCACCCACGCCTGAGTAGGATTTTCGGAGCTTTTGATACCTGCTTCGCGCGATGCCAGATACTGGAGGTCGTCATATAGGCTTTGTACCGACGACAACCCAACAATAAAGAGCAACTTCACAGAAGTGGTGGCAGTTCTTTGCAGCAAAGCTTCCAGCTGGCCAGTGGTGCGTTGACTTACATTGCCACCGTGTGTTGCCGACATCCGAAGCGTCTGGAATATAAGAACAACCCCAAAAACAGACAAATCCATGATCCGACGATTATTGAAGTCATCTCGGAAATCCAGGTTGCTCACGAGTACCTCGAGGCATTGCGTGAGTCGTTCCATGACTTCGGTCATCCTCTGTAGACACAGATCCTGCTCTTCGCGACTTTCAAAAGCCAGGGTGTTCTGGAAATAGTCTATCATGAATAGCATGCACCGGACCGTATCTTCTTCCACGTCGCTCTTCACTCCGTTCAGAGAGGCCGTGCCGAATGAATTCAGTCGACTGACAATCCAGTCGAAGTATATACCGATTTCCGACGACACATTGGCATCCCACACGTCCCACTTCACGTGTTGCGTGCCAAACTGAGCTGAAGCATAGCCTCTGGGATGGCCATAATACTTAGAGGATTCGGTCCCAATGGCCTTGGCAAGTTTTCCTTGTCCGATGAACGTAGATTCGTGAAAATATACTCCTGATCTTAGAGGGAAGATATCAAAATCGATGGGATAATCGGTATCAGCGCCGCCAAGTCCGTATAACTTGCCACCATAATCATGTACAGCCTTAGACGGGGTCGGTGTTTCGATTGGAGCAATAAGCATAGGCTTATCTGGCTGCCGAAATCTCGCCGCAGTGGCATCGAGTTGTTTAGGAGTGCGTTTCCTTTGGCGGCGAGCTTGCGGAATGCCTTTGTCGACAACATTTATTATTCTCTCCCCATCCCGACTTCCAGTTTCTGGCTCTGAAGTTCCACTCCTACTGCCAACAAAACCTTCATTGGCCAGAAACCTGGCGAGAGGTATGTGATTTTCTGTAGCAGAGCCATTCTGATATCTTTCGTACGACCTGTCTAAATTTCGTTTCGTGGATCCAAAAGCCGACCGACGATCACGATTACTATAGTCAGCCTCGGATATTTCAAGTTGCGCTGATCTTGGCTGCGGCGCCGAACGAGGGGCACGATTGGAAGTCGGCCTTGTAGAGTATTGTTTTCTGCGTTTGTTATTCCCCAACCTCACACGCGGCTCTATCTGTGGGCTGGTAGATGCCCAGGAGATCTTCGTTTGGTGATTTGTGACGCGAACTTTTGGGTAATTGCTAGGGCGTCTTGTTGTGTGGCTAACCGCTGGTAGCTTGGAGTTATTCGACGAGAGGCTCCTTTGATTTCTGGATTCCTCGGAGATAACACGCAGGGGTGACCTGGGCGTAAAGGATTGTGTTCGGTGTTTCGCAGGTCTTCCTCTCCATTCTCGCAGGACAGTCTGTGCTTCAATAGTATCTTCGCGATTATCGAGCCGTACAAACTTTCTGACTGGCCCCTGTCTTCCAAGCGCATGCCTGGATCCGGCACTACGAGCAGCAATCCGAATGAACCTTGGTTGATACGCGACAGGCTCACTAAAATTAGGCATGACCTCTTGGATCTTGCGCGGCGAAGGTCTTGATCGAGAAGTAATCTTTGCCAAAACTTCTTGAGCTAATGATGGCCCATTAGACCTGCTAGCTGCGCTCCGCTGTGTGGGAACGGGTGAGCCAGATGGATCTGGAAGCAATTCCGAGATTCTTGGTTGGTAAGAGGGTGTACCATGTGTGGGCCTAAATAGAGAAGTGACAACCCTTCTTTTCTTTCGATTCCCAGTGTCAGAAAAGAGGGTTCTTTGGCGCTTCTTTGGTACAATCATCGGGTCAATTGCATTGTCCTCAGTCGCGAATCCAAAATCCGACTGAGTAAAAATCGACTGGGAATCTTGACCGGACTCTTTGACAATTCCATGGCTTCCAAAGTCTTCCTCGTCGGACTCGTCGGAGAGGAATCCCAGCCCCGTTCTTGGATTAGCAGGAGCTGAGGCCGTCATTTCATCAGCTACCCTCGGCAAGGCTATTCCTCGTCGGATTTCAGGCAGGAGTGGAGAATGATTGAAGCTGTCCCTGGCTGCTGTTCTAGGCGCATTTTGTTGAATCCCCCGAGTTTGTGGATTAACACGAATATGCGACGCAGGAAGTACTCCTCTGAGCAGCTTTCGTACCCTAGTGGGCTCTTTTGGCGGAGACGATTGAGGTGCCTCTCCTTCACTGCTTGATATGAAGGGGTCATCTTCAATTACACAAATTTCATCAGAGTGATCATTTGCACGCCTGACAGAACTCGTTGCTGGTGTCGGGAGATCAGTAACTCCTAGGCGATGCTGCACGGTGCCACGGGTAGCTGCAGATTCAGCAGACATATCAGATCTACGCTCTGAAACCGTTCCTTCTGTGGCGCCAGCGCGGGCCACGAGTGATGGGACAGCTGGGCTCGTCATCGGTGGCGACTGAGGCACATCAAAAACGTCGATTATTGTTGGCAAGCGGTTTTTGGATGCGTTAGACGTCAGTTGGGAACCGTTTTGCCGCGAATGGGCAGCACCATGAGTTCGTCTGCGACTACTATTGCCAATCTTTTTTGTGCCAACAACGCCTCTACGCGCTTGATCTATAAGAGTGCTTATGTCGGGGAGTTCGACGTCGTCTGAATCTAACCCGTCCGACCTGAAGCTTGACGGAAGTGACTGTAGCCCATCATCAACCTCAACAGCAGATCTATGAGGACGTGCAGGTGATGACATCAAATTTTGGCTTGAGCCAAAAACGTCGTAGCTTTCTTCGACTCCGGTTTTCTGACTGTCTTCCTCCACTTCAAACTCAGTATCCTGAGAATCTCCACTCTGAGGTGCGCCTTTGGTCACCTGCTGGGCCGGTATGAACCGCATGGGTTGTAGTCCTCGGGCCATAAAGTCCCTGCGATGACGCTCGCTGTCCAAAAGATAGGGGTGCAATTGTATCTCCGTTCGTGGTCGAAAAGAGCGTCGATGAGCCGATTCAAAATTATTAGCATTGGCGAAGATCGGAATTCCTTGGTCCGTGATTTCCTCGAAGGACAGAGTCGGCACCGTATGGGACGCCTCGGACTGTTCTCCATTGCCTGGTGGCAGGATGTTGGATCTGTAAGGGCTTTGCGACGGTGTTGTACCAAGCGAAGAGAGGCTTGAGGTGGGCGATGACAACAGGCCAACATAGCTTCGAGATACCTCGTCTTGGGTTGTGCCTTCTACTGGGCCAGGGGTGGTTTGCCTCACCGCTGCCAGTACCGGGCTAGACTGCGCTTGAGGGCCCTGCTTGGGACCGGCGCTGGCCAACAGGTTTGGAGAGTTGCCATTCTGCGGTTGTGTTCCAGACCGTATTTCCGGTGGTAGGTCTCCAGTTACGAGCTCCTGGGAGATCGCATTCGTCTGGGAACAATCCGGCTGCTCCTCTAATCTGTCTTCTGTAGATGTAGCTTCTGTCTTGGCCTCAACACGAAGTAGGGTCGGATGCACGTCAGGTATTGCATCGATATCGTCATGTTGCTCGGGATTCAGCGTGGTTTGCGAGTCCAGAGAGTCGTCCTCTTCATCCGAGTCGGGCACAACCCCTATTTCCTTCCAAGTAGTCGTCATTGCCGGGCTTCATCGTGGCCCTATTTGAGGACATGTGCCAGACATATTCATGGGGCAACGTTAATTTTTGGGAATCTTTAGATTCTGGAGGACGCGTCGAGGTTCGGTTGACGCGACTAAAGTATATGCCGCTTTATGGTCGTGTTAGCTATCCCCCACAAAACATAAAAGCGGCGTATTTATACCTGAGAATTAAGGCAGCGAATTATCTATGAATAATCTACGAATACGTTCCCTATAATTAAGGCACAAACTATGTATAAATATATTTCCCTGAAATTTAAGGTTAGAATCATCTATACGGTCTCCCTGACAATTAAGGCTAGCGAACTATCTCTAAATATGTTTCCCTGAAAATTAAGGTTAGAATCGTCTCTAAACATGTCACCTATAATTAAGGCAGCAAACGTTTCTGTTGGTATGGTATTTGTGGTGTCCCTTACAGTCAAGGCAGCGAACTATCTCTAAACATGTCTAAATATATCCCCTATAACCAAGGCATAAACTACGTCAGAATATGTTTCCCCTACAATTAAGGCAGCAAACCATCACTAAAACACCTCCGCTACAATTAAGGCATAAACCATCCCAAAAATATGTTTCGCCCTGAGAATTAAGGTTAGCATAGCCTACAACGGGGCATTACCCATAATTTCCCTCTGGTTAAAGGCATGAATTTGCATGTGAATGAGGGCAGTTTCTAGTTTACCCGCTAGACCCAAAACTAGTTTAGTCTACTCTAGTCCCGTGTATGGAAGAACTGCAGCTGGGCAAAGCTCACCGTTCATAGGGATTCATCGACTTTGCGAGACTTTGCCGGGGTTCTCCCTCCGATCTCCTCCACTTCCCATCCACCTGAGCCACCTCCATCCATCTCCTCCTCCTCCTTCTTCGTCTCATCCTCAGCCGGTACCATACTCTATCCCCACACTCCACTATTCTACCCTCCCTACCCTCCCTACCCTCCGCTCTTCTCCGCCTCCTTTCTAAAACACCCCTCCCGATTGATCCCACAGGTTCAGGATCATTATCTTAGTGTCTTACCCGCAACTCCTCCAAACTATACGTACTTCATATCCCGTACGCACGCTATCCAGCATACAACCATACAAACATACAACAAAACCCCCCGGCATCGCACTCTTCAACAACAACAAGGACAAGGACAAGGACATACCCTCGCTCATATTGTCCTCTTCTCATCAATTTATCCTCCTTCATCCCCACAAAACAAACATCTCGATTCTATTGAGCCGAACTTTCCCGCCTCATATTGCCCGAAACCGAAAACAGAGAGCATCATCTTCTGTAGCAACCTCGATTCGCTCTTACTTCTATTTCTACTTCAGGTTTCTGACCTCGAGGGTCGTGCCTTGGTGACTGTAACGACGGCCACCATACTTCCCTCCTCCGCCGCTTTGCGTCTTCTCACGACGACCGCAACCTGTGTCTTCGACACCCACCCCTCCAGGATCGTGAAGGTTGGCGCCCATGCTCGCCGTCCAACGCCCCATGTCGAAGCTGCCGCACCACATGCTATTTGGCTGTATGTTTCTCTCCCACTCATGAGACCGCTGCTGTGTTGTGTTGTGTTGGAGGAAAGAAGAACCGTTGCAAGGGCTTTTACTGACACGTTTGCGCAGACTCCGTCGATTCCTCAAACTCCTTATACCGCTTACCCTCCCCCCCGCCTCTTGCGCCGGGTCCGTCATTACTCGATGACACCGACACGCGCTTCCTCGACAGCTTCTTCGACGGAGTGAGCTCCGACCAGTACCTCATCAACGACCCGAACGATGCGTGGAACTATGACTGGCAAGACCTCCCCCCCGACTTCCTCGGGACCACCTCCTCATTCGGGCCCCAAATGGAACCCGTCACGAACGACGTCCAGCACCTCACCTTCCCCGAATTCAGAAACAGTCTTGGATTCCTCCCCGAACAATTAAGTCCATCAGAAGATATGATATCTGCACTACGAAACGGCAATAATAACCACAACAACCACCAAAACAACAACCACCAACCCCCCCACCAAAACACCCACCTAAACGGCCACCACAGCAACGCCTTCATGGCCCCCGCCTCGCGCACCGAACACATGAGCCCCCCCTTCAACACCCACGGCAACGGCATGATAAAACCCGAGCAGCAGCAGCAGCAAGCCCCCGCCCCAACCCAGCGCAAAATGTCCAACCGCCCCGAAGACTACATCCGCCACGCCTCCATGAGCGAAGCCATGTACGCTCCCGCCCCCACCTCCTACGCCCCCCACGCCCTCAACAAGAAGAAAGTCGAGATCAAATGGGGTTCCGACTCCGGCTTCAACACCGGGCGCCGCTTCGTCGCGCCCCCAAACACGATTACACTTGATGAGATCGACGAGAACATCATTAGTACACTAGAGTGCCTGCAACCGGGGAGTAATGTCAGCACCCGCGCCTCCAGCCCGACGGGCTCGCGGATCCCGCAGGCGGGTGAGAGGAGGCTGGAGATGATTTCCGAGGGTGCCCCGCGCGACGACGTTAATGAGGACGGGAGCGAGAGGCCGAAGAAGCGGAAGAAGAATAAGGGCAAAGAAGGCGTTTACGAATCCGACGCCCTCGAGCTGGCACAATCGCAATCGCAATCACAAACACCCAACACCAAGATCCCGCGCAAGCGCCGCCCGAAATCCTTCGGCACCCCCACCGGCAGCGACACACCTAACCGCGCCTCCCCCCCCCTCCACAAGCGACTAAAACCCACCACTGGAGGGGCGTCGTTGGCGACGCCTAAGATGGCGAGGGAGAATCTGACGGAGGATCAGAAGAGGGAGAATCATATTAAGAGTGAGCAGAAGAGGAGGACGCTGATTAAGGAGGGGTTTGAGGATTTGAATGAGTTGGTGCCCGAATTGAGGGGGGGAGGGTTTAGTAAGAGTGCTGTGTTGATTATGGCTGCGGATTGGCTTGAGGAGCTGGTGAGGAGGAATGAGGGGTTGAGGGGGATGGTGGCGGAGTTGGAGGCGAGGGGGGGAATGTGAGGTGTTGATGAAAAACAGGGTGCGAGGGCTTTGTTTTTGGGAGGATTGAATGGGGGAATTTTCGGGATTGGCGTTTTGGGAGGGGGGATATCCAGGGGGGAAGGAAGGGGAAGGGAAGGGAATAAGTCCAGACTTCCGGAGGAAGTGTAATTACTAAAGAAACGTGAATAATGAGGAGGCAGGGGGGATTTGGAGCGGTTTATGTAACTCTGTACTCTTGGTACTCTTTCAAAAAAAAACACACAACAACATGAATTCTTGCTACAAGCACAGCCAGCTTTCTTCTACTTTAGTAAAACCAAACCCCAGCAGTGCCAACAGACTCCAACTTCCCAAAGCAACAACCCCCCCCCTAAACAACCTCCTCCACCCCCCTCCCCCCACCAAACACCCCCCCCAACGGCCCCTCCACCATCTCAGTCGGTACACAAATCCGATTCCCCTCTTTACTACTTATCCAGCGCACGTACGCTGAGTTTGGTTTCCCAGGCTCGCCGTCGGGACCGATTTCGCCCGTGAGACCGTTCAGGTCGCGGCGGCGGGCGTTGGTTTTGGGGGCTTGTTTTTTGAGAAGTTTGTTGATGGTTTCCATCTGTGTGTGTATACGTTAGAAGAGGAGAAAGGGGAGGGGTGAGGAAAGAGGGGGAGGGAGAAGATGGGGAGGGGAGGGGAGGGATAAGTACCTTTTCTTCCTCGTTACGCTTCTCGCTGAGGTTCTTGCGGCGACGTGCCATTTCGGCACGGCGCATGGCATGTTCTTCGGCTGTGAGGTGTTTTTTGACTTGTACCTCTGTGATGGTGTTAGTACATTGCACTACGTAGCAAAGGAGTAGGAGTAAGAATGGGGGAACGAACCATCAGGTAGAGCCATGAGATGTCCACTCCCGCTCTCATCGAGCCTCGCCCGCTGTCTCTTCGTCAATTTGCTGAGATCAGGCGTTGAACCTCTGCTCCCCCCACCGCCCTCCTCGTCGCTATCAAGCTCATCTTCTTCTTCCTCCTCCTCCTCCTCCTCCACCTCCACCTCGATCTCCTCATCCTCCCCCTCAGCATCCTCATCATTACCAACCTGCATCGTCTCCTCATCCTCCTCCACCTCGCTCTCCAGATCGCTCAACTCCTCATCATCGCTCGGCTCCGTCGTAGCCACGACCCTAACATCCTTCTTCCCCGCCGTCTTAACAGTAATCGAATGTTTCTCCTTCGTCGGCTTCGCGATCTTCAGCGTAGGCGGCGGCAACCCCGCCATCTCCGTATCATCATCCCCATCCTCCTCCCCCTCCGCATCCTCATCAAGATCCATATCATCTTCCTCCTCCCCCTCTGCATCCTCCTCCTCCTCCTCGTCTCCCAAATCCTCCATCTCCTCATCCTCCTCCTCACTCTCACTCTCAACCACATAACTCTTTTTCACCCCCCTCGCCCTGGTACTCTCCCTCGTCTCCCCCACGAAGCCTCTCCCACCACCTGAACTCGACCTCCCGCCACTAGCCCTCGACGACGCACCACCCGTCGCGGCGCGCAGCTTGCTGACGGGCATCTTGACGGTGAGGCGGAGGGAGGGGTTGGAGGGTGAGGATGGCGGGTCGTTGCGGGATAGCGTGGCGCGGGAGTGGGAACTGGAATGGGTGTCTGGATCGCGGCGAACGCGAGACATAATATCTGAGGTGCTGTCAGCGGCGATTGCTTCGCGGGCTTTGAGGGCCGCGGTGCGGCGGCTTCGGCCGGTCATTGTGGGAATGGGTGGAGTGGAGTGGACTAAAGTAAAGTGTAGGATGAAATGAAATGTGTTGAAATGATGTTGTGTGCAGGATATGGATTTAGAAGGAGGGCAGGAATTGGGAAGTTCGCGATGAATTCACCCGCTTCGACTTGCGATCTTGTAAAGCTTTTGTACAGTCGCAGAATCCATGTTCGTGCGTGGTCTCGCACACGAGACGTCGTCAAAGAGACGCGGACTACCTTGCAAACGGCTTACTTCCAAGTCGCATGCAAGGCCACACACACACAACAGGCTGTGGTCGCACTCGGTCCCGGCCCCAAACATATTTGGCGCCACAACCAAAACAAGATGCAGGAATGGGGGATTGATTGATTGATTGATTGATTGTTGGAACACCACACTGGGAGGATGGGATCCTTGCTTGACAGCGAATGGAAATGCGCGGACTCACGTGTGCGTGTTTCAATACGATGTTTCCCCGTGTCCCCCTATGTATTTCGGACAGGTTATTTGTTTACTTGATCCCGGGCGATGAGGGTTTTGTTTCTGTTTGGGTGATGGATGCTGGTGTGATACGTTCTTTCTGGGCGGGAGACTCTATTCGGCCTCAGAGCGCCTACTTGCAGGTGGATGACATGCGCGAGTATGTCGGCAGCCCGTAAGGTATGGTATACCGTACAGGGAAACTTCAATCGTCCAAAGCCAAAGGATAATATATATATATATATCAACCCCAAATCTAACCTCGTTCGAGTTGCGAATTGAGATGCTGGTGATGTCAAAAACGTGAACTCCCACACATTTCCCGTGACCTCCCTTCCCAAAGCCCAAGATGTTCCAGACGACGCGCCACATCACGTGTTGCACTTATCTCTCCCTCGCTCCAACCCCGGATTACATCAGCGAACTAAAGTACCTGGAGCGATCATCAACCGAGGCATGTGAGCTTTTGGGTATGTCGCCGGCTCCCAGCACCACATTGACAACTTTGCGATCTTGCAACGATCAATGCAAACAGCATAATGAGTGATAGCGAGACGAAACCAAAAGGAGGCGTGCCTTCATGGCAGATGAAGCCGGAAGCTTCAGATCCTAAACCCGCAACTGAAGAGAAGCCAGCCTCGGAGCAGCCGTCGCCTGAGGTAAAGCCTAGGTCGTCCGTCTTGGAGGATGCGCGGAAGTTCCTGGAGGAAGATGAGGTTAAGGATGCGAGTACAGACAAGAAGGTCGCCTTTTTGGAAGGCAAGGGATTGACGAGCGAGGAAATACACCAGCTACTGGGCATCACCCGTAACCTGGAGGCTACAAGCCTAGAATCCCAAGTAGGACTTCCAAACCCCCAAGCCGGAAACCACACAACTGACTCAATACAGGCCTCGCCCAAAACCCAAGCACCACTCCCCCAACCAGTCACATCCACCACACCACCACCTCCACAACCACAAGCACCGCAACCCCAAACCCCCGCCCAACCCTACCGCGACAGCCCCCCCATAATAACCTACCCCGAATTCCTCACCACGCCCACCTCCCCACCCCCCCTCATCACCGCCTCCCGCCTCCTCAAAACCCTCTACCTCTTCGGCGGCCTCTCCGCCCTCCTCTACGGCACCTCCACCTACCTCGTCGCCCCCATGTCCGCCGCGCTCTCCGACTCCCGGCACGAGCTCGCCGCAGCCGCACAAGCGCATCTGGACACCCTGATTGGCAAGCTGACGCCTCTCGTCTCTGAGGTTCCGCAACCTGTACTCGCACAGGGGGAGCGCTACGAGGATAGGGAAGATGTGGACTCCGACGGCGACCCGACGGAGATGTTCCACCGCGACATCGGGGTTCAGACGTCCCCCCCACCTTCTCGCCCCTCCTCCCCCTCTCAGGAGGAGAAGATCTCAGTAGCAGAGGCTCAAGCGAAAAAAGCAGCGAATATCGGGGCGATATTGTCGGACGTCGATTTGACGATTGCGTCGGAGCTGAGGGAGTCGAGTAACTTGCAGGATGGGATTGAGGATCTGAAGAAGTACTTGGATTCGTTGATGTATAGTCCGCCGACGTTCTCGTATGGGGCCGGGTCGGCGTTTGGCGCGAAGAGGGATGAAGATGATGAGATTGGGCGGGTGAAGAGGGAGATTAGGGCGGTGAAGGGGGTGTTGTTGACGGCGAGGAGTTTTCCGGGGGTGGGGGCGGGGGTGAGGTAGGGGATTGTGGGTGGTGAAGTGTGATGTGGAGGATGGGGAGTGGGGTACGGATACCTTGTATGAAGTCTAACGAGATGTATACTATTCAATATGATGCTAATTACTCTGGGTTTGTATGCTTTCATGTGCAAGACTAGGGGGTGGAAGGGATAATCACGAGGATATTTGCTTCAGGGGCCTTTCGAAGACCTGGAGAGAAGCCTTCGAACGAGGCAATTCCAAAGAAGAGACTCCAAAGGCGCCATTCAAAAAGAAGAAATTGCATTGATCAACTCGAAGCGCTTCTCAACGCCGCTGTTGGCCGGATATCCATCCCATCCAACCTCTTCCGACAAATTCGCAACGCTGTAGGAGCAATTCATCACTCCCTTCAAAACAAGATCTCACTCCCTTCAACGCAAAAACCCACGCCCTTCAAAACACCCAACCAACCAGCCCACCCCCTACAACAAAACTACAACCCCAATCGCCACCAACCCCCGAGACCGATCTCTCCTT